AAGCAAAAGATATGTCCACGTGCTCTCTGGAGGCTATACCTTCAAGAGCTTATTAGCTCGGCCACGGTTAAGAGACTACACATAGAGTGTGTGTTGAATCTTGGAACTTTCACGTAGTCTCTCACACGGAGTGCGCCCCTTCCGCGGAATTTTACCATTGATTAAAGTACTTGTTCCATCTTTCTTCGAGTGGATATTATCGAGATTGCAGTACAATGAACATGGAGATCCGCTGAAAAGGAGGAGAATATTGGATGGAGTAGGATGTGAACGTAGATGAGAGATTTGAATTGCCGAAAACGAATGATGGGTAGACAGCGATCTGCGATTTATGTCATTTACAACATGGTAAGCTTACAACCAAGAAGCTTGCCTCGATCATGAAGTTATTCTTCCAGCCGTGATCAAGATTTTATCGATATCAAGTCATGTAATGTAAATTTTACCATCAAGTGTGTTGTTGGTTCCGCATCCTGCATCCTTATTTCGATTCTACTTACATGTCCTTTCGTTTACGCTCCCCTGAGACCTTAAAACCCACGATTATAGATATCTTGTCAATGTTCACACCCCCATCAAACCAATGCGGAATTGGAAGTTCATTTTCAGAAAATCTCAGTTTCGCCTCACATTCAGGTTACCCCGTCTCTTTAGGCTCTGGCGAAAAAGTGAGGATTAGACTAAGAATTGTTTCGCTTTACTTTACTGACCCAAAGACACACGAGAATCTCAAGCCAACCTTCTTCACATGCTGTTCCATCAAACTGAAGATTATGGATACAGCTGGTGAATGAAACAGACTATTCACATGTCACCCATAAAATATAGATAAACACAAATAAGTACGGTTGAACCATACCATTACTCAATGTTATCTTAAAGAGCCACAACTCCATTGCCCCTTATCTCAAGCACAAAGACCCCATCTAACACTACGCAAATAGAGCCAATGTGAGCTCCAGCAAACTACTTACTTGAAACTAGTACTTACATATCAGAAGGGCCAGAAACGATTCCAGTCAAGATCTAGAGTGCAAATATATGTGATATCTCTAGCGGAACCTCTTCCGTATCCGAATCATCACTTGGAAATTCAAAGCAAACATAGTCTCGCTTCGGATGTTCAAGTTGCAGACAAGAATAGTAAGTTCCTACGGGTAAGAGATAGATATTCAAAGTCAGATTTGTACTTGGAGAATCGTCTGATAGAGCGAGGATGGTGCTCGTATTGTTGATGCGCTACTGCTAGTCCTTCCTCGAGACGCAATAATCCTCTACTCTTTATCACCTCTTCTCTTCACCCTGCCTGCTCTTCGCCCTACCTTCTGAGTGAATCTACCGTCTCCCTCCAGCCCCTATTTCTCATCTAGCTTCCCAGCCATATAATACTCATCCAAATCTTACTCTTCGAGTTTTGAAAAGAAGAATATTACCCTTGTATCTTCTATTCAGCACAATTTCACAAGTTTTATCTACCTCATGCGGGCAACTCCAAATCATCAGATCCGAGGTCATCATGAGTAGGAAGTTTATGCTGTAGGCCCTTGGGAAAGTGCCTTACTTTGTTCTCCGATTCACGTATGTATTTTATCCACGCGTGTTCAGAGACATATTATGTCCCGTCTTGTCACAACAAACTATCAACAGTATCTATCGCAAGATAATTGATCGACGGCAAACGCCACACTCGAACTAGACTTAGACCGTGTTCTAGAAATCTGATATGCGTAGATTTCTGATGTACATACAAGTTCAAGACTAACCTGTACCACTTTGCTATCCTTTAGTTGCTGCCATTTTGATACATAGATACAAATGCTGTGGCATCAGCAGAGAAACCCCCCAGTCCAATCAATTTGCAAACATTTTGTAACATAATTTACATTGACGCATTCATCATCACACTGGTGAAGTTTACCCACCACGATCTAAAAGTTGATCAACATGGCCCGGTATCCTGTGCTTGTTCATCCTCTTCTACCCCTCTTTCTTCCCCCCGATTTCTCCATTTGTCTTCTTTCTCTTTCTTCTCTCCTTCTCGCATTTTGTTCTTCTGCAATCTCTCTCTTTCTCCTCTCCTCATAAGCAGCAGCTCTAGCCTTTGCTGATGCATCATCTGACTTTGCTCTTCTTTCTTTTGCCATATCAACGACACCTTTCTTGGCGCTCTGGAACCCGTCCATTACATTTCCCAAACTGCCATCTAACGAGAATCTTTTTGCGGGAGTAGCCTCTCCCCCAGATCCTGGAACTTCTCTCATTCTGAGGGTACTTTGGGGTGTTGATAGGTTCTGGGTTGGGATAGGAGTCATATTCGCCCAGGATCGGAACTTACGGTTGCGGAAAAGCGTGGCTTGGCCAAAGGAGAACGAGGAAGACACCAAGAACGACAATTGAACAGCAGCGGGCATAAATGATGTGAAGACCATCGAGAGGAGAGGCATGCCCCATTGCATCGCAGTCACCATTCCGGGTGTGAGAGTACTGACACCGGTTTCTCCACCTTTCTGTTATGGTCCCAATTAGCTCGTCAATTCTTCATGGGCAGCGTTCGAGTGGGTGGAAACCAGCAGAATAGAATATGAAAACCTGAACTAACCTTCAAAACGAAATGCAAGATTCCACTTGTAGCCAATGGCAACAAGAAATAAGGATCTGGGATGCTTAAATTGTAGAACCACAAAATTCCTCCGTCCAAGAGCCCCGGAACAGGTACGTCAGACATCTGCCTCAACAATTTCCACGTTCCGTATCCAATGAAAATCTGTACTGCTGGCACAAAACTTTTCCACATCGAAATTCCCGCGCGCTTATATATGCGCTGTAATTCTGCTCTATGCAACATCATCTCCGCTGTGTCCCCCTTCTTTTTCGCCTCCATCATCTCAGCCTGGACGGGAGCGGTAAACTCTTTGATTGCAGCCATTCGAGATGCATTCTCTGCGGCATCGAGAAAGGGCTTGATCAAGATGATTCTCCATGCGGCAGCCGCAAGACCGATAGATACCCACCAGGGAGTTCCGGCAAGGACGTGGATATGCTCCAGCATCCATTCCATGACAGCTGTAGGACCCCATCCATAGTCGAGACCAAGAGAGTGGAGGTAACCAATGTGTTCGGGTGCGGAAAGAATATCAGCATTGATATCCGGGGTGACATCGAGCGGGGTAGGTCTAAACTCGGGTGTGGAGGTTTCGACGGAGGGGATTGGGGAATTCACAGGAGGTATGGCGGAGGGTGTGGTTGATGCGAAACGTATGGATGTGGCATTTCGAAGCAAGGTATTGGATTTTGAGAGGGACGATCGAGTAATTGACTGTGAAAACAATGTGCTGTTGCCTTTATTCGAAAGATGTGTATTATTTCTAATGGGTCGATGTACATTTGAAGAGAACTTGTAGAAATCAGTAACGTTCCATTTGTGCTTAGTCCTGCTATAAGAAAAGCAAATACCTGTCTAATTCCATATGATTCAATCCGCCGTCTACCTAGGGCCACCGCCTGGTTCGAACACCTTAACCCTCTGCTAGGTATCATTTTATTATATGTGGATGGTGATGGCTATCTCTTCCCCTCGCCAGTCGAAGATTGAGTATCGCAAAAATTATTGATCGCGACTCGCATAACTATCTGCATAAAATGGATAACATTTTAGTGCATTCCTGGTTAGTTTATCACTGCCCTAGGGTACCTATTCTAGGTAGGTACAACAACCACACTCACGAGCCATAGTAATGATCTAAAAAATCAAACGTTTAGATATTCACTCGTAGAATGTTAGATTTGGGCTTGCTGTACATGAAGTGATACATCTGCGTAGTAAATTTATGAGTTTGTGGCACGTTATGATATGGGCTACGGATTGATTGGTGTACGATCAGCCTTGAACGTTTTCCATGAACCGGCAACAATCACATCTATGTGTTGTTAGATCTCCTCAGTAGCTCTGCTAAATTTGCTTGAGTTTGCTGCATGTCCCGATGTTGAAATGCTCTCTATGCCCTGTTTGCTCTTCTTTCCAGAAAAGAGTTGACCATAACTCTCAAACGCCATTATCTTGTATACGTTTTATGTGATCTTTCCTTCATTCCAAACTTGTCAAGTCGTCCAAGTTGCCTTCTCTGCTCTTGCGTTCAATTGGACTATCTCTGACTTCAATCCCTGGTCCTACAGATCTTCGTGTGAGAGGGAAAACCTATGTAAATAAAGTAATTAGCACAAACCTTCGAATGCAACGAGATGATACACGGTCTTTTCAATGCGAAGAACACAGCATATATTGCGTACTTTTGAACTCAAAAAAAGAAGAAGAATAAAACAGTCTTACCTTTGTACTGCTCCATCCCAACCTGAATGCAGCTTCATGGGCGAATAGCTCTCCAAATCCCAGCATAAGTCCATTCACAAATGGTAAGACAAGATTGATAGCAGCACCTCGAAGTAGTCCCCAAATTGTAGGTGGAGAGTAAAGAATCATCTGTGGAGAGTCTGATGAAGGTGGTGAAGGAGAAGTTTCATCTTCATTGCGAGAATATTGCTCTGAGTCGGAGGGCATCGTTATCCCGGATTCAACAAGAGTGTTGAGCTGCTCTTCTGAAGACATTTTTTGAAATGAATTGTATCACTTCAAGTAGCACAATAAATTGTCTTCCGTGAGATCTCTTAATTGTAGGTATTGATGTGTCTGATGTGCTGAAGAATCCGGGGACTTGACAATGTCGTTGCTTCCTACGTTAATTTTGGTATCACGGAGCATGATAATCCAATGCCGACCGAAGCTTTGACGATTTTTCTTATAAATGTGGAAGGATTCAGCCCCGCCAAAAAAGGACGTCATCCCAAACTGCCTCGTTGGTTTGTTTCTTTCTATAACATTTCACCGTCAAGCTACAAAATATTTTATACTTTCACAAGAAATCTTGAACATTCTTCAAAACCAGTCTACAATTTAGTCAATTACCTATCTCAAAGACCACCACCTTCAATACTACAAAACAATCATGGCAGACACCGGTAATCATGATGAGTTGATCTCTCAATTTTGCGCAATCACCAATGCTTCCCCATCAGAGGTATGATCATAGACGCAGGAAAAACACTCCAAAATCATCATATTTTTGACCATCAGGATTAATCTCATGTCGCTGACTCTCTTTATCTTCTCACAATTTAGGCTGAACAATTTCTCTCCGCAAATCAATGGGACTATGCATCAGCTATGACAGAATTCTTCACGGCCCAAGAAGAAGGAAATACAGGAGCCTCAGAAACAGTCGGTAGCAGCGATCAAACTGAAACTCCCTCGCCGTATACTGGACCCCGAACACTCGATGGCAGACCCGCTCCCGATAATGGCAAGAAACCTGCAAAACCAGCTACCACAGCCGGGAGAGCTGGAGGACGTGGGGGCATCGCAACTCTTGGCTCTCTAAATCAAGGATCTTCGAGCCAGGGGGATCGTATGAACGATGCCGATGACAGTGATCCAGATTATGAGCCAGATGAACAACCAAGAGACTTGTTCGCTGGCGGTGAAAAGTCAGGATTAGCTGTCCAAGATCCCTCGAGAAAACCTGATGCGAGAAAGATTGTTGGTGATATTCTTAAGCAAGCTAAAGCGTGGGTTTCCCTTCTCAAAGATCTGTAGACTACATCCTTACTTAAAATTACAGAAATTCTTCAAGGGAGACTGGAGAGCCATCGGCGCCAGCCGCAGCCGCACCATCTCGATTCCGTGGCAGTGGCCAAACTCTCGGCGGCGATGATGCTCCTTCTCAAGTAGTTCCCGACCCTCATCCTCCTGCAGCTTCTTCCGAGCTTGTGACTAGAATTCTACACCTTTGGGAGGATGGTTTCAGTGTTGAAGATGGGCCACTTCGTCGATTCGATGACCCGGCAAACGCGCAAGACCTCCAGGCAATACAGAGTGGTCGTGCTCCTCTGCACTTGATGAATGTCAGGCATCTCCAACCAGTTGATGTTCAATTGCACAAACATGATGGACCTTACAAAGCTCCCCCCAAGGTCTACAAGCCTTTTGGAGGCTCAGGCCAGAGACTTGGCAGCCCTACACCGGGCGGCTCCAGCACTCCACCGGCATCCGCCCCAGCGCCTGCAACTACTACCGCCTTGACAGCAACCCCAGAAGTTCAAGTCGATGAATCACAACCAACACTCACCCTTAGACTTCAGTTGGCAAATGGAACTCGTCTTCCAGCTCGATTCAACACTACGCAAACTGTAGGCGATGTATATGACTTCATTGCAAGAGCAAATGCCGATAGCAATGGGCGAGCTTGGGTACTTGCAACCACTTTCCCAAACAAAGAGCATACCGAGAAGAGTCAAGTCTTGGGTGAAATGCCTGAATTTAAGAGAGGCGGTACAGCCGTGCAAAAATGGGTTTAGAGGATGTGTAGATGGGTCTGACAGGAGCGTCTTAGAAATTCGCGAAGCGGATTCAATTATGATGAAGCTTTTACTGACTGGCTACGGCCAGAAGGCGTTTAAGGAAGTCTGGGAGCACATACATAGCATTTTTGAGGCATAGATAACTGATTCGTCAAACTGCAATGATAGACGGAATGATTTAGCGCTCTGATGAGTCCCCATGTAAAAATGATTGATATTGAGTGAGGTTTTATAAGTAGAATCTACGGCCACTGCAGAATTGACATTGTAGTTACCTGTCTCGCCTGTCCATGATCATACTTGGAATGTATGCGTGCATGCATGCTTCGCAGTCTTAAGCTTGTGCATTTTTGGGGGGAGATAGCAAGTCATTTGAATCAATAATGGCTAGTAGATCCCTCCACTCCACTCCACCTCCATCACGGTCTCGAATTATCGATATCGCATTATATAATCAAGACGTAAATGAAGAATCTCTGAAGTGGAAATAAAAAAGTGGAGTTTGTGACCCTCTCCGAATAGTCCGCCTGCAAGCCAACGCACTGATCGACAAATTAATACGGGTCGAGAAGAGAAGGAAGGGCTTTCGATCGATCCCCCAACTTTGGGGGATGGGTGAGAACTTGAGAAGGGACGTTTGGGAGGTTGGAATTTGAGAGGGAGGTGTAGGGAATGGATGGAGTGGAGTGGAGTGTATGATGAGGGTATTGTATTGTTGAGTTGGAAGTTGGATGGTATGGTACGGTGTACGGAGCAGAGAGAGCATTAGATGATGAAGTTGCGAGAGGGGAGACAAGAGAGAATTCAACCAAAATGGTATAATCAAATCGCCTTGCAGTATGTACAAGATAATCAATTCGTATCGCATGTACCGGACCGACCGGTCGGTCGGACAAACGTTCACATGCTCGCTTGGCTTAAGCCACGGCTGGGACTAGAAGATTAGGTGACTGGGCATGCATTGATGGCTTTTGCTGGAAGGACTTTGGTGTGCGATCTTCAATCTAGTGGTCCAAGGTTTTTTATTTATTCAGGGAAGGTTGTTTGCATGAGTGGATGAGTGAATGAGTGAATGAGTGAATGAGTGAATGAGTGAATGAGTGAATGAGTGAATGAGTGAATGAGTGAATGAATGAAAGATTTTGTTGATTGATTGGTTGATTGATATATGGGCTTATTATTGGTATAGTATCTATCTATCTATCTATCTATCTATCTATCTATCTATCACACTTTGGGTGAAAGTTAATAATTTGACTTGTGCGAAGGTTACTGTACTTGTAACTTGCAAGTTATCTCGTTGCTTATCTCTTTTCCTTACACGTCTTTCCTCTACTAGGAAATCCAGGGGGTGCGAGATAAGGAATCAAGGTACGAACGAATCACGGTGACCAGGGATTTCAATGAAACATTTGATCATTTACTATTCGGCCCTGGATACGTTAAATGGATCTAGAATCTAGAATGGACTTTAACTGGACGTTCCCTCACTGCCAAGGCTCGAGGGATTTGGGACGGGCTTCTAATGACTCTATGCCTTGTCGCGTCTCTACCTATCATGATTCATTGTGTTGCATTGTGTTGCATTGTGTTGGGAAAGGATAATGATCATAGTGTGTTGGAATTAGGGGTCTCTGCCAAAAACACCATGGACTTTGAATGGGTGAATGGGTGAATGGGTGAATAGGTATCTAGGGAATGGACATCTTCTCCTACTTGGGGTGTGTGTAGTGAGACTAGAGTGAGACTGGGTTGAGGTTAATACCAATTTGAAAAATCGAATGTAACTGACTCTTGATATAATATATGATACCATGATCCTATATACTGGTGATACCACGACTCTCCTGGTAAACACCCAGCAGTCAAACACATTCATTTATTCTCTCAGCATTTGGGACAACCCACCGAGCCACTAAACCTATCTGAGTAAGGTTACCTTACCTAGTATGCGCATACCTAGCACATCCCTAGTATCCGGTGCATATGACGTAGTAGTGATTACAGAACCCGACCTCCTCCGCCAAGAAGGAGACGAACGGGCAAAAGAAAAGAAAAGAAACGAAAGAAACGAAAGAAAAGAAAAAAAAGAAAGAAAAAACCTTCACTGGATTCGGGACTCGGGACCTCCCTTAGAACCAATCAAGAGAAGGCAGAATTGGATATTTATGGAAACGCCCCGATTGAGTAGATGGTGGAATCTGGGTTTGTGATTAGATCTTCCTATCAAAGGTAGAGTAGGTAGGGTAGGTAGGGTAGGTAGTTATGAAGATAGGTAGGGGAGAGAGATAGATAGATAGATACTACTTTACTTTGTATGTACTCGTACTATGCTATGTATGTTTAAAGGCAAATCAAATCATAATATTTCGATTTGCTACTCGTGTTTCTATTTCTATTTCGCTTCCTATTCCTATTCCTGTCCATATCCATATCCATATCCTTTTTCATTTTCATATCCATTTTCACATTCATCTTCACATTTAATTACTTAATCATTCAATCCCTTCCCTTCCCTTCCCTTCCCTTCCCGTCCCTCCCTTTCCCTCCTCCATTCGTTACTTCGTACATCCTCCACCTCTCTTCTCCACTGTCATTGTCAGTTTCACGCTCACTTCCATCGTCATCATCATCATCATCATCATCATCATCATCATCTCGTCACTTTCGCTCTGGTCCCCTTTTTCTTGTTTCTCTCTTCTTCCTCCTTCGTATATACTTTCCCATTTCTTTTTCAATTCCCCATATATTCTTCATCCCTTCCTATCGCCGCGTCGAGAACGTACGATCTTCAACCAAATTTGATCAGATCGACCTGGGGACAAAACGTCTCGGATCACTTTCGACTCTCTCGACTCTCTCGACTCCATCTAATCTACCTACGGAGATTTCAATCCGTAGATTCGAGTCACCCTTTTCACGTCAAGACCCCTCCCTCACAGATCTGTTATTGATCGAATCCCCTTATCTTCGATGAGATCGTGGGGTTGATCCTGGGCCCAGTTTGGTAAACTGATCTACCCCGTAATACGAACTTTTGGGAAATCTGTTCAACGTTCGATCAACTTCAAATTACAATCCCGACATCATGTCGACGCCAATTCAAGAAAAGGAACAGTTCTCGTTCCCTGCATTTCCAGCTGACCCTCACCATACTCACCACCAGGAACCTTTTCGCCAGGAACGTCGCTCGTCTGATGAAGATGGAACTTTGGGAGATGAACATCCATACGAATATCATCATGACCATCATGACCATCACAACCACCAAGATCAACACGTCGACAGCAATCACTTGAGGGTTGCCACGAGTTTTTCCCATGACCCGGAATACCTGAGCAAAAGAGATCAGTCGCCTTTATCTGCCGCTGCACAGAGAGAGCAGTCACGGCGACTTGACGATGACCTTGAGATGCTTCGAGTAGAACGTGTGATATCGAATGAAGAAAAGGGTGATGGCAGCAGTATGGGTAGATCAATGAGGTCGAGATCTAGGGGGCCTAATAGAGAACCCATTGATGATTTCGACGTTGACACTACCCCTATACACGAGAAGACTAAAATATATAGACCACCAGCACATCCGGCCACAGCACTTGCAAAGTTCTTCAAGAAGGTTCACGGCTCTAGCGTCTTGGTTCGATATTTCGTCTATATCACGCCGTTGACGTTGCTACTTTTGATTCCCGTCTTGTTTGGACTCTTTCTTTTCAAAAGGGCCACGGTCGGAGGTGTTAAGCTTTTCTGGTTTGGTATCTGGCTAGAAATTGTTTGGTTGACATTATGGCTTGCAAGAGTGAGTGATCGAGAGATCCTTTGCAAATCAAAACCTCGCTAATTACCCCTGAATAGATTATTGCCAAATGCATTCCTTATCCAATGGGTCTTGTTTCTAGCTTATTCACCAATAATAACAAGAAATGGAGGGATTTAGGGAAGTCACTAGAGGTGCCAGCAACTCTGTTCTTTTGGTGGCTGGCTGTTGAAATCTCCTTTCTCCCAACCATGAAGAACCATCATCTTGATGGAAACAAGGGTACTCGCAGCTGGGAAAATACCTGCAACAAGATCATTGTATCTGTACTTGTCGGAGCCACCTTGAACTTTGTCGAGAAGATCATCATTCAACTCATTGCCATTAGTTTTCACTTGCGAACATATGCCGATAGAATCGAGATCAACAAATTTCAAATCCAGAGTCTAGTCAAGTTATACAAATATTCCAAGGAAAAGATTCTTGAGAAAGATGAGGATTTCGAGGACCGTAGTGGAAACGCAGGTGTTAAATCGGGGGCTCGTACTCCAATGGCTTATGTCAACAAGGCTCAGAAAAATGCGAAGAATGTCTTTACCAAGGTTGGTGATGTCGCTGGTAAGGTAGCTGGAGACTTTACGGGAAGAGCTGTCACATCAAGTACTCATCCACATCAAGTGTAAGAATTCTCATGGCTATAGACTCCTTACGATGCTAATTTTATATTCTAGCATTCTTCAACTTCTTAACACCACAACCGGATCTCAAGTACTTGCTCGTAGACTTTACCGAACCTTTGTGCACGACAACATGGAAACCATTCTGGCGGAGGATCTAACACTAGCTTTCGATAACGAAGAAGAGGCCGAGGCAGCATTCACCATGTTTGATAAAGATTTAAACGGTGATATCTCGATGGAGGAACTCGAAACCGTTTGTGTTGAAATTGGACGAGAACGAAAAGCAATCACTGCCTCGCTCAAGGATCTGGACTCGGTGGTCAGCAAACTCGATGATATACTGTTGTTCATCGTTGTAGTCATTACCATTTTGGTATTCATCTCTCTCATTTCTACTTCTGCATCTGGTGTCTTAACGTCAGCTGGTTCGTCTGTCTTGGCTCTTTCTTGGTTGTTCACCGCAACTGCTCAAGAGTTTCTGCAATCGATCATCTTCGTTTTCGTCAAGCATCCTTTCGATGTTGGTGACCGAGTTACGATTTACGGAAACACTGGATCTAAGTTACAAGGAGATGATTATTTCGTGAAGGAAATTTCGCTCCTCTTCACCGAATTCAAAAAGATGGAAGGTCATGTTGTACAAGCCCCAAACAGTTATCTCAACACCCTTTTTATCCTGAATCAGCGTCGTTCAGGAGGTCTCGCCGAAGCTGTTCCTATCACAGTCAAATTCGGCACGTCCATCGAACAACTCGAGCAACTTCGCGAAGAACTCGTCAAGTTTGTTAAATCCGAAAAGCGCGAATACCAAGGCAAGATCATCACCGAAGTAACAACCATCTACGAAAACTACTCCATCACCTTTAACGTCGTCTTCTTCTACAAGTCCAGTTGGCAAAACGAGTTGTTGCGTCTCCAACGTCGCAACAAATTCATCATCGCCATGATTTGCGCAATGGAAGATATAGGAATCCAAGGTCCACGCCAACGTCTCGCAGGTTTCACTCAAGAAAACCCCGTTTTCCTCAATGGCGCCTATCCACCTCCCTACAACCCCAACCCCGACTCCTCAGATTTAGGATCTGGACCCGGTCCCCGTTCTGGCTCTCTCGCCCGCGATAACCCACACATGGGCGAATACGAACCTCAAACCGGAGCTCAGCACGCCCCAGGCGTAAACACACACCCCTCCATCCTCCGCCGCCGCACTTCAGGCTCCCAATCCAACGCCCGTCGCCGCGGTGAATCCCTCTCCGCAATGAACAAACGCATCGACTTCTCCCTCGGCATGCAAGGCATGTCCTCCGGCATGGACCTCGGCGACGTCTTCGACGAGAAACCGCGCGTGCGCATCCCCGACGTAACCTTCACCTCTCCCTCTTCAGGCCCACACTCGCGCTCCAGTCGCGAAGGCCACTCCCGGGAAGGACAATCGCGAGACCGCGAGGAGAGTCTCGCGCGCCAATCGACGCGGGAATCCCGCGACTCGCAACTCGCAAAGGTGACGTCGGCCAATAGCACGCGCACGCATCGCAATCGATTTTTCTCGCGCGGTAGAGGGAAGTTTTCGGGGGGTGGCGGTCCGGTAGATCAAGATGGGACGAGTTTGGATGAGTTGGAGGCGGGGTTGCATTCCCAGGGGGGAGATATCCACAGTAGTGAATTGAGAGATATCCCCGAAACATCGGGCTATTCGACGGCGAATCCGAGTCCAGGGGGGAGAATTGATCCGCGCTCGGGCGTGGTGAGTTCGCAGGCGGTGCAGAGTGATGGTCAGAGGGAGAGGGGGGAGTTGCCGTCCGTGGGGAAGATTGGGGGTCCGCCTAGACGGGCTTTTACAGGGATTTAGATTCGCTTCGAGGCGAGGAGAAGAGAGAGAGATTGTGTATAGTATATAGAAAGGAGAGGAAAGGAGAGGAGAAAAAAGAGTGGGATTCATGATATTTAGCGGGAGCGTGCATAGCATATAGAAGGGAGACGGTATTTGATTACGAGCAAGCGAGCGTCGAGCATAGATAGCGAGGAACGATTAGAGGGTTTTTGTCAGGAGAAAATCCTACAGACGGGTAAATTCACGATAGATGGATGCATGTATGAGATGATTTTAGAATTTGCACTGGCGGCATTTGCCTGGCATGATAGACGATAGAGGGAAGATACTTAGGTTAGGTCGGGTAAATAGTTACCTCGTACCTAGGGAGCTTAAAAGTAATGAATTAGCTTAATTTTCACCATTGTATTATCTTCATTTTGCTCAACTGGTTTGGCACGCCACACAATGGGAGATTGCAGACCTACGTCATAGGCAGCCGACACAATCACCTCGAAATCAGAATGCCATCGTAAAATCGATAAAATAATTCCTTGCATTTTTGATATCTTCGGAATAAAACTAGCTGCCAAAAGAATACACTCGGCGGATCCCCTCAACTCCTCCACTACACTGACCCACATGCGCATCTGCGAAGAGACACGAATAAACCAATCCCTATTCCCTCAAAGTAGAAGATAACACACTCAAGAACCCGTTAAAAAAACGAAATCAGACAGACAGATCATCTCAATCGTGTAGTGACCCATGATCCATTGAAAACACCTTGTCAACACCTAATTCTACCGCATTAAAAAGCGTACATAAAATCGAAGCCAATATTGTCTGATCATGAGTCTCATCTCTCATAATACGTGCTTAACAAGCCAGTAGCAACGCAATCCTGTTTCGAATTTTATGGCCTAGAAATCCCAGAAATCACCACCAGTAGCCTTTTGATTTTGGGCTTTGCCAGGGCGACCATTGCGGAATTTGCTTCCTACACCGTTGAGACCACCGGCTTCCTCTCCATCAGAATCATCTCCAAAACCCCATCTTCTGCCTGCACCTTTGCTGCCACCCATTCCGTCACCCATTGTCTTGATACCAGTATTTTGCTGGTTGCGCTTAGAAGCCGTGTTGATTTCAGACAATGGCTCCTTGGTAGCGTTGGAGCGACTTGGTGAAGAAGGGTCGTTCTCTTTTCTGGCGTTCTTCTCAACAGGTGATTCATCGTATGTATCCCAGTTAGCATCCATCATCTTCACAGCCTTGGCCCTATCTCCTGCCATATGAGTAGGAGCCTGTCCAGTTACTGGCGATTCATCAGCCATGCTAAAATGATCATAATCCTTGGTTCTGTCCTTGGCATTTGCAAGACCTGTAGTATGTTTCTTTGAGACTGGCGTGTCACCTCCATTCTCACCAAATAGAATGTCTTTGTAGAGCCCAAGTCCATTATTGTGACCTTGCCCACGAGGGTTTCCAACGATACGACGATCTTTTTGAGGGGTGGCATCGTCTTGGAACTCAAAATGTGTCTGAGCATCCTTGCGAGGTTTTTCGGCTTTCTTGAATTTGACTGGACTATCTAAGACTTCATCATCACTGTTACTCCAATGGCGAACTTCAGCTGCGCGAAGAACTTTAGTAGGAACAACCTTTTGCGGTGTTTGGAAATCATCAAATCCCCATTGACTTTGATGTTGACCCTTGCCACCCTTGCCAGTTGGCGGTCGAATGGATTCCTCTTCCTCGGGGCCATCGGTGATATCGAAGTGTTCATACCTAGCTGGATTTGGGCGGTACATGGGGTCCTTCGACTTCTCGCGAATGGGGCTATCTGGGGTGTTTTCATTCTCATCGGCATCGAATAGTCGAGATGGTGCGAATTTCTTGGAAGCGCCTGCTTTTGGAGAAAGGACAGTGTCTACAGTCGAGGAATTCTTGTTAACAAAAAGATCATCATAGTCCCGAGGTGCTGGCCTTGCGGATACACTGGCTGGTACTTCGGCCGGACGGGACTTGGATCCAATATCCTCACGGGGAGTAAACAAGGAAAGGCTTGCGTGCGGGTCGCGCAACACATTATTGGAGTTACCTCTGGCGCGAGCGAGCGGATCCACGTTCGAAGAAGCATCTAACGTACCAGTATTTTTGATGCTTGATGCGATAAGCTTTATTTGATCCTTTCCATCCCGGATTGGCCAGTTTCGTCCAGTCTTTCCGATAACATCAATCAATTTAAGAAGTGATCCCTGGTCCCAGTTTTGTCGAATTTGTTGGATTTTTCCGTTGCCATCGAAACTTACGATATGGATCTGCCATTATTAGCATGCGGGCATATTGTAAACATACAGTACCAGACTTACGATTGGAAAGGTGACTGTGCGGTCAGCGAGAAAGTTGTCATCCAGTCCAGGTAGATAGGATCCTCCCGAGGTCTTGAATTCAATGGTTGTGTGGATTTCTGCGGCGATGGAGGAGTATCCTTCAACAGTATTTAGGAAGGTTTCCTCTTTCTTCTCGAGTTGATGGTTCTGTCCATTTAAATGCTTGACAACATTAGAAGCTCCATGAACAGTGACTAGAGTTGTAATGAAATGAAGGGAAGCATCAGCTGCGAGCAAGGAGGGGTTTGGGGAAGCTAGAAACTGCTTATAAGCAGATTGTAGTGACATTTTTTTTTTGAAATTGCGATGGTTTCTGATGAAATACACAACAGATGCAGGTTGATGCGAAGAAGAAAGTTGTGGTCGACTATGAGAGATGGAGGTGTCTCAGATTACGTGAACTTCAATGAAATTCGGTAACGTATTGTTGTTGGTAGTTTATGGATATGAGGAGGGGAGATTTTGTGGAAGAGGAGAGGAGGAAAAGGAAGGAAGGAAGATAGATGGATGGATAGTTGGATGGTTGTATGTTTACAAGTTCGCGACTTCTGTTATAATTATTGTTGCCGCGTCGCTTTATTTTATTTTGGTGAATACAGTTTCGCCTAATAATAACAATTTTTCCATACAAACATTAATACTCGGTGTATAGGTACATATATATTGTTATTTATTACTCTTTCATTCATATGTGTTATACTCCGTACTTGTAAAGACAAGATATACATACATAGGTGGGTGGGTAAGGGTCTTGAAGATTCAGGGGAATTTAACAAGGCTATGACTATGAGGGGAACATTTTTATTAATCAGGATTGTTTGTTTATATTAATCTACAGCCAATCAGATCAGGCCTTCATGCTACACTTCCTTAGCAACGGTACTACTGCACGTCAAATCTACCAGGACAGGTAAAGGAATGCTTTCTTATGTTTCAGAGCAGCGAATGGGGAACGGGAAGGGGAAATATACTGCGATGAAATAAAGACAATTATATATGGGAACGGAGTATAGAGAAAGACTCCGAACAATCTAGTAGTGTAGTCTAAGGTATTTTGAACAACAACTGCTCGTATAAAACTGCAGTAAGGAGTCTCTTTCAGGTTTTATAATAGGTAATACGCAGTACCCTCATTTTCGTTGTATGAGAGAATGATATGAAATAGCATCCATCTACCAGAACTCAAATCGGGTGACGGTTATCGTTCTCACCCTGATAGGTCCGGCTTCAGCCCTCGATGTGCAGTGAAAATGGAGGGAAGCAAGCTCATGATCATTTCTATAGCATTATATTCCTGATCAACTCAGACTCCGCCATCGAATAGAATCAACATGAGAGTAGAAGAAGCCTGTTATAAGCTAGTGCCTGTTTACCCAAGTAAGTAGACAAGAGAAATCATCTAGGGCGTGTTCAGTTCGTTTACTATACTCACTCAACATGTAAGAATTACTATCGATCTAGGTAAACTTAATGTGTCATTTGTTAAACACAATGTTGGACTTTATCCATATCAATCATTTCAGATCATTGCATTTATCGAATGTGATATTGAATGCAATGAAATTTCAAGTTTAGAATGTTAAACTAGTCAACGTCTCAAAACTTTTTCTCAGAATAATAGGGGGTTCTTTCATCATCTCCCCCAAAAACTGCAATGGCTCATTGTTTGCAATATATGTCTTTGCCGCACTTAAGTGACCCATCATCCTGTCGTCAATTGCGGGCAAGGCAGTGATCGGGATATCCTTTCATCCTCATTGCCAACGACTTTCAACTCGAGACTAAAATTCCTCGGACCCAAAATATCATTAACGGCATTTATGATGAAATAGTCGGCGGCGGACTTGTTATTATTCTGACCGAGCTTCAATGCGAAGAGAAGTGGTCTACCCTCGCCGATGACAGAAGATTGGTTAACTGTTAGTGGAGATTTAATAGCAATGTTGATGTCGTTATTTCCCATCGGAAGCTCTAGAAGAAATGGTCCATCTTCTCTGCATGATTTATCGGTAGAGGAATCTAAAATCGAGACCACGGTGATTGTTGGAGGATGACAGTGAGAAAGAACTCGAAATAGACAGACGGAGGTTCGACACGACTTTTAGGCTTTTGATGATGTGAGACACTGTGGCTTTGCATACTCTCCCTCCGAATCCCCTTTCTCCCTTTTCTATTCTGCCCCGCAGTACCACCATTCTGTATCACCACTCAGTATCACATGGCTTGAGATGCTTCAACCACTAAAGCCTAATACTCAGCTAGCTCATCAAAGACGGAGCGAACATCAATCCAGAATGTGGCGCGTGAATCCATAACATATTGTTTCGTCGATCTAGAAAGTTTTCGTTTAGTCGCTGGTTCGGATGCTCGCCTGTTAGCTACTGAACCATTGCCCAATAAACGGTGATTGGGTTGGTTGAAGGAACCTAATACTCACCCATTCAATCAGGCACATGCACATCTGTGATTTCCGTCTAGTATCCCCTTGACGAAATAGACCACTGGTGGACTAGTCCTCTTGTAAACTTCCAGGTCAGCTTTCCACAGAAAATGGCGTCTCGCCATAAAGACCCTAGTAACGTACAGAATAGGAAGTATAGTGATCATAACTATATCATAAATCACATGAATTCCTATGTCAAACTTCACCAGAAGATTTTGAAGCTGTTAAGAAACACCATCTCATTCAGAGAACTTTGTCTACTCAGACTTCAGTGCGACCTTCTATTTCCCTCTCACACCCGTTCATTCTCTTCTTCTGTCCTGTCATTCTCTCTCCGCCCCATCTTCCTTCCCAATCCTAGCTCCATCATACTCACGTCAATCCTTTGATATTCTAGCGCAGATTATTGTGAATTGTCTTCCAACTACGAAATAACCAGTTATTGAGATTGAAGACTTTTAGGTGCTCGTGATTCCAAAGTGATGGTTTCTGGTCTGTCACCATTCTCAATCCCTCACTCCCTCCATCGCCGGCACCGAACAGTCAACGCAGTGGTATCTCAGGACATCCTCTGTCTCTCCTATCAAAGCATACGTAAAGCTCCACCAACACCAATATTTAACGATTGCCGCTCCAGTAAATTACCGAGCGACCCATAAAGTAGCCAGGAGTATTGATTTTCAGCAAAAAATTGTCTGTCTCATATCGTCTACACTTGTAACGATGTGATCTTCAGAGCTGCGGCATTTGGGCATTGAAAAATGAATTTGCATGTGTTAATTGATACAATACTCGGCGACTCGTCTGTAACCAACTTCTCTCTACGGCTGTATAATAAGCTTCACGGCGTGTTCTCCGACATGAGAAATGAGAAATTGAATTTGGTACAGCATACAGTGTACGTAGAGATTAGATATTCCTGGGTAGGCGAGGTATTCTCGAGGTACTCTCGTTGGTTCAGTCTAGCCCATAAAATATCCGAGCTTAATAGTAGCCTTCCAGAAGCTCCCCGGCTACCCCACCTCAAGCTCCATCTCCTTAACAACCATCAGAACCTCAGCCTCGAGCACTAATATAAACTTGAAAGTTTTCTTACACAATTCCACAGTGCTAAGACAATCAAGGTATCTTCATTGATCATGGTATCTCAAAAGATAGCGGAAGCTATGCAGCAAATTGCAAGCTCAGAGGAAAAACAACAAGGCTACATTACCCTTCTTTCAAACGCTCAATTTACATCTACACCAGCAGAGTTACCTGGCGACTTAATCGCCATTTTCGATGCCGTATTTGCAGATGCTTTAGGCATAGTTGCAACTCGATCCGTGATTGTATCATTTGTCGATGCACTCAAAGCCATAAATAATAATGAAGCCAAGATTCAAGTTGGTCAACATGCTTTATCGACACTTAGTGAACAAGCATCCTCATTCGAAGAACAAAATGCGCAAATACGTGAGCTGATGGCCACAGCGTACGAAGACGACGAAGATAACCTTGCAGCTGCCAAAATATTAGCTGGTATCGTTCTGGAATCATCGCAACGAAAAGTCACGAATGAGGAGAAAGTTCGTTGTTGGATTCGTATTACTCGCAACTATCTCGAGGTGGATGATACAACGCTTGCAGAGCAATACCTGAACAAAGCTAAGAACGTCATATATACAGTCGAGGACCGTGATCTGAACCTGCACTTTCAACTCAGTCAAGCACGTATCCACGATGCTAGGAGGAATTTCTTAGCCGCTGCTCAAGGCTACCAGGATATTAGTTTCTTGCCTGTCATCGCCGAGGAAGAACGTTTGCACACTCTCAGTATGGCCATTAAGTGTGCTGTCCTGGCGCCTGCTGGCCCCCTTCGAAGCCGTGCTTTAGGCAGATTGTATAAAGATGAGCGAGCTGCTAGTTTAGACGAGTTCAGTATTTTGGAGAAGATGTTCCTGGATCGCTTACTGTCTCCCGAAGAAGTATCTAAGTTTGCAGAAGGTTTGGCTTTACATCAACTCGCAAAGACCTCAGATGGTACCACTGTCTTGCAAAGGGCAGTTGTAGAGCACAACTTAAGAGCTGCGTCGAGGTTATACAACAATATTCGTTTCGAGGCTCTTGGCGAGATATTGGATCTTGACGGAGACAAGGCTGAGGAAACTACCGCAAGCATGATTGAACAAGGTCGATTAGTCGGTAGGATTGATCAAGTCGAGAGGGTCATTTGGTTCGAGGGCGGAGAAGCTACTGGAGAGAAAGGTAGCGGTAGATCGGAAGGGATTGTTGGGAGGGAATTGAGAAGATGGGATGCTAATGTTCAAAATTTGGCCGAGGAAGTTGAGAAAGTGACTTCTGAGTTGCAGCTAGTTTATCCGGTGAGTAGAATTGGATATCATCTGTTGCCACCGCTAATGTGTGTTTAGGACTTCGTCGCTGCAAATATGGTGGTATGAGAATAGGGATGATCCGAAATGAATTACACGATACAAGCCTGGCGTTAGGTGTGGTCACTGCATACCAATAGAGGAGTTTAGGTGACGATGTTCACCATGACATTTATGATAATAATGAAAAATAGATCAATTTAATCATTAAAAGCACAACAAATACCACATTTTCTATCTTTGCCAGTTGTAGCGGTGCATTTCAACTATATTTGAGCCTTTGACTCAAGCCATTAGCCCCACCCGCCGTCAAGATATTGTATACCTATCGACCACTGCTCGGGGTACTAGCTTTTCTGGAGCAGCAAAGAGTGTTGCCCTTGTTCAACTTTCGATCCTCTAACAGACATCAGTCGGTGAAGTTCGACGCCAATCAAAGTCCCCATCCGATCATAGCCCTCTTCTGTGAAGTGCAAGCCATCGGTCCAGATTCGTCTACGTTCCTCTTCTGGCATTCTCCAATACGGTATGGCATCATGAAGATCCAGCACATGACTAGATGGCAACTCAGCATTTGCCTCAGAGTCTCACAAAGTACACACTCACAAATTTTCAGCTTGATGAGCACGAATCATACCATTCAGATAATCTCTTCGCCGGTCGAGTTCTGGCCTACAAGTACCACATTCTGGGATGGTCAAGGCCAAGACTTGAGTTCCTCGAGAGAGAGCGTAATCCCAGACTCTCATCAGATATTCGAAGACCATGTCAACATCTTGATTTTGAGTTAGATCGTTAGTGCCTCCTAATATGACCATCCAGTTATAAGGTACTTCGATCTCATTGTCTGGTACGGGTTAGTAATGTTATATAGGGTATTTAGGTAGTCACAGTATCAATCCCGCTCAGATAACCACAGTCACAAACACAACCAGACTTTAGAACAGAGGACCACTTACACAAGATATCTAGTCTTGGTAAGTAGTGTCCAGGAGGACTGACAACTTGATCTCCAGGTAATCCTTGGATATCTGTTTTTATCGAGATGTAGGGTGAGAAGGTTTGAAAAGTATCCTCCAATGCAAGAGCGTATGGATGATTGGATGGCCACCCATGTGTTAATGAATTGCCAAAGCACAGAATGTGAACCGGATTCATAATGAGCATGATGATGATAGGAGGATAAGTTGTGTACCCCGCCTTGTTAGTATTTTGTGGAGTATATCTGTTACCGGGACAGTGTCTCTGTTTACTCGCAGGATATGGACAGAGGTAAAGATGAGTTTCGGATATCTTTGATGGAACAATAGTTGTAGGAATAGAAAACTCGTGAGACTTTTTCACAGGTGTGTTAAAAACAACTTACTACAGCTTCTAATTGTCTTTCATGAATTAAATGACAGCTTGAAGCGTGATTCAAGTGTGTATAAAACCAGAAGGAAGCTCTAGATTGTGCGGGATCTTCCGGTTGCCTACCCGGGTTACGGTTGCCCTGCCATGTAAACAATCAAATCTAATTTCACCCGCGAAAAAAGAACCTAGAAATACCCAACCTCATTTTAAAAACTTCACGCGCCATCTTTTACGCGCATCTTCCCCCGATTCTGACATTATATTGCTTGAATAGAGGATGTAATAAATTGGAGCCAGATTACATAATTTTTGATTCATATCGCACAAATATCGACATTCGATTCACTGCCTATCTTCCATCACATCGCCTCAATGGCGACAGCTTCACCAACCCCAATGGGGTCGAGTCAATTTGCAGCTATCCGAAGACCTGCCTCACGAAATGCATATAAACCAGCTCCTACCCGAACGTCTTCTACCAGGCCAGATGCAGAATCAGCCCGACACTATTCGCTCAACGACAGCTCAGACGACGAAATTCCAATGCCGATGAAATTGAGTGCCCTCACAAAAGCTTTACTAGATGACGAGGCCTCAGTCGTTGAAACTCCAATCGCTGCTCGTATGACACCAGAGGCTCCTCAAAAATCACAGACAAGAGTGGAAAGTGCAGGTATTTTGGGGTCATCTACCAGGGGGAAGCAATCGCCGCTTGGAAGCCGTGAAAACAGCCCTACCTATCCGCGAAGAGTTGTGCGAGTGAGTGGTACGCCTGGCTCTACATCGCTACGAAGAGGTCCTTCATTATCTAGTGCGGTTCAGAAGCACAATGAACAGCAAGCGGCACTAAAAACGGAAGGGGGCGCATTAGACCTGAGCACCCCCGCACCAGTACCCAGGACCGTACGAGTATCTATTGGTAGATCTTCAATTGGTTCTTCCGGAAGACCTTCTGGTAGATCAGAATCACCACAACAGGAAAATGAGTACGAGAATGAAGGGCCATATGAATATCCTTCAACAGTTACAAGGTCACATCTAGCTGTGAGCCAGGGAAGTGTATCGAGATACAACCCCTCTGCCGCGGGTCGTTCGAGGTATGGCGAAGAAATAGGATTGCAAAGTTCCATGAGAGTCAAGAGAGGTGCAGTTCCCAAAGTTTTTGGAACATTCATGAGAGGCCCGGCTCGGAGAGGACGACCACGGATATCTCAGTCAGATGAAGAACAAAGCCCAATGGAGGAGAACGCAAACAGCAACGAAGTTGGATCTAACCAAGAACCTCAAAGTCAAGAATCGCAATATGAGGAACAAGAAAGCCAGAATAAAAGCCCAACACCAGAGTTGGAAGTAGCTAGGCGGGCGCCAGTCTCCTCGTACAGAGATTACGCCTCTTCGGGTAGTCCTCCTAGCTCGAGAAACGTTTTAAATGCAGCCCTGCGTTCCAGGTCGCCACCACCCCCCACTGTATCTGGTTCTCGCGAATCCGATCCTCGCTCCGTTCCCTCTGCGTCGAAGCAACAGCCCGTGTTCAAGATACCAGCTCCACGTCCAGGTATTCCTGCAACTTATGATCAAGAAAACGACGCGCCCCCAACATTCAGGCGAAATAAACAGCCTTTAACCAACGCAAATAGTGCAGAAAAACAAACTCGGCCAGAAAGCTTCGATGTACGTGCTAATGGGTCTCCGGAAAGACGTCCTCTGGCTGTCCGGAGTCACAATACTCCTCGAAGACCTGCACCTCCACCACCAAAGATGTCCGTTTTAGAGGCTGCGACCAGTACTGCTGGTGCCGCTACTACATCGCACGCCAATGCCAAAAGAAATAGGCTAAAGGTCAATGGGAAAATATTTACACGTTTGGATGTTATTGGACGTGGAGGTAGTTCAAAAGTATACCGAGTGATGGCAGAGAACTCAAAAATATTTGCATTGAAGCGTGTTTCCTTGGAAGATGCAGATGAATCGGCTATACGTGGTTTCAAGGGTGAAATCGACTTACTAAAGAAGCTGGGCTCTGTAGAAAGAGTAATTCACTTATATGACTACGAATTAAATGATGAGAGAGGAGTTCTTAGTGTGGTAGGTTATATCGTCTACATTTTTTATATAGAGCAAGTCAGCTAACTTTCACCTAGCTTATGGAGATGGGAGAATTGGATATGAATACGATCCTAAATCTACGCATGAAATCCGAACAAGCCAAGTTAGACGTCAACTTTGTGCGCTACTACTGGAAAGAGATGCTTGAGTGTCTCCAAGCTGTTCACGCTTACGATATTGTTCATTCTGATTTGAAACCTCATAACTTTGTCCTCGTCCAGGGCCGTCTCAAGCTGATAGATTTCGGCATCGCCAACGCGATCCAAACAGAAGAAACCGTGAACGTCCACCGCGAAACACAAATCGGTACACCAAACTATATGTCTCCTGAATCCCTCATGGACTCAAATGCTTCTGATGGGAGGATTCGCAGTGAACCGAAACTCATGAAACTCGGGAAACCATCCGATATATGGAGTTTGGGCTGTATACTTTATCAAATGACATATGGTCGTGCTCCATTTGGTCACATTCAAAACCAACTGCAGCGCTGTCAAGCGATCATAAACTTCAGCTATGAGATCGAATATCCAGCATACGGTGTGGGCGGTGTTTTGGTTCCCAGCTCTCTGATTCGAACACTCAAAAACTGCTTGAACCGAGATCAGCATAGAAGGCCATCTGCGGAAGAACTTTTAGCGGACAACGACACATTTCTGAACCCGTTGGAAATCGATATGGATAAGCACTTTCCTATGACGGAAGAATTGCTGGGCAGAATTTTGCAAAATGTTATACAAAAGTGCGAAGCACTAGGGAGAGTGCCTAGTGAAGGAGAGCTCTTGACTGCGTGGCCTAAAGGCTATTTCGCAAGTTTAAGGAAGGCCGAGAGGGGTGGAGCATGATTGTCATTGAAGACGTTGGAGATACGAAATGGGATGGATCATGATGATTAATGCAAGCAAACGGAGTTTGTGAGCTGGACGAAAGGTGTTCGGCGTTTACTATTATTGACACTACCTCGCTCGAAGATTCGGAGACAGGTGGTATCATAGACCAAGAGATCAGGTGGTAATTAATGTCTTTAAAGTATTGTATGATTCGATGGATAGGACAAGAATGGCGTTTTGGGTATACTTTTTCTCTTTCCCTTCGTTGTGCTTTGGGAGTTTGTAGGATATACCAAATTCCGTTTTAGTTTCAATTATGAGTTCAAGAGGAGGAGGGGAGGAAGGAGGAGAGATAAATGAGATTTTACATTTCAAATTCTAAGTCTTGTGCAAGAATTTTGTGATGTTGAGTTGAAGTTGTGTGTAGGCGCTGGTGTTGTTTCGACTAAATTTGCCCAATGGTTCGACTTTCCCTTTGAACACTTTAATCTGCTTTAATAGTAAATGTGCCGAAACAGTGTAAACATTCATAAGGAATGTCATAAAGCTTCTTCCTCCTGGAATCCTTCGAAGCGAGTGAGTAAACGAGCACTAGATACGTAAATGTAAATTTTGCATCTCAACAAAAGTGGTTCTTAGACTCTTTAAGGTTACTGGTCCTTATACATAAGCAAAGGGAGAGGAAGATCTTTGAAAGTTGAAAAACTTTACTACAAATCGGCTTATGGTATTTGAGCTTAATGTATTCCTTTGGTATGAGACGATGAGTGATGGGTCGAAGACTTTGGGTCCTCGTGCAATTTGGATATTTTAAAGCAGTACACATTTCGCAGGCGTTCAATGTCTAGATCGAATCAAGTCTTTTGTATAGATCAAATATTCCAAATGAGTACAGAGTTCTATATACCTATTCAATGTTTAGATTGATTTCAGACTTTTGCATAGTTTGAATTTTCCAAATCATTATAACATCCATGATACCATAGCAATTCAATGTCTAAATTCAGTTCAAATAAGGGTCGCAAAATAATAGCTTAAATTTAGGGGAGCTCGGAGGTGGGGAGCAGGGGAGGTAATATTAGACGGGCGCACGGCGCATTACGTCATCACCAAATTATTGTTTAATCTTCAAAGTCAAACTTTACTTGACATTCTCAGATTTTGAGAACCGCAAACAGATTATATCTTTGCATAAGCCATACAAAACTGCCATGCGATCTTCAATGATACTACGAAGTCTTATGCGCTCGTGCAGGACGGCTTCCACTCGACCTGCAATCGTTCGCCACACAGCCGTCGTTTGCCAAATCTGCCACCAGCAATCCACCCCTCTTTCCCAAGCTGTTCCTACGATTCCCTCCCGCAGATACGCATCTTCGTCCACGAATCCTTCACCATCTGCTTCACCAGACCAAACTACTCCTTCTGTTACCTCAACCCCGCAAACCCACTACGATCTTTTCCCTCTCACTCTTCCTCGCGGTCCGCCACCCTCCGGTCCCTTCCACATCGACGTTCGTGCGTTGCGCAATGAATTTCTCCGTTTGCAGGCAAGCGCACATCCAGATTTACACTCAGCGTCAAATAAAGCCCGCGCTGAAGCTACCAGCGCTTTGATCAACGAGGCATATAAAACGTTACAATCTCCTCTGTTGCGGGCGCAATATCTGTTGGGACTGCAGGGCGTAGATGTACACGATGAGACTGGGAAGACCGGAGGGGAAGCGGGAGATAATGAGTTATTAATGGAAGTTATGGAGACGAGGGAGGAAATGGAGGAGGCGGAGGAAGAGGGCGATTTGGATGGATTGAAGGTTCGGAATGAGGAGCGAATTGCTAAGTGTGAGGATGTGGTAGGGAAGGCTTTGGAGGCTGGGGATATGGAGACCGCAAGCAGAGAGACGGTCAGACTGAGATATTGGGTCAATGTGAGGGATAGTTTGCATGCGTGGGAGAAAGGCAAGCCGGTTGTTATGGTGCATTGAGGTGGGTTAACGGGCGTTGGGGGTGAGTAGAAGCCATGGATTTTTTCGTTCGATATCGCTTTTGACTATATTTGAGATATACTCAATACGTATAGCAGGCGATAGTACCTGTACTGGTTCCAACCAGTCATCCCAACGTACGACAAGTGACGTTGGCCTTAGCTCAACTCAGAAACTGCTTTTCCTGCGATGGCCACAGTGGCCGAAGCATCGGTCTATCAACCCAAATCATTCAAATCGACACATCACATCTAGTCCGAAGGACACTCCTCCACTTTCCTCTACGAAATTCTACTACGAGATTGCAGCGGCCCTAGAAGAAAAAAGGCTGCCTGTATGTTTGAATGCATGTTATCAAATAGCACTGAAAAATTAGATGTGGGAACTCGGGATGGAAGCATTCTGGAAGGAAATTATGACCAAAGTTAGATATACCCGGCTTGAGCAATTAGCAAGGCCTGTTTTACCGTTTCCTATTGTATAATAAAGAATTCACAACTCCGGTTCGTTCTCATCATCCACTTTTTCTTTTGCGCGTAAATGGAAATAGCGCGCTGGATCTGACTGATGTGCAGCTACGCAATGGTTCAAAAGTAATGCTCAACAGAAGATGGAGACGAGATTAGTAATGTCAATTTAGTGACAGTTGCCATCACCGATTATATCGAGATGTAGATAGATAGGTGTCTCAATCCTAGACTGTTGTCCCGTCTAGCCATGTGATTTTGCATATCAGCTTGAGGATTGATTTCTTCTCTGGCCCTTCTCTCATCTGATATTGCCAATTGGGCTGACTCGTCTGATATGTCTTCTGGTAGCGATTTTCACGCTGGATTTACAGTGGAGGCTTGATAGCTTGATTAGGCCTCTCCACTATTCTCTTATGCCCCAGCAATGACAAATCATGTTGAATTTGGTACTCATGGCGCATCTGAGTTCTGAATATCATTAAGAGTACTTGTTTTTCCCCCTATTTTCCTTGCATCGCGAACGTTCCTCAAGACTCCAGTCCTCGTAATCTTTCACGCCCTTCCAAATTCTCTTGAAATCCATACTCCTGTTTCCATTCTCGATTACTTGATCAGCATCTCCCTCGCCAAAGCTCCCTTTCTAATTGCGCCAATCCTCAACCTCTCCCTCTTCCTATCATCTCATAACCTCAAATTCTCATGCATCCCATCACAAACTGTTTGAAGTTTGCGGAATCTTTAAACGTCAAATCAACCTAGAACTGTACCTTTCCATATCCAATCCTCTATTCATTTTCCCTAAACCGCTTTGGAGGCTTCCTAGACACATCCAATGGCGACTTCGATCACTGGCGCGGACGATATATGTGGAGAGAGGAAGAGCCATTGTTGCAAATTTCATTGGTGATAAATTGCTCGAATTATAGAATCATAGCTTCTTCACAATAGAAATAAGATGTCTCAATAGGAAGCTTGCAATGCAAATGATTGGAGCCTGAGCACACCGGTAGTTCAGCTGCATTGCGGGAGAGCTTGATTAAAGCCTCACTGCGGATGTCTGATACAAGGTTGTGATTATTCAAACAATTCCTCCAAATTTTAACTCAGAAATTTTAGATCTCTCCCATCACAAGAACATAACATCCAATTTGCGAATTTGTTGGTGTAAATAGCCATTACTTTGTCTCTTCGTCTGAAAACTGCTCATTTCTGAGAACCCTAGGCGTTACGAGAACTGGGCTTTAACGAGGTGTTTTTCTAGCTACCTATGATCCTTAGCTTGAATCATCGAATTTGAGGAGTGAAAGCCCAGTAGTTTGCATGCCAGCAACTAGCATTTCGTTTCATCCCTACTCGTTTTCGACGAAGTGGTGGAGAAACTTGAAAGTTGAGTCTACGTATCATTTTCTTAAAAACCAAACTTCGCCGAGGTGGCTAGCAAATGATTGCCTTTTTTATTATCAATACGTTATAGTAGAGAGAAACATATCTTGCCATTTTATTCGCGCCCCTTTGATGAAAGATACCGCACTTGCGATTAATGTAAGGAGAGAAAGCTTGGTATTATTAGGTAGTTAGACAGGTCTCTCTCATCCGACATATCCAGAATACAAAACAGAAAACCTGCCGATCAATATTATTCATCATTCATCGTTGCGATATTCATCCTATCCACAAGAAAGCAATTTCTGCGCGTCTAGCCACTACCGCTATATCAAAGTCCACACAGCGCTCGTTGTTCTCGTTGTAAATCGACATATAGCGACAGGGAGGGAGGACGGCGAATATTCTCTAGGTGATTGTTATTGAGTTGACATCACCACTCCCGCGATGCTCATTTGGTGAAAATCGACCTGAATCTATCGTCCACGATATATCCAAGATATATCACAGAAGAAGTACACCTCACATGTATGAATGACATATCGCGAAACAAACATCTACTTCCTTCAGCAACAAACTTCCATAATCCTCATAGAGCTCTGTGATCTGCAATCTATAAAGCTTCTCTAGCGTAGCTCATACCGTTTTCGCCTACCTCGTGTGATATGAAACCTCCTTCATACCTTCAAGTCGACAGGCTGTAGATAAATCTTCGACACTCACTTACAATCCGCGTTCGCTTCACATACCATCTGCATCTCCATATTCATGCAAATCCAAAAATACTCTATAGAATCCCAGCACGAATACAATGCCATTTCCAGAACCCATCAATCTTGCGCAGTTCAACCATAGGATGATTTATATGAAAGATCTTTTCATTACTGCTGCACAAATCACACATCACATATACGGAACACACTCAATATCTCCACAGATAAAGTCTTAATAATCAGCATCAGCAAAAGTAGGTAGTATTCGCTGTGTTTCAATTATAAACATACACAGAAACCTTTCTATCCCCACCAATTTTCACAATTCCAACAGACAATCATACAGTCCAGTGAAGAGAAGAAGAGTAAAAAGACAGACAAACACGTGCCCAAATAAAATCTATAGAAGAGAAGGATACCCAGACGCCAATTTGCTAGCCACAGACGGGCGCATAGCAGTACTCACGTTACAAACGCTCTCATTAAAGGTGTTAATTGCATCTCCTCATGAAGCAAAGACAATATAGTATATCCAGAGAAAGGGTGATTTTTGTCTTTTCGTTTTCGTAACCGTAATGGGGACATCCCCGTTCAAACTCATTCATCCGCCGATGATCCTTCCATCCGAGTTTGATCATAGATCTTATGAATTGCCATTTGCGGCATCCTTTGACTTTGATTTCCCCATGATCTTTTGCCATGCCTTGATCACCAGATCCTCCTTGAACCTCTCCCACCATGTTCTGTTCAAGAAATTACTCAGTTCCCTGTAATTATACATCTCACCCCAACAATCACGTCCCCACTCGCAACCTGCCATGTTAACCAAGAAATCTCGATCATGTTCATCATAATGAATGCGCGTATCGTTTCCGTTATCCGAGCATGCACCAGGTGGGAAACTATTGATTTTGCGCTGTGGAATAAATGCGGTATGGGGGCGTATCCAAGGTTGGTTAATGTATAAGAACTCGAGCGCGTCTTGTTCTTTATGTTCCCATTCCATGTGTTTTTGTTCATAGCCGACAGGGTCCCACCATACATCGAGAAGGCGATCAGTCCATGCGCTTCGTTTCACGAAGAAAGAACCAAGATTGAAACCGGAACAATCTTGTGGGACTATAAGGTTTATAGAGCTTGCTTGACCGTCTCCGACTGTGCTACGAGATTCGGCATCTAGGTAGGGAGAGTCGAGAGGGTGTGTTATGTTCAGGGGGTTATAATCATTGATATCGCGGTAGGTGTTTTTGGCTAGGCTGTTAAAGATGTGGGATTGGAGGGAGTAGGAAGGTTCCATGATGAAAGTGTTGAGGTCGAGCCACCAAAACCTGCGCAGTGTTAGCTTCTGAGCTCCATTTGTTGCATATCAGGGTCCAAATTACCATTCAGCTTCAGGATATTTTCTCAGGGAATTCCGGATAGTGTCAACCTTTTCCCAACTCTCTCTCCATTCGTGTGCATATCTCTTCTTGGTGCTCATGTCCACGATCTCCAATTCGTATCCCCATTTGTTTGCGTATTTTCGTTTGTTTTTCACACTGTCTCGTTCGATAGCCCATTCCCTTGGTCCCTTCCACTCCATAACTCCACCTCCTTGATTTGCTGCCAATATTATAACGAACTTTTTGCCCCCTCCAAAATGCGTTGCTCGGCGCCACCAGTAATGTAAAGCTATCTCGAGGTCAGAATTTCTCGCGGCCCCCCTGTTCGATGAGTTGACTTACGTGTAGAATAGAAAAGAATTATCATCATTACAAACCCCAAAACAATCATAAATCGCAGCTTCATCTTGCTACTGACTCTCGCAAGACCGTTTCTTATACGTGCCAGCTTGGAAGAACCTAACCATCGTCCGCGCCCCAATTTCTCTTTTTCCGCATAACTGCCATCCCCTCCCATGTGAAAATGCGGCAGACTATTCGATATATTTCTGATGTGCCGATTGAAGAAGCCATTGTTCTTAGTTGAAAATGAAGGGTACCCATTTACTTCCTCGCTCTTTGCTCTCGCAGATTCCCAAGTTACCGAACCTCCATTTCCGCCTGTCCTTTGCATTTTATTTGGGCTCGATCTTCCACTGACATTGGCATAAGGGCTTGAGAGACCTGGACTAGCCCATCCTCCTCCAGGTCTTGGAGATGGACTTCGCGATAATGACATTGAACCAATGGGTGTTCCAGGTATAGGTGATAACACCCGGGTGGAGGAATGGGAGGAAGTTCGTTCGTCAGGCTCAATTCCTGTCTTTATGTGTATTGATGACCGTTTCCGATGATGCTGGTGGGAGGATTTCAAAGAAGAAAGACCGGAGGACGCCAGCTTGACGAAATGACCAAAGAAAGTCAAAAAAATAAAATAAACAATAAATTTAATGAGACACTATAACTAGCTCGTTCCTATCACCTTACTCGAGCTTTCCAAAAAGAATTCAAGTCGCGACCACTCTATGGAATGAATTCGTTGGCTGAATGCAAAGTGTCCTGAGGTTCTTGGCGTTCTCTCGTGTTTTTTTAGATAAGGGATGAATGGTGTACCGGGACTTTATTTGATTTATTTCTGCTTTGAGAACTAATGGCTTGAGCGTTTTGATGAATGGCGTTTTTGATTTGTGGGCAGTAGCTGTATGTATGAAGTTTGAAGAATTGAATACGATATACACATATGTATGAGTATGACTGACTATGAGTATATAGTAAGACTTCAAAACTTCAAGATGGCAAGATGGCAGGACCGCAAGATGGCAAGAAGGGAAGAAATTAAATTATATATCATATACTATATACTTGGGTGAATATATGTAATTATTCCTCTGTTCCTGTCCGAATCCTTTCTTTCTCCATTTATCAATGAAATTAACCAAAATCTGAAATTAATTTATCTTGTGTAATTACGCTTCATTGATAGGGGTAATCTGGGAATCTATTATGCTAGGGGAGTATTACGCCTTATTGTATCTTTGAGTCTTGACTGCTGCTGGGTAAACTGGGGATCTGATAGCAATTTCTTATCAATTGGCTTGGTGCAGGAGTCACGTGGGAGTCTACTAGGTAGGGAGGTAGGGGAGGTAGGAGGGTAGCTATCCTTGTCTGATATGTAACCTTATTCTTCTCCTTTAAAGGTTATTATACCTTAAATTATGGAAACAAACGTCGGTCACACAATCGGTGAACAGATCAGATAATTTTGGTGTGTGTACTCGTATAGGAAGGAGTACAGTGGCTGAGCTCATGCTTATTACTGAAGACACCAATGAGGTGGTGAGATCTTCCATTATAAAATCTTTCACATCTTGAGCTGAACGTTACAGCCGTTTGTAATATGTCACTCATTTTGAACAACAAAACGATGATATATACTAGGTCTGATATTGACAAGGCAGGTCTTGGAGATGGATACAAAGTCACCACGACAGCCGGCTTTGATTTCCAAAGCAATATGTACATCTCGCAAGTTCAGTGGGTCTTGGAACTGGACATGGTGGCATCTCAACGGCGAAGAATCTTAACGGTCGAGTTGGTGAGCTAAATACGACAACTGCAGACAATACGAGGATATCCATACCACTGTCGCCGTCGTCATCACAAATGATAATTCAGACACCAGACAGAGTGTTAGTAAGCTTGTCATCACATCTACCATCCGTTTTAGCTTCCAGAGTACCTAATACGAAAGAGATGTCGAAAAGTATTCGCAGCTAGATGTGTGGTGGTCCATTGGGCAAATCGGAGATCAAGAAGACTACTACCAGATATTCAAATACGAAAATCGAAAAGAGGGATAGATGCTTCTCAAAATGGATCTCCCACTGTCCACATGCCAAGGAGCAAGCAGACCTCGCAAGCTTGTTTCCATTAATATGCACATCATATGATCACACGTGATACGATAATCAACACACTTCCATGGCCTTGTGGAATGACGAATTATACTTCTTCAATTTCTACGCCCAAGAGCTCTAATTCATCTGAGCTGGCCATTTTATTTATTCTTTACATCCAACAGTGACAACAAAATCATGGTAGACAGTTGGAAACAACACTATCTCAAATTCAACTTCAAGCTCCTACGCAACGCAACGTCCCTCTTTCTTGCAAGCACCAGCACAACCAATTGCATAAGCAGAAGCCCATCCAGATGCGGCAATAGTGGGTGCACCCGAATGTTTTCCAAGATAACACAATCCGGTGTCCCTTTGGAAATCAACAGATTGGCACGCCAATGTGAAACCGCAAATCTTCATGCATTCCTCTAAAGAGCCTGCCTGTGTATCACCAATGGGGATCGTTCCGTGGCGCTTGCAACAGTCCATACGGAATCGCTGAATATAGTTAGCAATTTCAAGCTTCGCCTTCTCTCACTAGACACTCACTTGTCCTGTGGGAGAATCCCATGTTTGTCCATCAGCGTTTGGACATTCTGTTGAGCAAAGGTATGTCAAGTCGTCTTGCTTTGCAGATGTTGGTGGGTCAATGGCAACTGCGGATGCTTTCTTGTCTGTGAATAACAAATCAGCTTCCACCAAATCAAAGTAGGTAATATGAATTAATTACGTGTAGCATCTGCGGTTAGAGCTTCGATGCCAGCCTCGAACATTTTACACTCCCAGTTGGGCTTTCCGTTAGCAAATGTTACACTATTTTAATCAGTCTTGTTCCAAGGTTTTGATAGGCTATACTTCATACCTCTTGCATTCGGGAATATCTGCACAAGCAGTCATGCATTCGGCGAAGTCATGAAGTGGTCGGCTTCCAGAGATCGTAATTTCAGCTGTATTCTCGAAGCTGCACTTGACCTTGAAGTATGTGCCCTGTGGAGTCAAGAATATCTTTCCATCATCTGAAATTGTCAGTGAATCAGATAATTCCTGTAAATCTGAGTATATGCTTACTGGTTGGACATTCGCCATCAGTTGTGAAACTTGCACTGGCGGTCACACTTTCTGCGAAGGCTACCTTAGGTGCTGGACATTCTGGTGGTGTGCGGTACTCTGTATTGGGACGCTGCTTGCGCTCTTCGAGAGGAAACCAGGTGTGCGTTCCTGGAAGGGGAAACGTCTTTTCTTGTCAGTAAAATAAGGCAAAAGATAAGATTCCACTTTCTAACTCGGTTCTACTCACCGGGATGTACTACTAAAGTTAGCGGATCGCAATCGTACTCAAAAATCAAGCAACACACATACCTCCTGCTTTGTTGCACATAGCTTGTAATTGATGTTCCAATCGGCAGACTGACAATTTGGAAGGGTCGAGCAATAATCTGCACATTCCTTTTGGGTCGCTGTGGCTGTAGTATCAAGATGCTTAGCAAGGGTACCGTGATCGCATTTTAATTCAAAAGTCACTCCATTTGCCGTTGTATATCTTGCTCCGTTGTCTGCCGGACAGGAAAAGACTTTGGGTCTCCCCACTGCAGGATCCCCAGCTACAGGAGCAGTTGAGGCGCCAGGTCTTCCTGCTGCTGGAGCTGCATCTGAAGATGTAGGAGGAGTTGAAGCACCGCCGGGTCTACCAGCGGCGGGAGCGGGGCCTGAAGCCGCTGGCTGAATTGGCACTTGATCAGGAGGTGCACTGCCAGGTCGACCAGCAGCGGGTGCTGGGGCAGAAGCTGCTGAACCTGGCCGTCCTTGAGCCTGATCTTGAGCGTTCACAAGTGGCTGGAATAGAAATAAAAGGGAAAAGAGCACAACTAGAGTACTTCTACTGAGGCCCATCATGGTTGTCGATGAATATGACTCAAGAAGGATAGTAAGAAGATGAAGGCGAGGATATCTCTCGCAAGCTTGTAGAGCAGGACTTCAACTTTAAAGTTGGACTTTATGGAAGTTTAAACAATAAGATTGTTTGTTGTCCGGATGACAACTGAAACGGAACATATGCGTCATTTATTTTAAAATAAATACGTTCCGTCCTCAGATTAGCCCCATATATGTTCATGCATCCTTGTACTCATCTGTGGTGCCACTATATTCTTTAAGCCTGGTACAAGTTAATTCTCCGAAAAACCTATCACTTTTTGAGCTGAAGGGACAGTGTCTCCCCGCATTGTAATTCAAGACACATTCAGCTGGCAACAAGTATTTGTCACACCACAAGGTTGGTTCAGGTACGCCGCATTTCTTCAACTGAAACTGTACAGACAGTATTACTGAGATACCTACATGAAAATCAATATTTGACTACATAGTTAGAGCAAGGAGTAGCACAGCGTATGCATACCTTCTCAACAATACTAAATCAACACGTCACAGGCTCCTCTCTTTCACGGAATATCGATCCGAACAAATTTAGGAGAAACACACATGCCTGTCATGTCGTAAACCACCCTTTCGTGTCTTCATACATCCATAATCGGGTTCTCTCGGAGCTTTACAAAATGCAATTTTAATCAATGTCCCACAAGCATCCCCACAATACAGTTCATATTTTGAACTTCGAGGCTTGCGTTTAGCGATACTAGCTTGATAGAGAATTGACGAGATAATCTTCTTTCTATCGCTCTTTTGTATAGCCTTCTATGTCCAGTCTCTTGAGAGTTTACTTTGACATATTTTTGTTCTCTTTCCAAACTACAGACAATTCTGTTGACAGTTTAACATCACGGACTGAATATTCGATCTTAACATGTTGATTCAAAATTTAATGAAGCTGTTGCTTCCTCTTACTGTCCTAACAGGTCAAGTTCTTGCCGTCGACCCAACTCCAGCTGACAAGGCAAAATGGGATGCAGTATGCAAGCAAAGTAAGATGATCACTTCAACTTTCTCAGAGACTAACATACTAATTCATGATAGAGGTCGGATCTCAATTTTGTGAGTTGATTAAATAACCTCAAATGTTGCTCTCTCTGACAGAATTTGCAGCCATGCAGTTTGATGCGACTGGCAGTAGGTTCCCCCTAGATAGATAGTCAGTCTTATGCTTATTGAGTATTCAGAACCGACTGGGCAATGTGTTGCGCCTCCAGTTACAAGCTGTTATTGGGGTCCATATACCGTAAGAGATGATCTCTCTATAAGGTTGCTATTTCTTTAAGTTCTAAACTCTCTAGGATCCGAAAACAAACAAACCTGGATGCTGCGGTAAAGATAAGGTAAGCTTTTTCTCAATTGTATTCTATGAAAACTGAAGCTTATTATAAAAAAAATGTAGGGAACTTTTAGTGTTGATCCCGTGGTCAAGACTGAAGGAGCATGTTGCGTTGCTCCAAGTGTCTTTTCTTTCGACGGCACAACGAAGAAAGGCGATTGTTGCGCTCCAGGTAAATTCTATCATGCCGATCCAAAGACCTTGACTGGGAGCTGCTGTGCAAATGACGACGACGTGTTTACTTGTGATTGTTCTTGCAAACCAGTAAGTGCTCATTCTAGGGTTTCACGGTTTGAAAGTTTCTAGACTAAAACTAATGTCTTAGAACCCAACACCTTCCTGCCCCAAGGGCGACGGAAAAGAATTCACAGCTGGAGGCAAGAAATACAAACTCTATTGTAAATTGAGTGAGTAAAGTCCCTCGCCTCATCTTTGATCAATGTCTAACAAGCTTCTTGTTAATCACGGAACAAATGACTTGGGCCAAGCACCCGCACCTTCATTGGGCGATTGCATGACTCGCTGTTCTGGAATCAGTAATTGCGTCCGTGCAATTTGGAATCAAGATACCGGAATCTGCTACTTACGAACTCACGGCAACAACGCTGTACCCGTAACAGTTGATCCCTATGATAGTGCTCATCTTATCGAGGAGCCTGTTTGTCCTTGCCCGTGCCCAAGTACAACTCCATGCCCATCGTGCCCAACACCAGCCCCCTTCCCAGATAAATGCCCGGCTGCTGAAGGCAAGACTACTACGGTGGGTGGAGTTGAATACAAGGTTTATTGTACGCTGGGCCACACAGCGGCAAATCCAAACTTGGGAGTTTCGAGCGCAAAGGACTTCAAGGAGTGTATGGAACAGTGCTGTGAGTTACAAAATCATCCTTTCGGACTGCGAGATAAAATACTGATTTCTGTTATCTAGCTGCCAAAGCCTCACCTTTCTGTCAAGGCGTCAACTTCTATGACGATGGTAATCCCACTGACAACTGTGTTTGGGCTTCCATACACCAGAGTCCTCCAACAGGAGCAGCGCCTGCCGGAGGTGACTTCTTATGTGCTGTCCCTGTTATAAAGAGGAATTAGTGAAAAGCTATTATCTTGACCCTTTGAAGCCTTTCGGAAAGTGTGGAAGGCTAGGTTGATAGGGGCAATTGGTGTCGTATTTTTGGAGACGAGAGATTAGGATTACTTCAGGCTAGAATTTTAATGACAATTGCCTTGAAGTTGATACACCCATTTTAACATTTTGATTGAAACCATCATAGTAGAACGATTTCGAGTGGGCTTTTTCGCCTACGTAGACTCGTAGAGGGGTGAGGTGAAAATTAGAAAATCACGAGATCTCGCTTGCAAAAGGAAACGCCTCGCCCCAACGGGGAAACCGCCTCATTCCCAACCTCACCTAAATTTCTTCTGCATGTAGGGATTTCCGGAGAAACACTAATTTCATGCATATGCATCACTGATTCAAATCGATCACAACAGCCATTTGATAATCGTCCCGATCCTCGCGGGAGGAGCACGCTAATGCAATAATTACTCCTTACAGTACGCTCCGCTGCCGAGGTCCGTGTGAGCACACACAGCATTTTCATTTGTTCGAGTTCAGCTACACATATATTCTGTTTGTTTCAATTCGGCTCACACAGTTATCACTAGATGTGATATTCTTAGTGTCTCAACTGGTTTCCGAGAATCGCGCCGGATCGGCACGAAGTGCCAAGCATCGGTGCAACAGATGATGCATGCCATTCTTCGTACAGGTACACTAATACACTACCCCATACTTGTACCGTAAGTCTGTTCCGCTTGGGCAATTTATATGTTACGCGGCCTTAGATGTTCCGTATTTTGAACTTCTGATTTCAATAACGCAGGCAGCCACAACAGCATCTCAGCTACAACATAGCTGCGCCAAAGCAGTATCTAAGACAAAGCAATATAGTGTAGCTATCTCAAAACAGTGACGGTTACATTAGAAGGCCGGTGAAAGTACAATTTGACGTAGCGTACAGATGATTCTTACGGTCGGCGAGGTTCTCAAACTGTGATAGGAATGCTTCTGAGGTAAGGATTCGACGGAATCTCCCTACATAGTTTGCGGAGTTGTGAATCATGTCAACAATAAACTGTGTCATGCTAGTCATTTCAAGTGAGGAGACGGTGACACTTCATTACGGCTTTAGTATTCTGGTCTCCGCTCTTTCCTGCAAATTGAAGAAATGGGGGCATGTGCTACATACATATCACATCAAGCAAGTTGCATTGTTCCTATAGAACACTGGGAGGAAAACATACTTCTACAACCGCTTCCCCTTGGTGACTGATTAAACTTTCAGTTTTACTTGGATTCTATTCTCTTTCAACTTCATCTACTACTTCACGATGAAAACATTCAAGCTCTCAATACTTGGTGTTTTCGCTATTGCAAGCTTTGTAGCTGCTCAGCTGGAGACGCCTCAGGTATATTAACCCTTTCTATTCCAGGTTGTATCAATCTATGCATGTGTGCTACAAGATGATCTGACTTTACCCCATTTCAGGATTTCTGCAAGAGAACCGCGGGACCAAATTACGTCCCTAAAAATGATACAAATGGTGTTTTCCAGGGCGAATGCGAAACTGCAGCTATAAGCAGTACGTATATCCGCCCATCTTCTGAACCTTCACATGTCTAACAATTCAAATATAGTTTGCCTTGGGACTGAGTAAGATTCTAACTCTTTCTTGACTGGGGAAACCTACAAGACAGTCTTGTGAGCAATAATACGAGAAGCTAACATAGGTAATGAAGATATGCACAATCTCAGACTGGCGCTACAACCTGCTGTCTACCACCAAACACGGTCCAATCCGCTAGTGGAAAGCAAGGCTGTTGTCCACCGGGCCAGAATTTCAAATGGGATGGTATGTTCTACGTTCTCTTGTCAAAATCTCTTTCCCCGGCTACTTTTTCTTCTATAGCCACAAATCTAACATGGTATCACCAATCCAGGCACGTCCCCCTCCTGCGTCACACCACCACCTCCTCCTCCCGCCATCTCTTGCCCAGCTTCCAATATGCAAGTCGTGAATCGCAATGGGCAAAACTTCAGAATTTACTGCCAGCGTTCAGTGATGGTATACACACATCCTTGGTTAACCACCACTTCGCATGGAATATACAGAGCCATACAGGGCCCTGAGCTTATGACGAATGATTTCGAAACTTGTCTGCGATTTTGCGCTGCGAATGGGAGATCTAATGGCGCCAACTTCTGGCCTGCACAAGGATTATGCTCTGTGGTTGACACGCCGCCTGGGAATTTCTTCAAAGTGGGAAGTCGTTATGATGTACCACCTCCTCCATACAATGGACCACAGATTATCTCCATGGTAGCGATCCCAAAGCGTGCTTATTAGACTAAGCTTGTTGGAAAGCTGGTGCGGACGAACTGGGTTGGATAGTTGGGACGGTATGGACAGGCTGCAGCTAGTTCATGAACAATACTTCCATTTGTTATCATTGTGTTTGCATGGGGTAGAGGAATGATCGTGATTTGACATTGAGGATTCTAGATTAACTTGACAACATGATAATTTTACAATTCAACGTGGTTAAAACCTTGAGGTTAAACTCCTGTCCTCTATATGTCATATAGGAACGATGAACTCGCCAAGCACTCAAAATGATACCGAGCTCTTGGTCTAAGATACTGTGACACTAAGAAGAAAGAGGCCCGGTAGCACAACTCTGAGGTTTACATTATAAGGTACCAAATATCCAGAAAGCAAGGGACAGTACACTTTCCACGGCATTTTCCCCAGTCATACTTCTCTCGCTATGGATGTTTTACATGACACCCGTTGCTTTACGTGTATAGCTTTGAAACCTTGGTAAAGGCATTTATCCCAAAAGATGGAGGACGAGGTCTTATGAATTGTATTGTATTGAGAAGTTACATTGATTCGGATATGGAAATTAGATCTCGATACATAGGTAGGTCCCTATATCAGGTAGGTAGGTAGAGTAGCGCCGTAGGTTTCATAATTAAACCCTTTTCATAAAGGGGTGCATAAATTCAGAACCAACGGTCGTGAAGATGTGGTAGAATAATATTATCGTTGTGTCGGCGTGGTTTTAGTAAATTCGGTACAATAAATGCTAGCTCTATCATGTGATGATGATCGAAACTGATAAATACACACCTAATCAATTGCTAATGATAATCTAAGCTGATCATCACCTTTCCCCCATCTTTTGTCTCCTCTTTTTCCATTCTTCAACAACAACTTCAAAACGTTGAACGAGGCCCATCCATTTCCTTGTGAGAAAACACGATAATTACTTCCAATCAAAGAAGAAATCATTCTCTTGCGTAACATTGATCAGATATTCATCGTCATGCAATATTCATGGATAGGTTCTCATTTAACGCGGCAGCCAATCACTGCATATCAAATTTTTCTTGTCGGCGCGTAAAGTTACAGCAAGAGTTCACAATTTCTAATCGACTGGTCAATACATGATTTTATCATTATGACTTGGAACGACCTGTGGCGATTGTGAGCGAATAAGAGAAGTTTGCTATTTTCGGTATTGCAAGTCTGGAATCTAGATTGTAGGTCGTGCTTCATGGCTGATTTGTAGGTCTATTTCATATGGGAAGTATCGTCACATCAATCCTGTTTCATTGTTTTTTTCAACCCTCTATCTCTTACCCACACATACATTCGTTTTCTTACGCGTAGTTCTATTGTGAATTGTCACAGATTCGTTCGCTTCATATTTTGCTTATTGTCTGGTTGGATTATGAGACGTTCACTTTCGTTATCATTCTTTGTTATTGTTGAGTCCTCAATAGCTATCGTCTAGAAATTTCCTATTGTCCGAATCTTATTGTTGGCCTTGGGATTCTCGGAATATCTCTGATTCATGACCATGAGGCTGGACCTTAGACATTTCCTTTTTCACGTATAATTAATTGACGTTTCGACCTTCCTTCCTCAAATCAAAGAGATCATTTGCAACTATACCACCTAGAGCAAGAACGACCATTGCTGCACAAAAAGCAAGAAACTTTCCATTATCTACACCTTCAATCCATTTTCTCACCACCATTTTGACAATTTTTGCAACCATTTCGCCATGAATACCAAAAACAAGATCATATCTAAATCTCCTATTGAGAGACCACCAGCTCCATCTACGAACAATCCTTACACAGTACTTACAGAAAATCCTTTTGAAACCATATTTGACGGGAAAAGCAAGGATGACGATTCTTGGAAAGACGAAGATGTATACTCTATCGCTTCATCGGAGGAGCTACAACAGTCGAGACCCTCAGGAAATATTACTACCAGCCGCTCAGGAAACATGACGCGAACAATCAGCCGTAGAGAGAGAAAATCCTCCATATCGAGAGTAATCAGAGAGAAGTCAAAGGCAAGACAGCGCAAGATCCATGCAAATCTCCGCCTTAAAGTTCAAACAACGTTTTCAACACATCATGGACCTCAACCTCAAGCGATATCTTCACAGCAGTCCCGATCTAATGGAGTTTTTGTTGATTTGGCCACCCTCAGAAAACTGGAAAATGTTTCTGCTCATCCAAACGGAACTTTGTGGAAATCTTTGGAGAACAAGAAAAACAAAGCCATTGAAAACTCTGCTGAGACTAGAACCGAGGCTCCTGAACCACTACAGAACGAAACATCAAATGTCTATCCGCTAGCAGAGCGACGAGGATCTTTGAGACCAGCAGCTCTGAAGCTAGAGGACGACTTATCTCCTAATGATCGTCCAATTGTTATCGGCATATCGATCCCATCTGCACGCTTAGCTCATCATGTAACCACCCCGCAAACATCAACTTCAATCGCTTCAACGATGATGGGAAGTTATGGGCACGAGACACCGACAGGCAAAGAATTGGTAACGCCATCTATCATCATTACGCCTGCCCATGAGATCTCTGCGTGGTCGCCGTACAGTACTGCTTCGAATGTTTCACGAGCACGAACTCTATCAACATCCTTTTCAGTAGCTAGCCCCAACGACCCATTCAAAGAGGGGGCACCACCGTTGCCGAAAATGCCAGCAGCTTTGGCTGAAGAGGAGAAGCGAAGAGTGGCTGCTCAGCATAGTTATTTCTCCCCTGATTCGGATGCCACTACTGAATGGGATGACGAACCAGATTCAACCCGAGTTCTGTCGTCTTGTATCATTTATGAAGAGGATGAACATCCAATTGTTGTACGGAGTGCTCGTGCAGTCAACGTTCCAGATACATTGAAAGTGGACAACCATGAGAGTATTGACACCATTGCTGCACGGACTCGCTCTGGATGGTGGAATTATATCACTTCGCCATTCATGACGCGGTCGAACACAATAGTATATCCAGAGAAGAAGATTTCTGATATCCCCAAAGTACCTATTTTAACCATTGCAGCAGCCAAGGCTCAGGAGTCAAAGGTGGAGCGAAAGTCGTGGGAACAACTTTTTTCTCCTCTTTCTATCAAAAGATCAAACTCTAATGCATCCGACGCTTGGTGGGATGTAACTCCCTTAGGCTTCAGATCAGAGAAACAGGCTTCCCCTGGTTTGGTTTACAAAGAGACAAGACATCCGGTGAAGCCGTCGATAGCTACTTTGCCCTTTGTTCGCTCAGCTTCGGGCGATGTGGGAGATGCGTCATTGGCTAGCGCCATTGATGTGACTGCCACTGCAGATTCTGTGCATTTTGCAAATTCTACAATGCCTCATGATCATTCGGGTATTTCGGGGTTATCACAAAAAGATTCTATTTTGGTCAACAAAGACAATTCGTTGTTATCTTCAAGCGAAAGTACAAAAGATCGCGGCAGCAATAATCCTTTTGTTCAGTACCAAAGTAGTAACATTGATCTTTATAACGACTCCAGGATGATTAAAGATTCGGAATCGAATGATTCAGGATTAAAATCGAGAACACTTATTGTGAATAACGCTACCGAACCACCGCCGCCGCCACCTTACACCGAATCACCAAAGAAAGTCCGAAAATATCGAGCCTTTTTTCCTTCCTCACAAGAATCAGCACCTGCGCCAGCACAAGCACAAGCACCAAAACCAGCGATGATCAAAGCTTCAGCAGCAGCTTCGACCTTGCAATATCCTGCTTCCCCCGGTCCCATATCCCCAGAAAGCGAACGAAAGATGGCTCCACAAGCTTCCATCCAGCTGTCAGAGGTTCCATTGAGTCCTGCGCGTGGTAGAACCAATCAGAGCACTGCATATCCTGGGCCTGCTAGGCAGACAACACCAACAATTTTGGTTATGACTGAGGAATATCTCGAGCAAATGGTAGATAAAGCAGCTCTCAAAGCCGCTAAAAAATCAGAATCGAAACGCCAAAGAAACGAAAAGGAAGATAGCATGGCTAGCAAATTAGGTGGATTGTTCAAGAAATGTATACCTAAGAATGGTAGACAAGGCCCGGAAGGCCGAAAAAGACGAAGGTGGTATTGCTGCGGAACTATTGCATTGATTGTGTTGATCATCACGATTGTAGCCCTTGCTGTAACGCTAACTCGCAAACCAAAACATGTTGTGATGCCATCTCAATGGTTGAATCTCACTGGCTTCCCTCCTATTTACGCTGGGCTCTCGACGGTAGCAGCTCCAGTGAATATTGTGACGAATACTGGTTGCGTATTCCCGGCTACGCAATGGAGCTGTGCTTTACCAAAAGAGCAACAAGCTTCTGTTGCACTAAATCTACCAAATCAGCCCAATTTCTTTTTGGAGATTCAATGGGACAATAGCAGTGCGGCAAATGCAACTTTTGCAAATGTCACGGGAAACAAGAACCTCCCTACACGCAGTCTTGTCGGTAACCCTGTTTCTGCCGGGAGATTCATCAGAGACTTGGTATTGAGAGCACGTCAAACCATTACTTTCAATCCCTCGCCGTCGCCACCATCGTATGCTGAAGAAGCGTTCTTGGGAGATACTACAGATGGAATAGTTTCATCCAATAAAGCTGGAGAATCAACGCCTTTCTACATATCTTTCTTATCCACTACAAACACTACCCTACCGAATTACAGCCGTGTGAAGCGTGCAGACTCAAACAATACCGATCCAGATCTGTTCCCAAATATCACTACTGGAATCCCGGCCCCGAGTCTGAATCCTGATGGCACTGCCGCTCCAGCTAACCTTCTACCATATCCCATTCAACAGCCAATTCGGCTGTATGATCGAGGGCTTCCTACTGAGCATTATGGATTCTATACTTACTTCAATCGTACTATTTTCCTCAAATCTCTCTCATTACTCAACGATACCAATACCTCCAACGGTGAAGTTCCTGATGATCAGAATGGCGGGGCTCTTGAAGGGGAAGCCAATTTCCGTTGTACATGGGGTGAAACTCGTTTCTTAGTACAGATGTGGACCAGAATGAATGGAACTGCCAGACTCAACAATGCTACTAGTTCTACTGGTGCCTCTACTGTCATTGCAGGGCAAGATTTCTCGCAGCCTGGATCGTTCCCTTACCCAATCACTATTACCACCGATCGGCATGGAGGAAATCCTGCGAAGAAGTTGTTGTACTGTTACAGTATGAATGATAGAGAAGGGATTATAGCGACCAGTGGAGTGGTCAATGGAGAGAACAGAGCATTTGGAGGCAAGATTATCAACCCAGCTCCGAGCGTTTTCTTGAATACTAGCGATTCATCGCTTGGAGGTTTTGATGGAGGAACAGGGGGGTGTTCCTGTGCTTGGAGTAACTTTCAGGAGGTCATCAGTACTTCAGGGACGTGAAGAAAAAGAAGATGATGAATGTGCACTTTTATGATATTATGGATACAAGCATAGGAAAAACAGAGAAATGGAAAGGAAAAAAGACACAATTTAGTGGCATGGGTTACGAATATTGAATAACTACTACACTAGAAATGCGGAGTAGATAATAGAACAGAATCAGTCAGGAATTAAGCAGGAATAATCCTACAATTAATATTTGTTTCAATTGCCAAATATGAACAGCCGTATCAGACATTCATCACCCGTAATAATTAAGTGACATGATTGTAAAATACATGAGGACTGATCCCTGTCAATTCGGGTCGGCGAGTATCGATCAAATTCCGATGAAGCTCTCTTGTGATTGTAATCAACTGGATCTCATCCCAACCCTTCATTACACAAACTACATTCGTTTCTTGATCTAGATCTACCTACAATATCTTCAGCTTATAACGCCCTCTTACCATCTTTAAGTTTACTTTGTTTATCTTTCACTCTGCCTTTCTTTATCCTTTACTATCTGCACAGCAAGCGATCTTGCCGCCTGAATATATTTCTTGATAACGACTTGCGATTGTCATTTGCGATTCGAGAATCTTCGAGGAATTGTATAAAGACTCGAGCGAACTACAGTTTGTGGTTTGAGGAGAGAAATTACATGCCTTCAATAGCACAAGAAGATTGGGATATCCCATCTATGGATTTTCATATGAGTACAAATGGAGCTATGAATCTATTAAAGAGAAGGAGGGATGTTGCGAATTTTGCGGATGCGAGGGATGAGGAGGTGCAGATGAAGATTAATAGGTATGTGCTGCCTATTTGCAGATTGGTATTTGGGTCGTTCTTGGAGTTGTAGAAGATCAAACGCAATAGAGACGGAGGAGTCGTGAGCAGTTAGCTAATCATTGAAATAGTCCTAGACATTCACACATCCATCCACATCCACACAACATCTATCCACACGCCATGCACCATGAATCCGAACGCAGGCACTTAATTCCCCGGTCAAAAATGAGTCTAAACAAACGAGTTCGAGTCGAATATCTACCCTCAGAGCCCGAGTCTAGAATCGAACAAACGAAGGAGAAAGAGAAAAGTGGATCTGGAATGGATTTACGAGCTTGTCACATATGTCGACGCAAACCGACTGTGAAGAAGGAATTGGATGCGTTTGCGAATTGTGAGGGGTGCGGGAAGAGAGCTTGTTGGGTGTGTATCAGGGAGTGTCTTGGAGGATGGGGGAATACGGAAATGGGAGAAGAAGTTGGAGGGAAGGAGGGCTGGGGAGAGAAGGGAATGAAGCATAGGGGGATGGTTTGTAGCAGATGCTGTGTGGAGAGGGGAACTGAGGGAGATGTGCTTTGTTTAGGGTGCTTGAGGATGGAGGGGAGCTGAAATTTTTTGTTCTCACGGAAAAAACATTTACTGGGATTTGGCACTGCCGGGAGGGAAATAGGGCGCATTATGGAAATTTAAGCAAGCTTGCGGTGCGGGTAAGCTCTGGATTCGATTTACCGAGGAGTAAACTCGAGGTAGGATTCTCCGGTTCGATGGGAATGATTCGATGGAATGAGCGATGCGATCGATACCCATTTTGATCTGGAGTCTTAGGGTTGGCAATCTTGCAATGATAATGATTTGCATATAATATGGGTTATCTGGGTTTCTTTTTACGCGTTACCATATACATATATTATGAATATCGATATGTTTTATTGGCTATTTTGTTATACTACCTTTGGCTCGTGAATACTGTATGGGTTTGAATAGTCGCATAACTAGGTGTGTTTATATGACAAGGTATTCAAAATCTGGATGAGAAGGATATGAGGTATGATTCTACTATAAAAAGCTATCACTATTGTCATCATTCAAAATGGTTCGAAAAGCGTTCAGGGAGATCATATACAATTCGTCTAGATGGATTGATCATAGCGAAAGAATCTAGCGATATATTGTATCCATAGCGGAATAGTAATTCTTGTAGCGAATATAGATATCGAACTTCTGACTTCTATGAACTGATTCGGCATTTGAGAAATACCCTTTGTGAAGACGTCAGATGATGTATGTCGTCATGCTGTTCGCTTTTCGTCGTATTGGTGAAGATGTAGGTAACTAGGTATGTAGTAGAGATGTCTATAGAGCAGAATCTTGGAAATATTTGGATATACTTGAAAGCGCAGTCAGTGCCTAGGAAAGTTTAAGCATATTGGAAAGTATCAAGAATTTTCAAATTCACAGCTTTCATGACGCTCTTCTAATGTTTATTTTCTCTCCATATACATACATGCATATTCCGGGTATCCAATTCAAAACGCCTTATGCTATTTTCTCCTACAGCTTTAAGCAATCCACCGATGCGCCGTTCTTGTATGCAAGAAGCTAATCCTTAGCCAATCTAACAAGATGAATGTGTAAAAAGAATCTTGTACTTTTGTCTCCCAACGCCTTCGTACCTGATGAAATAGCCGTTTAAACACCCTCTCCGTTATTTCTTCCCCATAACTTCACCGTTCTATCATATCCTCCGCTGACGATCCATTTTCCATCTGCACCTACGTCACAACTATGCACATTCCCTGTATGTCCGCTCAAACTCTGTACCAGGGCCCAGTCATCCGCCGAAAAGATTTTGACGTCCTTATCAAAACCACTGGAAACAAAGAATGTTCCCGCTTTTCTCGGTTTCCCTACGCCTTTTTCATCTTTCTCGGGCAATGATTCTGCATCCATCCCTTTGAACCATCTCAAATCAGAAACCACACTACGATGTGCACCCACGGCACCAGTACTTGCAACTTTCCTCACATCCCAGCATTTGACCCAACCGTCGCCAGATCCAGACAGAACACGGTGACCATCGGTAGACCAGTCGAGCGCATAGATGGGTTTGATATGTCCATCTAAGATCATGACTGTACGGCCTGTTCTGAGATCCCAGATACGTCCAATACTGTCCATTCCTGCACTTGCTAAAAGTGATCCATCGCCGTTGAAACTGAGACAGAAAACACCTCTTGAATGTCCCTCTTGAAGTAAAAGTTCCGTAGTGGTTTCGACGTCCCAAAGTCTCCATGTCGTATCCTCGGATGCGGATGCGACATATTTCCCCGATGGGTGAAATTCCACTCGGCAAACTCTCTGATTGTGTCCCGCGAGTGTTGAAACAGGTGTATCTTGCTCCAGATTCCATAAATGGACTTTTCCTTCTGCTCCTCCTGATGCAAGGTTAACGCTTCCGAGGGAAACATTTGATCCTTCTATCGTGGCACCTGGTGCCCAGGAAATTCCACCCACCCTATCTGTATGGCCCCTTAGTGACTTTTTAATTTCCAGATCCGGTATTCCAAGTAGCTTGATTCCACCTCCCCAATTGCCAGCTGCGACCAATTCTCCATTTGGCGAAATTCTCACAATACTGACTGGTCTCTCGGCCGCCATTTGACTTCCCTGAAGCTCGAAATCCTTGAGTCTCTCCTTCACGCCATGTCTGAACTTAATATGAGTCCTCAATGGAATGTCCTTCTCGATCTTCTGGATCTCCATCCTCTTCTTAGCCCTCGGCAATGAAAACTTCGCAATATCTATCCTCGCATCTAGCAATTCCTTCGTGCCTCTAGTATAGAATTCCTCTTCAGCTTCCTCATCTTTACCTGCCTCCCCCATTTCCACATCACCATCTTCATCCGCTCCATCTTCTTCCGCCTTCATCTCACTCTCGATCGTCAACAACTGTCGTAATCGATCTCTCCTATCACCTGGCCCTTCTCCAAACAATGTGATAGGCTCACCCATTTCTCTAAGTCGTGCGCGCACGCGTCCATCATCGGTGGGGACCGCTATAGCGGCTGCGCGACGTTTGCGATCGAATTGAGAAAGAATTGCGCTGGCACGTTCGGGAGCAATGCCAGCGGTTGCGGATGGCATATCATAGTCGCGGTCGAGAGGTACATCTGCAAGATCTATACCTGTATCCTGCGTGAAGAGGAATGGAGGTTAGCTGCTGTTTGTGAAGCTGTATTTGTTCATCTGCCTCATGTTCGTTTGAATGCACGATTATAGTTGGAGGGGTATTACTTACTTCTTTGGCCTCCTCCACGTAAGCTTGTCTAGAAGGATGCATTATGATAGTTTCCCGATAAATTCTGAAAGCTGCAAATGGCAGAGGATGTATGATCCGAATGAATGTGGTTGGCGTGAGGTAAGGTAAAGGTTGTTGTTTACTTCGTACACACAGGGAAAATAAATACTGGAGTGAAGCTTTACGGTCAAGAATTCAGTGATGTTTATTAGTGACGATCTTCGCTAAATTTTTGATGCTTGAAGGCCTAGAGCTTGGATCAAGGTCTAATTCTACCCTGTAGATTTCTGCTCTGTGCTTTCTGGACGGAAAAGCTTGGCATCTCTATGAAGATGGAGAGAGAAAATTATACATTTGAAATTACCTATTCATCTAGTTCTTGTTCTTCTTGGTTTGCCAGTAATAATATCGATCTACGTTTAGGTTTTCATAATCACACATCACGGAACATCAGAGGAAATCGTCGCTGAAAAAATAGCATTGTGTTGATAGTGTTATATGCATATATTCTACATGCATGCATGTATATAAAAAGGAACCCTCCAATTTGAATAGGTATATAAAGTACATCATTTGTCATTCCCATAGGTACTTTTGAGCCAAAACGCCCTTAGGCCTCATACATGTGATTGCCAAAACTGCCAAAAGTGCAAATGAAATTGTGGTATTTCCTTGCTAAACGCCAGAGAATCTATCGATGCGAGCTAAAGTACATGGTATATTCATGGAAACATAGTATGAAGTGTAGAAGGGACAAGTATCAAAGTGTTGAATTGAAAAGTAAAGAAGTAAAAAGAAGGAAAATATTGAATTAGAAAAAGAGCATCCTCGAGATATCAACTCATCTATGACTCGGATGTCATAGGAGTGGTATCCTCCTTGGCAGCTTAGCTTGAGAAGACCTTGATCGAATTGATGATCCAGTAAGCATTGTTGAATGCAGTTGGATTAGAAGAAACATAAGCATTGCAGGTGGCAGCTTTAGTGCTAGCTGCGCAACCACCACTTGACCAAACTTGCCCAGCCCAATCTCCACAGAATGTAGTGTCGAGGATAATGTTGTGTGATTTGAAGTGGCTGTCAATGTTGCAACCACTGCCTGAGAATTTGGCAATCGGCGTTCCCCAAGCGGCGGGATCTGGCTTACCAGATTGAATGTTTGCCGGAATAGCTGTACGGGAGAAGAAGTAGATGGCAATGTAGGATGATGTCCATTCCCAAGCATAGACCCCACCTCCTGCAGCGTTGAAGGCTGGACCATAAGTTGCTGTGTTTTTGACTGTCTGACCACAACCTGTGTTTCCGCCTCCCGCATTGCAGTCTGAACCAACAAGAGTTGTTCCAGAATCAGATCCACTATTGCTCATGACACACCCTTGCGAGGTATGAAGAGTCATTTGATTTGTAGTTCCGGCATTGACTCCTTCAATCACGTCGATTTCTCCATTCGCAGGCCACGAGGGCCCAAAGCTCCATAGAGCAGGCCAAGTTCCGCATCCTTCTGGCATATGAGCAACGTCAGCGATGAATAAGCCGTGTGTGTATGCTTTTTTGGAGCTAACACGAGTTGAAGCTCTTCCGGCAGTTCCTGAGAGTGAGGTAGTGTGATCCACTCCGAGATAAACAGAATTGACACCAGCGTTGTTGGTATATCCAGCAAGTGCAGTTTTGTTGGCAGCAGAAGCGCTCTGATATGCGACCAGACCGTTGGTTGGATCAGCGCCAGAAAAGAAGCTGAACTCAGAGAAGAAGTTTGAGTGGTCATATGAATCGGCAAGAGTATATGCGGCATTCACGCTGCCGGCAGCGAGAATCAACGCAGCGCCGATACGACTGAAGACTTGAGTTGAAGGCATATTTGTATCTGTAAAGAATGAATGTACTTCGTGTAGTAGTTCCAAAAACCTTGAAAGGTTAAATTTGTGGAATTGTAAATGAAAGTATTGAAGTTGTTTGTAGAATATCTGAATGTGATTTCTGGAATGCTTCTGTGTCAAACGGATATCACGGATTTTAACGAAACCCCTTGGGTTTATATTGCAATTGTTCTTGCTTTGTGTTATTTTGAAGCACAAAGACAATAGCTGCCGTCGTTTATTGTGACTCGACAATGACTGTACAAAGCAGGGTCGCTAATCAACAAGGTCTTTGGTGAATAGATGGAGATTATCAGATGAGCCACGCTATTGACAAAGGTGAGATAAAGAATATAAAAACAAAGATGACAGAAATAGAACAAAAATACACCGCGTAAGGAGTGACGGTGATACTGAAAACTTGAAATTGACAAAGCGACGTAAAAGCTCTTCGACTGAAGAAAGAGGGTAAGAGATATTATAAGAAAAGCACGTATATGAAGGATTCTCCTTCGATGTCTCTAAAGCTCTTTGTCCCAAACAATCCAGCTCTTTCATGGCGTTTCCGTAGATAGTCAATGCCCTGTAGACTTCATAGCAGGGGGGGTAAGCTTCGAGAACTAGGTGGTCAATGTACCAGGCCATCCTGGACATTTATAGGAGCAAAGAGGGGTAGAATGCAGTGGTGTGAGTAAAAAAGGCATGTATGTGCGTGTGGAAACTCGATGGAGGATTCAGTGGATGATGAAGATTGGCATGGAACACACTAAATGGATCGCTCTCACAGCGAGCAAGATTCCTTCTCCCCAGGTAAACCAGGATCCACTGGGATGATTTGATCTGAAGTGTGGGATTTAGCTTAAGATTCGAGAAACATTGTTGCGACAGGGGGATGGAGAGATGAATGGCGCAGCCAGTAAGGACTCTTTTATTCATGTCAAAAATCGGATACTTGACAAGAGTGTTTGAGGTTGTGATGGTTCCTGAAGGAGTAGACCAATTAAACTTTGTAAGCTGCCAAGATATTTTCTGGTCGTGATTAAGCGAAACTTTTAATCGTGCTCGGATTGCTTAAGGAAAATCAAATATATGCAAGGCTAAGGGTCGAATGATCACCAATAAAAAGATGCTGCAAGAGAGTATTATTCCCATGTACATCTTATGGCTAATATGGGACTTCACTGTATAAAAAAGGGTGGTCGTCGAGCATGTGAGTGATTTGTGATAATTTGATCTACATATATGACTCGGTATGAATTCCTATGTCTACTCAGGATCTTTGATTCTGTTCCATTCCTCAATTCCTTCCCAGTCAAAAGAATATATCGGCTTGCTCTCTTGTAGGGAATGAACGACGGAGAACTACCGAAGAAGTTATACGTCCAGGATCCCTTCCTCCATCTTGTTCTTCTTGCTCCAATCAGACTCTTAAGGGTCCAGATATCCAAACATCCAAGGAAAACGTCAGGTTCTTCTGAAACACCAAGATCTGATGGAAACATCAAAGATCAAACATTTCGGATTTGCTCTTGATATTTTCATCTGGTCTTTTCCACGTAGGCCTATCCCTCAACGGCAACAGATTGATATCTACAACACGAGTCGCATTTGTGTTTGCTCATGTATTTCTTGCATGTAGATGAGCCCCCACTATAGATGCATGAAACCTGATATCCATCGATGAGACCCAGAAGATCTTGTCAACCACCACACAAACAAAACACCGTGCGCGCCCTCTATCTATCTATCCATGTCACCCTATCAACCTAGTAGACAATTGCTTTATAGAACGTCCACGAGTTTATGCTATCAACCACCCAACCTAACTACCTCCTCCTTTTTGCCAATAACGCGTAGTACTTCACATATATAAAACATCAAACATCCTCACCATCTGAGCTCGACAAATAGTATATTCGCATCCTTCCCGTCCCGCCTCCCTATGTATCACAGCTCATCAAATGATATGGGAAGTGCTCTACGTGTTTTCTTAACACTTTAGACGTTGATTACCATACAAGGCAGGTCAAGATACTCTCTTACCATCAGATCGAGGCTTGGTCACACCGCGGCCCAATACTGTTGCGTCGTATAGACGTCCATTCCTTTGTAACTTGCCATGCACCCTTCAATTTTCCCAGAATCATTCAAGTCATCATAATTTCCCGGAAACATCAGCATCATCAATATCGTCACATCGCTGCTACATATCAAAAGTTCAGTGTAACCTTATGGTGTAGTACAGGATTTACGCTATTCATAGTACGTCTTCGCCTCTTTCAAGCTTGTCGTAAGCACCCAAGTTAGAGATATCCGGGGTTCAGTAGAATTAATTAATCCTTTGCTGTCATGCATAATTTGCGGTGTTTGTTCATCGTGATTTTTTCATCGTAAGTCAGGAATGGAAATCTATGAGTCTATGGAAGCTCATCCTCATCTCCGTGAATCCAAATCAAACTCATCCTTTTCGGTTGAGAGATTCATAGAATGCATTTACGTATTTGACGAGTACCCATTTATATTACGACCAGAATCAGTGACTACATTTGTACGACGTACGTAGTACAAATTATAGTTCGGCAGATTTCGGTCTGTCTCAGAAATCCCAAGTCTCTAACTCCCGATCATTAACATTGCATACCCTCGGCATGGTACGGTGCACAGCGTCGTTTTCCAACAAGCAGCAAACTTCAATAATACCTCGCCTCCTGTGCCTCATCCGAAACACCCATTTTGGAAGTAATATAATCTTATATTTCTAACTCGGCAATCGGCAATCGGCAGTCATCAATACTTTTTGCATTCTACATTGTTCGTTCATCACACGCTCGATTGAGATTGTATGCAGTTGCTTATTGCAATGTTTCCATCTTACATAGTCCATCTCTATACTCTCAGCCACATATCTTCTCCTACCATCCGTCAATATTATCAAATCATCTATCTCGATGAACCAACACCAAAATACATACTTGGACGCCAATTCGCTGTACGAGTCGCAGTGCTTAAGCTATCTAAGAACAATTCCTCCGTTCTGCAAACATTGTGACAAATATATAGTTAAAGTCCAGCAAACAAATTCTCATTACTATCAAGTTCAGATGGCCCCAAGAAGACAAGCTATTCAACACCGTCTAAATATATGGAAACAGAAAGCTCCTGACATCGTCTATCATCACAGTGTCTCGTCTAGCAACACCAATTTCTACACACTCAGTCCCATGCTCTTCTCTTACTGTTTCCAGATTCTCTTCTAACTCTATTTCTGTATTCTGATCTCTTAATGTCTTCTTATTCTCTACCCTCCACTTCAATGCCCACCGCATCTCCCATCCACACTAACACCATACACGCCGCACAGGCTCCTGCAAAGATAGAGAAAATTTAGCCTAGTCCAAGATCTAGGAGCTTAGTGGTCAATTGCTCGCTTGTAAGCTATAGGTAAGAGATGAGTTTGGTGTATGAATACTTACTCTTGATCGGATTTTCCACTACGGCTAGTCCTGCGGCCGCGAAGAGATACATTAGCATGAAGACAGCGGCTAGCGCTTTGAATATTCTTGTGGGTTGAGGTCGTCGAAAACTTACATGCCTCTCGCACTATACTAAGAGATAAGAAAGATTGAGAGGGAAACGGCAGTAAGTTAGGTACAGAATGATTTTGCGTATTGAAGGATTGGACAAGGCATAATTACTGTAACAAAATGGAGCAAATACACAAGAAACCTTCACATGCATCTTTGAATCCTGTATATCTACATCACCCACCAAAAATCTGTAAAGTACCTCCAAAGGCAGATCAGAAAGTTAGCCATCGAAAGGTACAGGCCACTAAACAGTTTTTGTTGGAACAAATATTTCTAGTCATCCAGGTGACTATAAGAACAGCTTGCAAAACTCTAGATGGCAAATACTGAGCTGCAACAATAATTTTCATCATAGAGTGGTGAATAGAAGTCTCAAAAAACAACAACAATACCAACGAATGGGCTGGGCCGAGTGGTAGACGGATTACTACCCAGTGAGAGATTGTACTCAGGTATAGTGATCAAACATCATAAAGCCGCCGCGCATCAGATCTTAGATCATGCTGAAGTACTGACTCCAGCTTCACATGATAACCTAGGAATAGAATATGCCTATACCCCGGACAAGCATACTGGAAGTAACCTTTGGGTGTTTGAATAACTTGCGTGGACTCATTGTTTCAGACAGATTCAATCCTTCCAACCATTCATATCGATTGTCACCCCATTCTATTGAATATCCTGTTCAGAAAGTACTTGAAATCATCACTTTAACGATCAAGTACCTACTCATCCTCGTACTCCATCGTCATCTTGAAGTCTTGAACAGAAGTATTTTCAAAGACAGGCCAGGCAAACACAAAATGGATTACCAAATGTAACCTCCCTCTCCAATAATGAAAAAGCAGGCTGGAATTCAGTATCCTAGAAAAGAATTCATAAGCCATTTATTGATTTTATTTTTAATATAGAATACGAGTTGGTGCATGGTCTAAAACAATTGAGCCCTAAATTTTCGGGTTATTTTCAGACAATCCATTGTCTGATTTGTAGTTGGTGGGCCACTAATGATAACAATGTTATTATGAGCTTAGTAACAATTTCGCACTAACTGATCCAAGGTAGCTTTCTAACCGAGTATTTAAAAGTTTTCTATTTCCCCTGTCTTTCAATCATTTGTTGAAAAGAGGCAGTGAGTCAAATTGTTCTTTCTAATTTCCATCAGTTTGTAATAAATGCGAGGTAAGCACAGTCAAAGACCTCAATCACTAGAGGCGTTGACTTCTTTCTCTATTATTTTCGGTTCCTTAAATTTGCTGCGCAAACGTTTCCGGCGCGTCGCCATATCACTTTGTTGGTGACTATTGTACGTCTACCAACTTCATTTCAACCATTCATTAGACAGTTATTGCTTTGATACATCACTTGTAATTCTCTGAACTTGAGAGAATGAATGATCAGCATCATTCAGTACCTAGGGAATCATGGTAGCTCTCATGAGAAGAACTCCTGGAGCTTTGCTTCGAAAATTGTTGCCTTTGTTGCCTTGTGTTGCGATTCTGTTAGTCTTGAATTTATTCTTTTACAGCAGTTCAGACATATCACAACTTGGGTTCTCTTCTAAGACAGTCAACTCACGCCACAATATATGTGCGGCGCAAGGTTGGCGTCAATACCAACCTGAAAGGCCTCGAAAGGTCTATGATCTATTCATGCTGAGCTCTGAGCTCGACTGGCTCGATATTCGTCTCCACACCCTTGCGGACCATGTCGATTACTTTGTTATAGTTGAATCTAATATGACTTTCACCGGGCATTCCAAACCTCTTCTATTCCACGACAACCAGTCACGTTTTTCTCAATTTTCTCCGAAAATAATCTATCATCTTCTTGAGAACCGGCCCTTGACTTCTCGACGAACATGGGACTATGAAGATCATCAACGCAATGCCATGTTCACACAAGTGATACCAAGGCTCGAAGGCAACAAAACCGCAAACATTGGAGATGTCCTCCTCGTTTCGGACATTGATGAGATCCCACGTCCCGAAACTCTTGACCTCCTACGAGCCTGTGATTTTGACAAGCGGCTCACACTTAGCAGTCGCTTCTACTACTACGGTTTCCAGTTTCTGCATAGAGGTCCCGAGTGGCCTCATCCTCAAGCAACAATCTATGCCGGTCCCACGAAAACCATTCTTCCAGCCGATCTGAGAAACGGAGAAGGTGGTTTCAGACTCTTCAACTACTTTCAAAAGAGAAATCTGGCCAACGCGTCTTGGCATTGTTCGAGTTGCTTTTCAACAATTGCGGAGACGTTGAATAAAATGGCCAGCTTTTCGCATACGACTTTGAACCGGGAGGTATATAGGAATGAAGCCAGAATAGTAGATAGAGTCAGGAAGGGTTTGGATTTATGGGATAGGGAGGGCGAGGACTATGAAGTGTTGATGGAAAACAGTGATATTCCAGAATGGATAGGAAACAATAGTGAAAGATTCGGATACCTATTGAGAAGGGAGGGTGAAAATGCTGGGTTTGTAGACTACGTGGCTGACGATGATGATGGAATGGCATACTGATTATCCGACGGGAATATGTAAACCTTTTGCACAATGAATAGGAATGCACTGCAGAAAAAAATCAAATATTATAAAATTTATACACATTTTCTTACCCATCTCCCAAAAATGTGAAAAAGTTCAGGTTGGAAACGATAGTAAGGCATCTGTATGTAAACCATCGCTCTATAAATCATTACACGCTGCGTAGCATTCTACAATCTAAATGACCGTTTAAGGATGACGGCCACCCGCCTGTTTCCATGCAAGAGGTATATACACAATACCTGCCTCTCCCTAACCTTCTAATTGTCCTCGTGTAGTATCACCACCATATCATACAAAAGTTGTTTCTGAAAATCTTGTTTCCATCTCTTGTCATCTTGATCTTGCGCTTATTTCCCCTCCTCTGCGACCACCACTACAACAACACAAATATCATCTGACTTCCCACCGCTCCATTTCTCATCTGGATATCTCCTCTGGACCTCCCTTGCAAATGGACCATCCCTCCTCAAACTAAGACTTGCCGCCTTAGCTTCTCCAGTAATATCTACGGCCAAAGAACTCTGCAAACTCAAACTTGCTGATCCGTTATCGCTCTCTTGTATTGTCTCTCTAAGCTTTTCCCCTACTCCAGTTCCCTTCCCCCCTGCTCCGTTGACCCAAACTCCGTTGTACTGCATTCTGTTGCTCACGATCCTCAGTACATCCCCTCCACTTAGGTTATCCCAAACCCCATCACTAGCAAACACAACCACATCTCCATGCTTCAACTCCTTACTCATGACTTCCGCATCCCTTGGCAAATCCATCAATTGTTGTCCCCCAAATTTCGCCGCCTGTTTAATCACCGCCTCTGGAACCAAGCTTAGTTGATACGGTGTATTAAAAGCATGCGTTTGAAATTCGGACGCTGAATGTACAGCTCCCGATCTCAATTGTATGTATCCACTGTCTCCCAAATTTGCAACTTCCATATTCCCCCCAGAGTTGAAAATTCCCACAACAGCCGTACTTCCCCCCGCACGCACTTTGCCTGAAGCACAAATTAGATCATATCCCTTTTGCAACAGCCTTCTCGCAGAAATAGGAACTTCATCTATTTTATTCGACACCGATGCCGTATGCGCCATGTACTCGCATAGACCGTGGGAGAAATCGCTAGGATCGACGCCTGAATCAATCCATCCCCCTACCCCATCTGCGATTCCGAGAGCAACATCTGAGGTATTAGATATGGGTGCCACGAAAAACGCATCTTGGCCGGAGGCAGGCCTGCGGTTGGCGGGCTTGAGAGGTACGGGGATAGGATTATACGAATTGAAGGGCGTGAGGTTTTTGGTAGGGTCGTAGCGGTTCTCTTTGGCGCAGTACGATGCTGAGATACCGTATGTAAATTTGGGAGACGAGTCGATGCGTCGAGTTGTTGAGAAGAGTCGTATAGGTATTTGGTAGTTACGCGACGGTCTGGGGAGGGAACGTTTGAGGGGGAAGGACGCCATTGGTAACGAAGATTGGTATCGTCGCAGGGGTGTAGTAAAGCTGGCCGACATTCCAACACCTCTACTGAATCTACAGAGTGGACTAGGAGTAATTGCTCTGAAGGCAATTCTTCCTATCAATTTTGCCATTTTTTTTGAAATTCTTCTTGATGTGAGAGTGGAGATGGATGCCAGACAAAATGACGGAATGCGAAAGCCAATGGCTTGCAATCTGGCAGATCAAAGAAAAAGTTAAGCCTCTACCAGCATACTTTTACAATTGAATGGTGAAAAAATGGGCGTCTATGTGAATGTTCAAATGTGGATAAAGACAGTTACGTAGAAATTGTTACAACTTTATGATGACTTTTTTAGAAACTCAATGTTCGTTCGTCATTGAGTGCCACATCGGATCTTCCAGAGTGATACCCGCCGAGATCATTTCCAATCGGCATGTACTCGGAATATGAATCAATCGTAAATTTCGCTTTAATATTATGATAATTTACGACTCAATTTAAAATGTCTGCTCACAAATGAGTTCCGCCATTAACCAACCTAAATCCACGAAGGACAATTGTAACGCCATGCCATTATGCTTTCCCGTATGTCAACCTGATCATGTGAATGACACCGTCATTATGCGACCTTGCCCCTCAAAACGCCGTAGAATACATACTGCAAGATCAGTCACACAATTAGACGTCTTCAAACTTGACATCCTCATCATCATCTTCGTCATCGTCGCCAAGGTCTGTATCTTCGCCAGGTGCAATAGCATCGCCAGCAGCAACCTCATAGTTGTCAGGTCTGTTCTCAGGCTTCAATGACCATTGTGTTGCGAAACGACCAGTCTTTGCCAAGAAAGCGATTTTCTCCAGTGTTTCGCGAAGGTATGCTTCTGGCTGCTGGAGTCTGGCACGAAGTGCTTTCATGGACCAATAATTATACTCGCGGAAACATTCGAAGATCTTATCCAGAAGCTCATTTTCTGGCATACGAGCGGCCTTGGTAAGTTGTGGCTTACCACTAGCAGTGGAACTCTTGGTTTTCTGATGAGGTTAGTACAAATGTTGCAAAGAAATTTGGGTATGAGTCGTATATCTTACAATGAAGCTCCTATAAGCATCTGAAGCCTTGATGGTACCAGGCTGAATAAAGCCTTGGCCCACATCAAGATCCTCGTTGAGAAATTTCGTGCCGACTTTGGGTTTCATAGCCTCCAAAGTCCTGATGGCTAGAAGACGGTCTGATTCTTCATTTTGTACTGCAATACAACTCAATTCATGTACAACCCTACCGGAAAGATTTGTTCTCTCTATTCGAGTTCTGTCAGCAAAGTCTAATTTTATGACTGTTTTATTAACATACTTGGAATTGCCTTTCGAAATTGAGGTTGAAATTTCTTATTGGGATCCCATGGTTGTTTGTTTGCCGGCTTCTCAATCTTTCCACGGGTTAGTCTTGCTGGCATATTTGCAGTCTCCAAAGCAAATTTTTGTCTTGATTTCGATTTGAATCCTGGAAGGTCTTGCTCCGAGAAAATGAAAGTATTCTTGACATTCGAGTTGGTAATATCAAGGTTATATTCCTTGGGAACAGTCTGATGCTGTGCAAGATTGGAATTTAGTAACATGGAATAAGAGTCCTATAGCTCAAGTTAGAGCTGAATTTCTGAGCGCAAACTGTAGTGCCAATACCTTAATAGTGCCGTCAGGCATTCTCTCTCGACAATTGCGAATGGTACCAATCTGTATCTCCTCATCCAAATCTTCACTCATTTCATTCCACGCATTCCAAACGTACTTAGGAACACGACCTAACCATAACTTTTGAAAACTAGGGTCTTCATTGATCGCCATGTCTCCAGCATCCTCATATATATCATCATCCTCCATGAACCTGGGTGATGCGACCGCTGCCTCTGGATCGGGCTTAATGACTGCGTCTGCCATTTTGTATGTATGTAGTGATTATTAAAACCAAAACGATATGTTGTTCTTCTCTGGAACTTGAGATTCCCTCTGTGTGTCCTTCTGGTAGGTAAGTAGTTTGTGGTTGTTAGGAAGAACAAATACTAGATCAATAGTTCTTTGTTAGTTGCCTTTCAATCAATAATGATATTGAAAAGTCGCAGCCTTGTCGGATATTGAGCCAGACTGCCGATTGACGCTAGTAATGGCGTTTGTAGTTTGATGACAAATCTTATACGGCAGGTATTCTTGTATCTCCTGATTACAAGAATCATTTCACGAACAAACGAACGCCAATTTTACTGACATTTAAGACTTGTGATTTATTATTTTTCGAGGTCTCAATAATATACCAGAGCAATATTAATTTACTAACTGGTAGGAACATTCAACTATGGCTTCAGAAGACCAAGCCATCTTAGAACAAATCAGTCGTCTAGCTGGTACAGTACCCCATTATCAATATCATTTAGACAAACATTCTTTGTTTCTTTTTCCGACTTGGGCATAAGCTTATACAGTATCAAGGTCAAATCAATCAACATAAGAATAACCAGTCAACCGATCCAAATAACCAGACCCATGCTCCCTCGCCTTCAAATGGTTATCATTCACAATCAAATACTCGAGGTCATGGAGCTTATGCATACCATCCCTATGCAAACAGTAGCTGGAGAGGTAGTCGAGGTAGTCATAGGGGCGCATATTCTGCGAGAGGATACCGGGGCGGAAGAGGCGGTGCTGGCATCGTGCGGCATCGAACGCTTGTGCTAAACGGTGGTACCTCCGTGCCACCATCACAGTCGGATTCATCAAATGTAACTGCATCTGCAGATGAGAACGAGCGATCATCCTCTGCCGGCTACATCACCAAAACCGATCGTCATCTTCAGTTGATTAACAAGTCATATTTTGAGAAAGATAGTCAGATTCGCGTCAAAGCCATTGAGGAAACCAGAAAACAGAAACTCAAACAAAGGGATGAACGGGAGAAGTTAAAGTTGAGCAGACATTTGCAACGCCTGATTGCAAGTTCTGGCTCTTCCATGGTCCAACCCACTGGAACAACCAATTATGAAGTTACAGTCAACGGAATCCGATTCATTGTCACAAAGAACGGTAGCAAACTTGTGAAAGCCCCTGGTGAGACTCATCGTTTGCAGCAAGCCACAAGGTGGTATGGTTTTGTGTTCCATGCTCACTCATTTTAGGCGATCTTACTTCCGCAAATACTACCCCCAAGACTACTTTGATTGGAGGTGTCAAATTCTATAGAAGCAAGAATGGAAATATGTATCGTGAAGGGATAATCAAAGCCACTAGGTATGGCTTAACAAAATGCGATTCCACAATTGCACTTCTTGTATGAAATCGCTAACTCGGTCGCAGGAAGCACGGAGTCGTTAAGATCAACGAGCCATGCAAATCGTTTACCAACACGGGTACCTCCTTTCTTCCCACATTTCAAATTGTTCATTTATTTTGGGTCTTGGAGGAGGAGCGATTTGGGTTTCAGCTAACCACATAATGTTTAGGTACTTGTAACAAAGGCCCCAAATGCCGATATATTCACGACCCTTCAAAGGTTGGAATATGTAAAGCTTTTCTTCTCAAAGGTGAATGTCCTAATGGAGATTCATGCGACCTGTCTCACGATCTCACCCCCGAAAGAACACCGAATTGCTTGCATTTTGCCAAGGGCAATTGTTCAAACTCGGATTGTCGTTACACCCACGTTCGTGTTTCACCGACAGCAATGGTTTGCCGGTCTTTCGGAATATATGGATACTGCGACAAGGGAACCACTTGCACAGAGCGACACGTTCACGAATGCCCGGATTTCAGCAACACAGGTACTTGCACTACGAAAGGATGCAAACTTCCCCACCGCATCAAGGCTAGTGTTATTCGTAGGAATGCAGCTACTGGTGAATCTTCTCCCGGTGATCAATCGAGTGATATTTCGAGCGATGAAGAAGACGAGGTAGATAGCGATGACGTTGATTCAGATGCCATTGATGAGGAGTTTTTTGGCGATGAAGATGGAGAAACAGAACCCGGAATTCTCGCACAGCAAGATTACGTGCAATTTTCCTGATACTAACAAATGTAAGGCTTGTTTCTGGAGCACTTTTCAGAGACTCCATGACCCTTGTGGTCTCTTCATTACGAAGATCTTCAAATCATTTTCTATTTTTTTCTTTTTCGCTGTTGTCTCCAAATTGCTAGCAGCGTCGAAGCTACATTACCTCTTGCAACTAGGGTCATTAGAGGCGTCGAAAACATTTTTGGGATACCCCGACTCGAATCTCCCTGTGTTTCTAATTTCAAGATTCTTATGTCTCAGCTAATCGGACTGGGACCTCAAAATAGTGTTAAAGGAAAAATAGGAAAGAAAAATACATACAAGATTACATGAGTTATGTCTCCATCGTTGATCTCGATTCCTGCTGATTCATCCTTGCCTGATCTGTTTCGATATTAATTCGTTATCTTTCCCTCTTTCCAAAGCGATGTTCAGTCTTTAGTTCCGATTTGAAAACCAATAACAGGATTCGATCACTCATTTGATGAATCGTTCAATCAGTGATGCATCTACATTAGTGGACTGGTGAGAACTTCATAAGTCCTTGGAGTGTATATTCGTTTTGATCTTCTTGCTTCTTCGACGGAAGAGTCCTTTGACCAGATGTAGTTCTGCAAAAGTGAAAGGTATGAGCGGAGCAAAGTACTCAGGTATACTGTACGCAATGATGTGCAAAGAACATGTCGCAGTGGAGAAGTCTCAATTGGTATTGAGGATGATGCAAATATCTGGTTCTTGGGATGCATTCACGCGCAAGAAACATACCTCTAATCGGTTGACTTTGCGTTCCGACTAGCTGGAGAAAGTCATGAATATCATGCCAAGGAAGAGCATTCCCTCATTTACGCATCTCTTACGAATCTGACATTGTCTGTGGCACATACACCATGACAAAAGTCTTATGGTTTGCGTATAGGCAAAGATCACCTGAAGTAACATGAAACGGAGAGAGTGCCCAGTAAGCACTGGTAGGCTAACCTTGCCTCGCCAGCCGTATCCTGTTGGTGGTGTCTCAACTTATTATAGACAGGACTTTAGTTGGATAATGGTTGAAATTATTTCTGAAATTCAAGATACTCCACTAATGTTCCTCTTTGCCATGCTTTAGTCATGTTACTCATGTACAATCATAGGCGAAAGTCAGAACATACTCCACTTCGATACAGCTGCAGTACATAAGTAATGTAACAAATATATTAATACCCCGTCCCAATGCGAACCTCACCTCGGCCGATCACGAGAATTACTGGCAGATACCAAGACCAATCCGCAAAATTTTACATATTGCATACAACATACATATCTAGTGGTGGCGGTGAAGTTCCCTTGTTTTTCCATTCCTATTCGGATTTTCACTTCTACTTCAATATTGCGACTTCCGCTAGGCTGTCCCCAGGCTGTCTTGAGGCTGTATTTGCACTCTGGGAATGCTCCAGTATGAACTTTGTTGAATAGAATGATAAAATGTTGAAGCGCCAATGGGTAAAGTGATTATTTTTTCAGGCGCCACCGCTAATGCACTGTACTGTACGTCGCACATACTTCCGTAAAAAGCACGCAGTTCTCGGCTGGACCCCATTTTCAATGCCACTGAAGATATCCGTGCTTGTGAGCGATGCGATTCTCTTCTCTGTTGAAAGGCGAATTGCCACTATCTAGTGATCTCTGCGCCTATGGCATGTACATGTCTTACCTTTGCAGGAATTTGCAGCACGCCAATGCAGTGGTCTTTTGTCGGATATCCGAATTGAGGCTCCTTCTCCCCCCCCCACGTTTTAAGGGTCCTCGTATACTATTTCTTGTTATAATTGTGAAGTTCCGCGTTATGCTTCACTCTATAGTGCATGCAGGTCTCAAACCCAGTTAGACTTGATATTTATGCTTCCAATCTCTTTATCAGAATCCAACTACCAGACTAACACACAAAAAACTCTATTACGAAATATTGTACGATACTCGACAAACCTCGTAACACCATAACGTACAGCAGTTCGTCATTATGGGTAAGAGTCTTTGAAAATAGTCCGATAACGAGATAACTTACCTTGATCGGTACTCGTGGAGTGGAGTGGAGCTGCTTTTCTCCCCGCTCCAATCGCCAAGCGCTTTTTCTACTTTCTTCACCGCTCTCCGAGTTGCGTAGATCGATTGGGAAAGAAGGAAATCGTCGAATTATGGTGGAAAGAAAAGGCTGTAAGCTTTGCGATTGGGGATCATAAGGTTTCATTATCGAAATTGAAGAGAGGCGTATGGTAAACGAGAATTATCCTGTTTGGCATCAACAGAGGATCACCAAGCGAATCAGCGGTGCATACCGTTTACCCCAGCTCCTTTCGAGTTCAGTCAGAGCACTCGACAGTGGTTTCGTGATACGGATATGCTTGTTAGCATCAAGAGGCAAAGTTGAAGATCAAGATTGATACTCATTTCCTGAAATAGTATGGGTGCCTAGATATACAAGTCGCCGCTTCTAGATCCATCCATTTCTGAGTAGCACAGCCCATCAGATCACCACCTATAGCATTGATATTCCTTTCATTTTAGTACCCATACTCAAATGCCAGACCCGAAGCCTTGAGATCTATCCATCAGACCCTATAGATCGACGTGCTTGCCTGGGCTCTGTCGCTCTAGTTCATCTCTTGTGGTGTCTTTTAATTCCTTCTTTCAATTCTAACTCGGTCTTCTCATAGCCCCTCCTTTCCCCATCTTCCTTTGATCCTCTACACACAGGGTTCAAGATTTCCGAATACAAGTTCCACATTCTCACATTATCTCCATACGATCCATAGATCCATAAACTTTTGACCGATTCAGACCCTGATGACCGTTGGAGCAGCTTTTGGTGATCCTGAAGTCCTCACACTCGTGAGGTTTCATTTCTATTCGGTCAAGATGCCGTATTATGCGCTCATCGGATATCACGGTTCTTGTTTCTTCGTGATCGTTCGAATACTAGCTTGGAGATAGATATGTCATGCGTTGATGAATGCCGTTAATTTACTTCTGGTCACAATACAATCACCTGCCTCATTTTGATATAGCTCATTGAATCTTGCCACAGCCTGCTGACTGGTGGTCTCTTTAAAGTTGTTCAAAAGAGTTTACGAATGATTCCAGTCAATGGACCAGTAATCGAAGTAGGTAGATGATTCTTTGAAAAGCTAAACCCAATAGAAATTTCAAGCCCATAAGGTTTGAAAATCTTTCTGGTCTCAATCAAAGGTTCGTGCCGGTTGAGGACGGCTCATCTGGCGGTCAAGCATCAAATTCCCAGGAATTCGTGAAGAGTTTTCTCACACCCAAGTAGACTTTCCCCGCGACAGTAAAGCATGAGGTAAAAATTGAGACATACTGTAAACCATAGTTCGCAGTTCGGCAAGCGGTCAACATCGGAACTTTTCCCCTCAAACCTAGTCCCGGTTAGACCCCCTCTAAGCTGAATACCCCTCCCCTCTGCTCGCCTACACACGCTCTAATTACTCAAACTTTTCACGCCACCATCATCATCGTCATTCTACTACCAAAGTAAACAAAACAAAAGTTGAAAACCAACCCCGCGGCGATAGACAGGCCACCAAGCGGTCAACACCGGGAACCCACACATCACGTTTCCGGTAGCTTGGTAACTTTGATAGCTTAGAAAGTAAAAGACCCGATGTGGAGCTGCGGCTTCCCATCAACACTACAGTAGCGAAACAGTAGCGAACGGCTACCTGCACCGAGATGTCTTCACCGCACCATCATTCATTATTTCATAGTTCGACAACCTATGCCATATGGGTTTACTCCTTTTGAATCTGGTACTGTGCTCCGTACTCGGTACTGTAATGCTGGAAAATTATGTGCAAAATTTCTTAGCTTCATGTGAAATGGACCTCTATTGAATGGATCTGGCCGGGGTGAAAATGTATCCTCCACTTGGAGAACCGATCAATCAATTCATTTGAGAAAGAAAAATTGTCATCCGTCCCCAACCAACACGACCCACCACACTTAAAGCCGACAAGTACGATATCGGTAGATACGATACGATAACTCGTGAAAATCCGAAAATCCTCTGATCAATTTAATTTAATCGGCGAATCTCGGGGATTTTTCTTTCGAGCTTTGAGCTTCGTTTCGAATTCTTCAGATCGGATGAACCCACTTTGGCATTTCGTAATTTGCTTATTATTCATGCTCTATTATTTAGTGAAATTGTCAAATTATACTTTATCCGTCGGGGTTCTGGCGATCTATACACAATAAACTTATATTGTACGTACGTCATTGGTCTATATGAGAGCACTTGTTATAATATGGGACACCTATTATGGAGCTGGCAGGTAGATCCACAAGTATGTATGTAGTCGGACAGGTCGTAAATCCAAAGGTTGAAAATGTCAGGGAGAGGCGAGAAGCTAACATGCCTCGTGAGTAAGTTAGAACCGCATATTTTGATTCATGTCAGACAAATTTGCATTGTTCTAACGGTTCAATAGACCTGTATCTGGCTCCTCTCCATGTTCATATCAAATGGAAAGATTTACGAGGCCCTCAAGGAGACCCTTCTCAAGAGCATCTCTCGCCTACCCCTCGGAAATAAAACCTGACTCTCAGTAGATACTGACTCTGGCTTGCATCATTCCTCAAAGTCTGAAACACAGACCGACAATCCTTCTCAGATCAGGCTTCACTTTTCTCAAGATTCTCATGGGACAGTACTTTGGTACGCTTCGTAACTAGTGGCTTTGCTCTTCTTTTCTCTACCTTCAAAGTTGGGTCTTTGGATGTTCGCTTCCCGAATCCCAGGCGGAACATCCGGATCTCGACATCAGATTCCTAAAATAGATGAGCGGTGAAGAATGTGAAGACCAAAATTCGTATGAAAAATATATGGAAATTCTGCCTCAACCTTGACATTTTTGAAACTTTTGGAAAGGCTTGGAAGCTGGTCATTGGTAAAGATTAGATAATTGGTAAATATAAGACTCAAAAGCTGTGTAGTAAGAAGAGGCTGTAGCTTTGGAGGAAGGAGGCCGCGGCTGCGCGGGTAGTCCCATTTGACAGGTTTGAAGGTCTGGAGAAGCCATGATGAAAGATACAATTTAGGTGGGCTGAGAATTACAGAGGATACCGCGTTTCTGATGGAAGAAGAAGATTTTGAATCAGATGAAATCTCGATGTCCATTTTCCATCACTATCTCACCTAACAAACGCGTTTTTGAAAATCATAACTGTTGTAATATGATAATCATGAATCATGGGTAAGAAATTTCCCAGCCCCCTCAATTCTTTCAATCGAGACTTAGAAGAAAAAAACAATAAGATCATGATTCAATTGTAACGCGTCCATGGCGCGACTGCCAGTGTAAGCAAAACCTGGAACGCCGACTCCGTAAAAGAAGCCAAGTGCACCCCACTCAGGTACATCCAGGACCCCAGGTACTCTAGATGGGATTCAGCTATATGTAGCATAATAGCATTTGAGCATTTTCGTTCGCACTTAAGGAAAAGAGGATTATGTGTGAAATATAATTGTTTACCCGAAGTTTATTCGGTCTTCTTCTGACATTCTAGAAGAAAGTTTAGAAGTGTCTTTACTAGCATCATCGTAGTCGGTTAAAGCGTTAGACCCCTTCATCCTGGGGAGTTCCTTAGGTCAAACCCACTTCACAAAGTCCTGAAAGTCCATCGGGAAATTTATTCCTCAAGGGAAAATATCCAGAATGAAACAAAATTGAAAATGCCGTCATACGCGCAACTCATTCATGCGCCCTAAGAGATCATTTTTCCTAAGGACTAGGGGTGGTAGATGATTTACCGATACCTCCGTGCTATAAAAGACAAGATGTACAATAACGGCAGTTCAATTTGGGAAGGGACTGGAACTGGGCTGCTAGGCTTTCGGGCTCTCACCGATTGAAATGACAGATACTAGGGTACCGGATTAAACCCTGCGGCCTTCTTTTGAATAGCAGTAAGTAAAAATCGGTTTCGTACCCGTCCATCTTACCGTGAGGTGCCTGCCGGCAGGCTCCAGGTAGCGGGAGACGAGGCCATGAGGTTGGATCTTTGTGCGGTAATGAATGGTATGAATCTGTGTCATGGAAAGCTACCGAAAGACTTGAGGGCTTGATTTACCAATGATTTGCTTGCCCTACCTTGACTTGGGCACGCAGAGCTTACGATCATTTGATTAGGTAGATTAGGTAGAAGTGAACTTGGGAATACCACCTATCATTTGAGGCTTCACATTCACACTCTTACAAAGATACTGCATTCTGCGGCCGTTTGACGAGGCCTAGTATAATGAGAATGCAAGTATTCATGAGTCGTGAATGAATGGACTTGCTGCCGAATGGCGAGGCCCAAGAAATGGGAAAAATGTGGGGATGGTGGTATGAGATGAGATTCGAAGAAGGCATTTTATTTGATGTTGTCATCTAAACATCTTTTACGGTTTACCTCGTTACCATCCGTTACCCGTGCTTTATTTACGATCTAGAAGGTTTGATCAGCAGCGACCATGAATGAGATGATCATGAAGGGGAATCTCAAGATTAAGCGAGGGAAAATGCCACAATTGTAGGATCAATTAACGATTCCCCTGCCTGAAGATGATGAAAATAAACAAATGATACCCCCAAAAGGGCTTTTTTCCTCCCACAAGAGCAATACGCGTGATCTTTGAAGTGACCTTTTTCGAGGGTATCACCGATTGCCTCAAAACATTTGATTGGTGCTCAAAGACCATCATTTTCTCGTTACGAGCCAAGCCCTGGTGGCATCAACGGGAAGCCGGAGTTTAACAGATCATTCCAATGATGAGAAAGTGTAGAAAGGATGGACAAGGGTAAAGAAACAATCGTATGCAAAACGTGAGGATATAACCTATCGGCGGCTTTCTTTTGAGAATTTTGATGCAAGCCTTCAGAATCAAGCATAACTCCATAGATGCCCAACCTGATGAGAGCAGGGGATAGGAAGGAGCCAAGACAACCATGTTGACTTTGCGTTCCCAAGGGCAATTCTCACAGAGTTATAGAGAATTAGAGATGGATTGTTTTGATCCAGTGCCCATTTTTTACACAAACCGAGTCGAGATAATTTGTTAGGCACGATGTATTTGAGAGCGGGAAGCGGTTGATGGAGAAAAATCATCTGAATTCTCTTATGGTTAGTTCACACAATTAGATCAGGGTCCTAAGACTAACCCCCCACAGCTAAAAATGGTAGTCTAATGTCTCTTGCTACTGTATTACCAAGGTAAAATGTAATAGCAAACGCATTTCGAGGTAGAAATTTCTGAGTCCAAGCAAGTTCTAACGGGTCTATTGCCCTTTTGCGAATTCTTCTCTCGCTTTTTGGAATATTCGACAGAAGGAAAAAAGAAAAGATAGATAACCGAATGCCGACTAATAGTGGAACTATCTTTTATCTTGTCTATCGAGCTTCTCTTGTCAAAGTAACCTTATTACTAATGATTGTAATCTACTCTAGGTAGTTGAAGTAGTCAGTCAGCCTGTCAGATCTAATCCATTACCTCGGAGAAGGGCATGAATAATCCAATCAAAGCTTGAACCCCTCCCTCATCATATCATCCCTCACTCCCGTATCGTATGCAACGTCTTGATCTACCTGGGTTCAACTGATCAAATGCAACTTATTCAAGGCTTTGAGCGGGAAATCTTAGGATTCGATTGCCTTGGATTGAAATGCAATTTGTAATGAATGCTTAATGGAGAATCAAATATCTTCTTTGGATCTCTTGGACTGTTTTTGTTTTCCCCATCTAAGATTTACATCCAAGATGTAAAAGTAGGCACTATAATGCTGCTATGCAATGGAAATGCAAGCACTAATCGTTAGCACCCGCACTTGCCTTGCCTTTCCCGCTTTCCTACCGCTGGAATTGAGGTTTAGTCTAAAAGGGAAAGAAGCAGAGTTGTTTTCTTTTCTCTTCTTCTTCTGTTTATTTATTTTTGTGTGCGAGTGTACCGTACCGTAAAGTACGACCCCATGCACACAATTTCCATATGGTTAACGATATCCTCCGGGTGCACAGAGTTGGAAATCTACATATCGCGAACAATAGATCATCGAGATCTTGGAGAGATGATTAGACAGACCTATACAGACCCATGAAGATATACTTCGTTACTTGATAAATAGAGAAAGTAATGGGGGAGGGAAAGAAATAATAATAAAATGCAGTATATAATAATTAAATAATCAAGACTAATAATCACAAAGTACTATTCAGATCCATATGTAAAGAAGAAAATAGCATAAAGTATCTCATAAATCAAAAGGCTAGAAGTCTCCACAAGTTAAGTTGATCTCTAGGTTGAAGGTTCCTTCCTTGAGCTTGAAACTTTCGACTTTCGGGTAGTGCGATAAATCTTTCCCCACCCGCTGTCATGCCCATTGCCCATCATTTCATCCACTCATTACTCAATTTATGAGTTAAATACTTTATTTGGCTCATTCAACCATTGACGCATTACTCAAAGAGGAATAGTACGGAAGAAAGAAAGATTGAGAGAGAGCGAGAGAGAGCGAGAGAGAGAGAGAGAAAGGTCCATATCGTAACCATGCTAATCGCATCACCCCCCCCCCTTCACCCCTTCACTGTTCCCCTCCAAAAGTTACCTAAACCTAGTATCATATCATGCCATGGGTGAAGGATTGGGTAAAAAGAAAATGGATCAAAACAAGCACTCGTAATATGGTAGTATCGTAGTATCGTCGTATCGTACTAATGTAGATTGAGAAGAGCTAGAAGAGCTAGAAGAAGAATCAAGCCCTTGAAGGATATTATCATATATGTCTCATTATTCATTAACCCATTATTATTATTATATTATTATTGTTATTATTATCATCTGTATTATTTCATTATTTCATTATTTTTACTATCATCCGCGACGACCCATCCATCTCATGCCTTCAACTCACCTCATTATCCGTTTCCCAGATTTACAGACCCCTCTCCCAAGATATCCACATTATCTAACCCATATCTACCAACGACATTCTTCTATTTCTACCTGCATACTTGACCTACTTTTCTAACGTGCTTCTTACTTCTCTTGTCTGCTGCACCGACTGCAAGCTCAAGTTCTACTACGTGCTGCACATTATTTTACTGCAACTGCAACTGCAACTGCTTGCAATTCTGCACTACCACTCCTACCACCATACGACCCATACAACCACTCGAACCAAAAAGGGACCCAACAGACTTAGACTTCTTACAGACTTACAGTCCTTTGTACCTCCAGTCTCCACTTCAGATCAAGCCATACAATCCCTTCCTGCTGTTTGTCTCGTCCGACTTACATCGGAACCCAGACTCAACCCACTCATACACCACCACTCTTGTCCCTCACATATCAACTGAGCTTCTCCCACCCCAATTCTTACCTCAAAATATTCATATCAAACATTCCCATCCTCATAAACAGTCACTTCTTTTGTTATTCTTGTCTTTTTCTTTGACAGAAAAAACATAGCAAGTGATTTGACTTTTCACTCAATCATCTCATTGATTAATCCGCCCAAAACGAATTTGCCTTTTTCATATCCTCTCCCTACCCCGATAATTCAAGTTTTCGTGATCGTTGACGATCTATCGATAACATTTATCTTTTCTCACCGCCACTATTTATCTATTTTACCCCATCTCATCCGAAAATAACTTCGCTTCCCCCAAACCCACCTCTTCCTTAACCACAACACCAACCCACCCTCACAACAGACCACAGCAGGAACTTCTTTGCTATGGCTGCCTTCCCAATGCACAATTACTACAGACAATCGTCATTATCTGTCGATACTCAACCCCATAACTACTTTGAAGAGGACGAAGGAAGCATTCTTGATGATAACATCCTCGACCACTCTGCATTAGATTCCGGCTTAGAAATGTCTCCACCCATGGACAATAGCAGGCGGGAATCCTTTGCAGTATCTTCGACATTGTTCTCCCCCAAGGCTGATGAATGGCAACACGTCGACATGCAACCAATGGCATCCAACAATCCCTTTGTCGAGCATAACAGCAACAACCCATTCATGCGTATCGAGGCTGCACAAAACGCAACATATGGACATTCGAATCACGGCTGGGGTATGGGAAATGGTTCGGGTATGAGCACACCAATGCAAGGTCATGATGGACTTCCATCTGATTATGAGGTCAATGTTCCTATCTTTCAACGTCCCGTGCAAACACCATTCACAAACCCTGGAAACCATCAACTACCTCTCTTCTCCGCCAATGGCTCAAGTCATCCATCTCCACAAAAGGACTGGTCCGTTTCAGAGATGGATCATCGTATTCCAAAGCGCATGCGTCCACACAGCCCAACTCTTCGATCGCATCCTGAGATGTCTAGAAGGGGTGATGGTATCCGAAAGAAGAATGCCCGTTTCGATATTCCAGCCGAGAGAAATCTCACCAACATTGATCAACTCATCTCTCAATCCACCGATGAGCAGGAGATTAAAGAGCTCAAGCAGCAAAAACGTTTGTTGAGAAACCGACAAGCAGCGTAAGTACATCATCTGATCAATTATTACACCCATTGACTAATCACTGTCATAGTCTTGACTCACGTCAACGAAAGAAGCAGCACACTGAGCGCCTTGAGGACGAAAAGAAGCACTACACTGCTTTGATTAACGATCTCGAGGAGGACTTGGCCGAAGCAAAACTTGCTTTGGATGAGTGGGCTCGTAAAGAGCAACACTACCAACAATACATCGAGAGCTTGCAGATGGAGAAGGAAGAGATGGTGCGAACTCACACCCTCGAAACCGGCGACCTCCGCAAGAAAGTGAGCGTCCTCACAGAGCACATGCAAAAGATGGAAAGCACTGCCATGTCGACTGTTCCCAGTTCGACTGGCTTCTCTGCCGACTACTCTGACATTGATGGTTTGAACATGGATGGCAATTGGGACAACATCTCCTTCCTTAATGACTTTTCCATGGAAAGTGAGATTAAGGTTGAGAATTCAATGGTTTCCGCCAAGAAGGTCGACACTTCCCTTCTTAGCGAGCCAGAGAAGCCTGCTGCCCAAGGCCTCCTCTTGATGTTGCTCCTTGTCGGTGCTTTTGTCGCTTCAAAGGGTTCTTCTCCTAGCATTCCTAGAATGTCGGATGATGTTCGTGCTGCATCTGCAACACTTCTCGAAGACGTTTTCAAGGATGCTGGCATTCAACAATCCGCTTCTGCTGTCTCTGATGTTACCAACGCAATTGCACCTCTCCCATCTGGTTCCTGGTCTACTACTCAAAACCCATCTCTGGGAGGCAACGAAATGGTCGGCGTCACATCATCAACCCTCGGAGATCTTGCCAACAGTCTTTCGCAACCAACAGAAGAACAAAACAACGAGCAACTCTTTTCATTGTCTGCCGCACAATACAATGGGTTGACTTCTCAAGATTTCCTCGACAATTCTCCCGCCACAAGATCAACATCTCAAGGACGAAAGAATCTCGGTGAATCACTTGCTGCCATGCGATCGAATTCCAAGAAATCGGCCGCCGAGGTTTACACTCGATCACTATTATGGGATCAAGTTCCAAGTGAGGTTGTCAGGAATTTTGCCAAGTTGGTCTCGGAATGTAATTCCAGGAATGGTCCAGAAGAGTGCGATACCTCATCGGGTTAAACTTTTCCAAGTTTCAAACCTAAACATGTCATCCAAAAAACTCTACTTCGACAACACAAATTCTTTTACTCTTCGAACAAAAACTTTACGGCTTTTACGATTTTACGGCTTCATTGCGAACAGAGACTTTGTTGCTCACGCATCTTCTCTTAATGTCTCAATTTGTTAATGAGCGAAATAGCGAGCGTTTGAATTTTTTACTTGAATTTTCTATTTTATGGCTTAATGGTTTTATGGTTTACGGATGGTTATTTTCATTTTCTCCTTTTTTTTCTCTCTCTGTTACTGCATCATCGTCATCGTCGTCATCATCGATCATAGTTAGCGACGGGTCATCAAACTTGGGACTTTTCTTAATTTCATATTGATTATTATTATTTTCGCCAGGCATAAGACGAACATCAGATCGCAGCTGGACAGCAATGGGAATACATATATTTTGTAAATTGGACGGATGGGTATTCGGAGGGGATGGATCTCTATTGGATTGGAAACGGGCATTTGGAACGGAAGGGGGTGGCTACTCTACGCATTACACATCGCACACCACAAGCTATGTCTAGCAACCAATTTTCCTTATACATTACCACTCAAAAGTTTCATTACGACTACGTTATCACGAACTATTTCATGAATATTATTTTATCAATACCTACAACGACACAAAGAATCACTCTACGCAATTACCCCTCTCCAAGTTTGTTCCAAATTGAAGCGTTTGCTTTGAATACACAATCGATGACTATCTTCGCATATACATACATCCTATCATACTATCCATATACCAATTCAGAATGTTTTACGTTTTACGATTACTCGCGATTTCTTTTCCAAGACTCACTCACGATGAGCAATGACATGCAATCATGACTGATGAATGAATGAAGAGGAATGAAAGATCTACCTCACGGTACTATCGAAGAGATATCGAAAGATCTAAAACACACCACATCAACCGATCACGATCAGATCATCGGGATTTCCTTTTAAAAATCTCCTTTACAGATTTCGGATATGTCATTTTGATGCAGTATTTTCTATATCTCAAGGGACTGTTTTTCTTGTACCTAATTCGGTCCTATCTGTTGCTTTTGGCTTGTGTTGTCTATCATGGAATGGGGGATATGAGTTGCTTGTTTAGAAACTCATTTTTTTGTATTTAATTTTGACTTTACTCCACATATACCGTAGGATGAGATGAGATGGAACAATCAGATAGGAAAAAACACACAAGAAAATGGTCAATAATACATGCGATTCATGTTCAAATTCTCTCCTCTGCTTGATGTGATTGTGACAATGATACCTAGGTAATAACAGTGATACGAGTACTTGTTTGTGACTAATTACTGCTGTGTTTGTAGATTGCGGTGCTTGAACGACTTTCAAAGGTTTGTCTTGCATTCGTTCCTCTGGTTTCACCCCCGGATTCAGTAAACATGTACTTGGCCAGTCATAATGGAATTTCTCTTTAGACTTGTTTCCATGTTTGCCCGTGCCTTCCTCGTGTGTTTACTCATGTTCCGATTATCGTTCCTTCTATCTATCGATATCTCCGAACCAAACACCATGTGCCCACCAAACAGCATTCGAGTCCGCATGCTCTGTCTCAAAATCCCACAACCAATCTCCTTCTCTCCCTCCGTCCATTCCCCACAATATTACCAGTTCTCTCCTCACATTCTACCTTTCCTCAACTCCACTTGTAAACCGGGCGATCCAATGACCTTTCTCTACCAACCAATTAAACAAACTCCTTTCCAAGTGTTTCACTCCCACTCCCATCCAGGTTCTCACAACGTTCGTCCAATAATTACCCCATCATTTTTGAAACACACTTGTTTCTGTCTCGCCCCATACTCTCTACCCCGTGAAATACGTGGTGTTTCATCTTTCAAAGACCAAAAGTAAAAATTCTTCACTCCAAGGGTCGTGTTGGTTTGTGGAACCTCGATTTCTGCATGTGTGAGCTCTCCCCACATATTTTTCATGACTTACCTAGGTAGGTAGCGTCTTTCACGATTCCCACCAGCGACCCCACTACTTTGCTCCGGAGACTAGTGCTGTATGGTATGGAGATGTATGTATGTAAATGTATGCAAATGTATATCGCCCAATTCGTATTCCCTTCCCACATGTAGATACCATACTATACATGTACATCATCGTCCCTAGACTCACATTTTCCAAAACTTAAACCCTAGCCGCATTACCCTCCGTTTAATGCCGAGTCAATGCTCCCATTCTTCCTCGTCAAGACTCAGGACTCAAGACGCGAGAGGATCGAGGTCCCCACTATCGCGAATACATCTGCAGTAGATCACAGTAGAGTGCAGTAGATACCCTTCACCGCTTACAATGGGATCACATCTAACCTCTCAGGTAGAGTGGCAAAGACGATATGGAGTTGTAGGTTTATACTACTGCAAAATTTTGTTTCGCAGCTTCGTAACTTCAACAGAGATCCGCAAGTCTACACTAGTAGATAGAGATAAAGTGTTTAGCAGCGGACGAATCCGGTATACATCGCATGGCATTACATTCACATAGCATAGCATGGCATCGCATTGCATCGCATCGCATCGCATGGCATAGCATAGCATAGCATACAGATTGCTTTTCCATATACTTACATGACATAACATTTGTATCTTCGATTATAACCTCTTTAGGTCTTACACACACATAACATCACAATACATAGCCATTTGCCGTGAGTTTGGCATGTACATGACAGTACATCGCATAGCAGTACATGACATATACATGACATAATATGCAAGACCCCTTTTTCTTCAACTCAACTTCGAGTTCGCCACAAATGCAAATCCAAACGCGAAGACCATCATGTAGATGCACCATGCAAAAATTCACGAATGCCTACACATATCACAAATGACAAAAACCTGCAATATCGAAAATTCTTCAACAACTCAATTTAAAATCACGTGGAATTATACGTATTGTTGATGTAAAACATAACGGCTAGACCAGACGAAAGTAGACGGACATCCGTGCCGTATTCCAGCCACAAATCGCTTATTCGTTCATAGTCGGGCCCCATTCATCCCAAGATATGAACCGATCCGAGATTTAGACGGTTCTAGTACTCTCACAATTAGTGCACCCAATATGATACAAAAGCCCAAAATGTAATCGAAAAACTTTAAAGAAAAACTGCTGGGGCTATTTTAAGCACTCAAGCTCACTGCACCGCCTTGTCGTCATACAATATCATATTCCATTCTGCCATATCACATTTTCTCACATCCGGGCCACTTCCAAGCCTCCAACAACGCTATGAAAATCCTCCATCCTTCCCGCACTTAGCGTCCAGCCCACCTTTCGCAGCGACCCAGCATTTTGCACTGCGGCGTTGAGTTGTCGTGCCATACATAAAATACATACGTATATGACGCCTTTCCCATCGCTCGCAGCCTCGCGTGCGTACGTAGATAGCCCAGTGAAAACTCTTTCGAATTGACTCTTCGGATTGGATCTCTACATCATACATGAAAAGATGAAACGTCCTATTTTTGAGCCCGGGGTACCATGTGAGAACGAACGAATACATCATACTTTGAATGTTTGAACGAATGAGAAAATTCAGAGAGAAGAAAAAAAGCCAAGACCCATTGTAGATCATGTACATACATACAGTATGCAATCCACTTCCAGCTACATACCAATAAATAAGGCATAAGATAAGGCACCTCAACAGGATCTGAAACTGAAGCTTGAAACAATTCCCACTACAATGCTTCGACGCCCCGCCGTAATGGATTACACAAAGCCTTTTACTGTGCTGTGCCACCTGTGGGCATTTCAGCACGACAGACACTGCTTAGATGAAAACCTCGTGAGCATACGAGTCCAGTTCCTGTATGTCTCAGTCATGACTACACCTGACCTGCGTTAATTTGGGGTTGTCTGATGAATTCACTTGTACTCATGCTTAATTACTTAATTAGGTAAATGCTGACTGCAGCACAAGACTCAACTAAAGTGAACTAAAGCCAAAGCCAAACCGAGCTAAGCCAAGACCCTAATAAATCAAGGCGTAAGAAACAGAACAGTTAAAATCAGGTTTAGTCGATGAATGCTGAAATTTTGTGGAAGAACTAGTATTAATAGAGATATAAATAAGCCAGCCCACTTTAGACACCGTGCAATACGTCAAGATCTCCGAGACACCAATCCAATGTGACCGTTTCGGTTTCGATGAAAATAAAAGATCAACGAATAGTATTACCCAATACCAGGCCAATACACGAGCGAAAGCCCCTAGTCCAACTGAAGTAACTAAAGTAACTAAAGACCGTTCGTTCTCTCGATCCGACCCGGAGCTTAGCGAAGCAAAACAAGTAAGAACGCGTGAACCAAACTCATTAGTCGTTCGTCCAGAAAAGTATCTAGTATCTCCAAAGAGTTACCCCACTCCCGGTTCTCATTATCTAGAACTTCCGTACTTGGATTTTTACTTCTTAGGATTGTATTTATCCTTCCAAATCCTACATTCATTGTAACCAATAAAAATCAGCAAACATCTCTTTACAAGGGTATATTTCTAACCGACATTGCCGAAGAGACAATGAGAACCAATTGATTTTCCGTACCAATGTACCTCTAAAGTGCATGAAGGTAGTGGACGCATATCGTCGTACCCCACTTATCAAATCAATGAACGAACGAACCATCACTAAATGACTGGGAGCGGGACTGCCGCCGAAAAGCAAAAAGGCCATAAAATAACCAGGCTGAGACAAGTACTTCATACAGAGCGGAAAATTTCCAGAAGGGGTTTCTGCAAATACTGGGTCCAAACATGAAAAGGGAAAACTCACCAAGAATTGCCCAGTGTTTTTACACCCGCATTTTCGGCCTTGCGAAGATAGTACGCTGCTCGGTACTGCAAGAAATTTGAGTTAGTACTAACAATGGTAACGGAGACCATACCCAGAAAGAACCATCAGCCTCATCTTATGACTGGCTAGGAATATTTCAAGAGTTTGCAAGGGGTTAAGCAATCGGTTGAAGTTGCATGAAGGTGGCCCCATTGCTGCCCAAAATGCGACGTAAGGGAACCATGCGTACAGCGCAAGCCACAGTAGTTGTTTGTTGGATCCGAGACTGGTGTCTGAGTGGATGGATGGAGAGTATTGGCGAACCACGGGCGAACTTACTCTATCTTTTTTACAGCCTGGAGAGAGCAGTGGTCAGTATATTAGATCAGGCAAACGCGAAGATTACGAGCTCGAGGTCGAACTTGGTTGTTGGGGAGACATGAAGACGCTTACCAAATCCTTCTAAGTAGCATCGTGCAACCTGTGATGAATAGTTAGTTTGCCTAGATCAAAATCTATGTACTACAGCATTTTAGCCTGACATGACTGTCGGCAAATTTTTGCTTTCCAAGTAGGAAGGACGACTTGGTAGGCTCACCTCATTCATACTATCTACGGTAATGTCAGTGAATGGCCTGATAATTGAGTTTTCGCGAGAGCTTTATGCATACCTGTATCTCCAAGTTCTGCAGCAGTTTGGTAGTACTACAGTGACGTTAGTAATGTACAAGCGGGCTTCTCCGCGACCCAATGATTTGAATCCACTCACTTTCTGAGCTGCTGTTGGATCTTTTTTGACCCCCCAGCCTAGAGAAGACCCAAAATGTCAGTATTACTTGATTAGGAAATTCATTTCTTTGATACTGCCATTGACGATCAAGGGGTGTATAAAAACATTCCCATATAATTGAATCGTGGCAGGAAGCTACCAGAAACAAAGCTGACAACTCAGTGGGATGTCCTCACCATTTCTGAAGCAGTTTGCTAGCTCATAAATCGCAATGACAAGCTCCCCCTTGGCAGCTCCTCCTTTCATTTTTCCGGATTGCAGCGCAAGCTCCTCGACTTGTCCACGAAGTCAGCACTATGCCAATATAAGAGATCATGACAGATAAGAACCTATGTGAAACGTGACGGGATACTCAGGGTAGGTACATACTTGCTGCTGCATTTGATGCTGCTGCCGAAAGGTACGTGACGGCTTCGGCTGGACTGGCTTGACATCCCCAGCCATGTCTATATTATTAGTTAAACCCCGAAATGGTAACAATCAAGATTCAGAAGAGATCGACTGATTCCTCGATCAGGCGGCGTGATGTAGGCCGCATAAAGGGTCGTCTTGACGTACCTGAGAGCAAGACCCTGTATTGAATATTAGCAATTGGACCGGAGTGTGCCCCTGGCCGAGATCTTTGTTGGCAAGTCCGGCAAAGTCCAAGAAAACGAAGCTCATAGAGTTGGTGAGCTAGCTAAAGCTTTACCAAGTCTATGTCAGGTGAAATTGTGATAGAAATGAACAAAGTAGAGCTTACATATAAGACCTGAGAAAGAGCATTATTGGCACCATGAGGGTCTGCCAATCTTTCAAATAGCTTTGTTGCTTCTTCCAAGTGCCCTTCCTCATGAAGTCGAATAGCTTTCTGGAGATCATCATCCACATTCCTGCTAGCAACCACGCCCGAAGGGTTTCTTCCCGGACTTAATGCCCTCGGAATTTCTCCAGAATTCCTATTTCTATGGCCTGGTGGACTGCCACAAGATGAGCCTGGTCTGCTTATTGACCTCTCATTCTGCTGTGCCAATATTGTAGCTCTCTTCTCCCACTGTAATTCCGCATCTTTATCACCTATGGCGGCCTCTTCCACTGTAATCTCCGGTAAATCACTGGGAACATGCGACGATCCTACCTCATGTTTGCGCAAACCAAAACGTTCTGATATTCTTTTACTATTGTGCGCTGATTTCAACGTAGATCTATCACTAACATGTGAAGAAGTCGATGCGCCAGATGTGCCCGAGTTTCCAGATTCGCGCGAGTTGCTCCTGGGCCGTCCAAACAATCGACTGGTTCGCGATTCATTATTCGGTTTGTTCACTGGCACCGAGGGTTGCGGGGATGATTCCGAAGAAGAGAAAGTTGGTGGTGATATTACTTCTTGTGTATTTGTATCCTTGTGTCATGTTAGCCATGTTGTAGCAGTGAGGTATGAGCTGGTACGCTGTATGTAGCAGCAGGCTTACACTTCTCATGAATGTGAAAACTGGACCAGCTTCTGGATCGGCGCGTGGAGAATGCGCATCATTTCCTGCGGTTCTATCTTTTTTCTTTAGTAAATCAAGAAGAGGCATTTTGTCATGTTAGTTCAAAGATCTGAGGTTGTTGTTTGGAATAGAAACAGTATTGTCTGCGTATATAGCCTTGTGATGATTGAATGAAATTACCACTGAATGAATATGTAGTGTGGCTTTCCAGCCGCAACGGTTGCCAAGGATGGCAGCCATTACTCATTATTCAATGTTCAATTACAAGGCATGCAAGGCTTATTCTGTCGCAGAATAGCAGATTGTCGCTGCCGTAGATCTTTTGAGTTCTTGAATGTCTATGCTTGAATTGTTTATGCCGTGGAAAGGGGCGCATTTTGGACTAGTATTCTATGCAAGGTTATCACGCAAGGACACATTGATCTATTGACCTGATTGTTTTCTCAAAGCGCTTTGTACAGATGATTTAATAATGTCAAGTAATTATTTGTGATACCTAAAGTATAAACTTCGCCATTTATGTACTTTTCAGAAGGCATAGACATTTGAGGGGTAAAAGGAGTCTTTTCTCCGTTATTATTGTTGAATGAGGAAGCCCAGCTTCGAAATTGTATGTGAGATTTATATGAACCCCTTCATTAGTCTTGCTCCACCTTCAATTTGTTCTCGGTGATTACGTAGAGAAATGCCTTTTTTCACGATACCTTTGGGCGGAGATACTTCGATGTAGAATTAGGAACACTAAACTTCGTAGAATCTAACTGAAGTTCCACAACTTGACAAGTAGAGAATCTTCCAAAGCAGCTTCTGCATCATGCTTCATAAATATTCTCTTGGGTATCTCATATTCAACAACTGGCACCTTCTTCACATCCTTCGCTAACTCGGATTCAAGCATCTATATCACGTTGTTAGTAAATTTGATGCACACAAGGTATATGATGACTTACACTTCCGTAAGAGTGATCCAGGAAATCCTCCAAGTTGTATGAATGTTTGGTAAATTGTTCCGAGATAATTTTGGCAAGTGTTGCAACATTGGGATGATAATGTGATTGCAGCGTGACAATTTCCCACAAACTACTGTCGATTGCATTGGTCAACATTGGATCTTCCTCATCCATCAAGAATGGATCTGAGAGCCCCTCTTCCTCTAAAACCCTCTTCGCTTCAGCCCCTCGAGTCTCTCGATGGATCATGAATAAACACGTTGGGTGCTTCTTCAATAAATTATAGATCCACGGCACAACCGCAACGACGCCAGATGGGGGGGAGTGTAACGTAAGTCTAGATAGCCTCTTGATGAAGCTTGCGACAAGTACTACTGGTAAATGTGTTGATAATAAAAAGGTATCCAAAAGTCGGAAAAATCTTGAACGATGCTTCGAATGCAGAATGCCCGTGTCTAGCAGCGAATAAAGCTTTCTGTAGAACGATGGGTAGTCTAAATTCTTCTCTTGGATGAGATAAAAGACGCCAGAGAGTGATAGCAACGAAGTTGATCCCCCAGAATTGTATGAGTCGGTCAGGAAGTCCATTAAAAGTTCGGGTTTGGTAAACCATGGCGCAATGCAATCGGTAATTTTGGAAAGAATCATTTTTCTTCTTTCTTTTACCATCTCCATATTCATCACGGCTAACCATGCTCCTTGCGCTCGCTTCTTATGTTCCGTTAAGGAGTAAAGTGCGTGCGACTTTTTCTTCGGTGCGGGAATGTAAAAATCTTCGAGTTCGTCCTTGGATTCGGGAACTGATGATATTGATGTTAAAATCTCATAGACGGTATTAAATGAATCATTGCCTAAGCTTCTAGCCTCGGACGCTGTAACCAATTTTCTGAAAATGTTAGTAATTGCGAATATGTAGTAGGAAGGCAGTCCTACTCTATAGCTTCAAGGGTGTAAAATCTAATATCATCGTATTCCTCAACAAACTTATCACTAAACTCTTTCCTGGCAGCATTATCACTCCCAGGATGAATGAGAACTTGAACCATATCTGTAAGAAGGCCGGTAGGAAAACAGTAATCCTGACCATTTCGCAGATGCTGCCCTTCAATCTTCAACATTCTCATGCAAAGAGATAACCCCGTGAATGCGGTATCTTCTTGGCTCAACATATCAAGAAGGATAATCTTGTATTCTGAATATCTTTCCTTGAGCCATTGGACCACAGTTGCGTCCTTCACAGAAGTCTCTTTGGTTTTCTGCAAACCCCCGACTACTATCAATTTCGTGAAAACCCGGCATAACGATACCGCGGCGAGGATCGACGCATCGGCACCTTCAGAATCATCTCGGGCAATGCCAATTAGTCTTGCAATGTTGTTATAATGCTTCTTCGACTCGAAGATTTCGCTCTCTAGAAGGAGAATTTGCGCCTGTGGATCTTCTTCACTATCCTCAGATCGTGCGCGTTTCGAAGGCCCTTTTTCCGACACAGCTCTCTTCCTTTTTGAAGGGCGTTTCGAATCAATAGTTGCGCCAGGCATTGTGATTATGTGACGAAATTTAGTTTTGTCAATTCTCTAGAAATTTATTTCTCTTATCGAGATAAATCCCGAAATATTTGTTAGGTCCTCAGGCATCTTTACATAAGAAACTTCAAAGTGAGGTGGGAAGCGAATTCCGAAAGAACCTCGTCTCAAGCCTTTCAAGCAATTTGAGCTGCTGTACAATATCCCCCCTCATATCAAAATGGCATCAAGACTATTGACAAGAAGCGCCTTAGGTATGTGGCACATGTGGATTTGAGAAATACGCCACAATTGCTACTGGCCGCGATTGACTGACACAACGTAGGGGCCGCTCGTCTTCGACCAGCTCTTTCTTCCCGTACCCTCCCGGCCCTCACATCGATCTCGAGTTCGCGATCATCTTCCTCCAATGTACCAGCAGAGGACCCTAAGAAGAAGGCGCAATCGCTCCTTGACTCTCTCCCAGGCAACTCTCTCGTTTCCAAGACTGCCATTCTTTCCGCAGCCGGAGGAGTTTCCCTGTACGCTCTCAGTAACGAGTACTATGTCGTCAACGAAGAAACTGTTGCTATGTTCTGCCTTTTGAGCATTTGGGGATCTGTCATTAAGTTTGGTGGACCATTGTACTCTGAGTGGGCCACTGGCCAAGTCAACAAGATCAAGAACATCTTGAATGCTGCCCGTGCAGATCACACTGAGGCTGTCAAGACTAGAATTGAGAGCGTCCAACAATTGGGCAGCGTTGTTGATATCACCAAGACTCTTTTCGAGGTTTCCAAGGTATGATGGGTTGTGGAGAATGGGATATTGCGGGGAAGACTTACTAACATAACTTGCAGGAAACTGCACAACTCGAGGCCAAGGCTTACGCACTCGAGCAACAAACCGCTCTCGCTGCTGAGGCCAAGTCTGTTCTCGACTCATGGGTTCGATACGAGGGACAAGTTAAGATCCGCCAACAAAAGGAACTCTCAGAAAGCATCATTTCCAAGATCCAGAAGGAGCTCGAGAACCCCAAGGTCTTGCAACAAATCTTACAGCAAAGTGTTGCTGATGTCGAGAGTATGTAATTTTTCACCGTTGATAATTCACAAATACTAACCCAGCTACAGAGATTGTTGCATCCAAGGCTTAATAGATTAGAGAAAGGACATGGGCCATTGAACGTTTCTTTACTCTATTATGTTTTCAATAAAATACACCTGTGCCATAGTCGACGAACACATTTCCTCCCATGCATTAATATATTTCAAAATCCAATGATATGTGCATACGAATTCATACAATGCCTATAGCGCCCACACTCCCTGTCAACGCCGGGTGAAAGTGTCACTTATCGTATGGGTCAGAATTTGCCCTTCAATCTAATGTCTGCCTTGCTGCTTTTGCAATCTCCCGTAGACTCCTGAGAGGGTCCAAGACACTATCATGATCTGTGCCCTTCAACTGTTCACAGTCCACTGCGATGTTCGCAGTCCAATTCTCGCTAGTCCAACAATTTCGGAAGTATTCCTTTCCCTTCTCACCAATCATTATGTCCTCTTCAGCAAAGTAAATTTTGACATCCAGCCGGGCACTTTGATTCCTTTCAACTCTTTGAGTCCACAATTCTACCAAGTTCTTAACCATTTCTTCGTAGTCTTCGCAAGCATTCCAGTTACAGTCATCTGTTTTCTTCAAACACAATCGAGCCTCATCATTTAGGCCTGTCGTATCTTCCAAAAATGCCCACTTGAAAATTAGACTATCCATCTCTTTTTTTGTCTCTTTCGATACACCGTACGCCTCTCGAACCTTCTGTTCGGCAACCACTTGGGTTGCAGCCCCAGTTGCCGCAGCAGAAAAAGCAGATTTTAAAGTAGAAAAGACCGACCCTGAACTTGCTATCATTGGCGTAGCACTGTTCAGAACAAAATTCATAACCGCGCCCCAGTGATTGATCATAGTATTGGGAAGCTTTGAAGCAATCTGAAGAAAGGTTGTCGATGACAAGTTTTGATGGACCCAAGGAGAAAGCAGAGTGATCCTAGGGCGTTTCGGACAAATTATATGAGGGAGAGTAGCAATGATGTTGAGAGCGTATATAGTCCCGGCACTATGGCTCGCAAGAGAAACATGCTCAATGTTCAGGTGCTTGAGGAGAAGAGGAACAGTCTCAAGATATATGGGCAACCGGTCTTGAAGTGGAACGGAGGTAGAGCCCCCGAAACCAGGTCTAGGGAGTTGTTAGTTTGGATAAATCTTGTAGCTTCATAGACATGGCATTATTGAATTCTTCAATTGACTGATATTGCGACTGAATATCTACAAGCCACCAGGCACATCCACACTCGGAATATTAGATTGGAAACGAGGGTACGGTGAGCGCAGCCAGAATCAGATGATACACAAACACCCTGCAACATAAAGGGCAATGCCACCCACCTGTCAATAAAAATCATTCTCACTCCTTCTTCCATCGCTACATGATCAAAGGAGAATGCCAGCCATCTGATACCTAGCATTCCCACAACAAAGAGAATAGTCGGCGCATTCTCATCTGATGGTCCTGCAATGGCATAGGATACCTTGAGCTCTGCGTGCTTTTCTGTTGCCGGTAGTTTGAAAATCTGGTGGAATTTGATAGGTGCTAGAAGCTCCCTTGCCTCAATTTGTGCTGGCGTTAACGACATATTGTTGTATGTTGGGATGAAGATTGAGTTCAAGATTGACAAAATGCCTCGTGAGTTATGTCCGGGATATCAAAAAGGCCTCCAGGGCTTACCTTGGTTGCCTAAAGTGGTTACGCGTTAAATCCTGATGTCAACAGTCACATGATCTATCACATAATTTATTGATAAAGTGAGTTATGTTTGATGTTAAAATCATTTGAAAATAAATTCTTATTATAATGTCAACTTTACTTGGCTTTGGCTGACCAAACAGCGTACAGCCAGCCTCCTTCATCTAAATTTGAAAGCGATCACACTAGTCTTTTCTTCATTTCCGTTTTTACAACGCCTAAACACCTTGCGTGAATGCAGATTCAATGAAAGAAGAAAGTTCTTAGACGAGAAGGACACTGAAAGAGTTAGTTTCTGTAAACTCTTCTGGATGGACATAAACTTACGCGTTAACACATCCGTCGTTTTCAGGATTGTTAGTAATCTGTGCCCATCTACCCCAAACAACCTTTCCTCCAGCTGTAACCAGACCCAAATCAGAAACGTTGACCTCAACGATAGTACCCCGAGTGAGAACACCCAATTGAGTGTACATCGGGTTCTGTGGGTTCTTCTTGACGCTGATGATAGGTAGCTGTACAGTCACACCGAGCTCTGGGTGAGTGACGTTTGCCTGCGCATAATTAGAATCTCCGTGTCAGGCTGAGCGCAGTAGGAAGACATACCTTTTTGTAACGTAAACCCATAGGTCTAATGAATCGTTCATACTTCACAGGTCTTCTTGTGAAGTCGGGACCAACGAAAGTTGGCTAAAAGAACCAACATCAGCATATCGTCACGTATTGGATTGCTACCCATCAATGGATCAGAATGCATACCTTCGTAATCATACGCTTCCAGCTCTTCTTCGCGGTCTTCTTTCCAGTCTTCACCACCTTGAACATTTCCTCCTCAGCGATACCTCTGACTTTAGGTAAAGGCACACTAAATTTAGCAGCCTTTTCTGCCCTCTTGTTCTTGATTGCGCTCGACAAAGCCTTAGCATTGGTAGGGTTCGATCGATCGAGTAAATATTGTGGCAAGGGTTTGGTCGAAGGTTCGTTTGGCGCAGAAGATTTCACATTTCGTTCTTCGTGAGCCTTGATTTGCTTCTTCATTTGAATCTTCTCATGACGCCTCTTCTGTTGATACAATTTCGCACGTAGACCAGTCAGTTTCTGGGCATCATCAGATGCTTTATGACCTTCTCTTGCTGCCTTCTTTCTCGATCTCTCTTCGTGGTCGAGGCGGCGACCATGTAGCTTGCGCCATCTTTCCATATACTCGTTTTGAGGCTATTATTAATGATCAATTAGTATTTTCCAGTTTTGATCAACAGCTCCAGACGTACCATGATGAATTATTATGATGAGGTGATTGTGGAATTTTACGAGCTCAAAAAAATTGTTATGTCGAGGCTCATGATTATCGATAACAAATTTCTTAGCGCAAAAATAAAAACCACGCTTAGTCATCAAATTTTAAGCTTCAGCAAGTTCAACAATGTAGAATTCAGATATCAAAGACTTGATCGACTATACGACGTTCTCGACCTCAAGATGTTCAGTAGAACGATGAGAAAGTCCTTATTGGACATACGGATACCAAGTGTAACGCTTCCACCCACCTTCCTTTTACCAAGCCGAGCACGGTTCTTCAACTCTACAACACAACATGTCGAATCACCCATCGAGAACAGCCATGCTAGTCCATTATCCGCAGCATCTGTAAAGCCAGAGAACCCCTCAATCGTATCTTCGGCACCGGTCGCGCCCTCCCCCAGCTTCACCCCACTATCGCTTTCTCCCTCAGCCAAGGAAATGCTTCCTCTCCTCACTGCCCAACAATCGCACTTCATAACCACACACATTTACAGTCGACCATACCTTGTCACTGTAGGAGATACAGTACGACTTCCGTTCCGTATGCCCGGCGTGGTCCCTGGCGATGTTCTCCGCCTTAATACTGCTTCAAGTATTGGATCAAGAGATTACACGTTAAAAGGAACGCCTTATCTTGATGAGAGGATATTTGAATGCAGAGCGAGAGTTATGGGCACCGAAGCCGAACCAATGAGGATCAAGGAGAAGACGAAAAGGAGAAACAGAAAAACAAAGACCGTCAAGAGCAAGCACAAGTACACTATATTGAGAATTGCCGAGCTTAAAGTCAAGACAGTGGAGGAAATTGAGGGTTAAATTCAATCTGTGTTATTAAGATTATGCACTCTCTTCGGTTGTATGGAATTGAAACTAAGACCAGAGTTTGAATGGGTTCAGGATTGAAGGAGGGCCAATGTGGGATCATTCTGCAAGTATATTGCAGATATGCGTCGCAAGCTGTTGTCATTAGTAACACAGCCTGTTCTATATGTTGGGATGGGATCAATGTACTATATCAAAAAGATTCTGGATCAGCGGAAGTAGATCCCAAAAGAAAACATACACCAATATCTTCAGCAGTGTGGTCGATGCACAAAATATGGCCTACATTAGGCAGAGCACATGTGAAGTCACCTGGGTGGGCCTTTCCATTCTCATATCAAAACAATTCTCTCTACATAAAAAAAGCGAATTAGTAATATTTTCAGTCTGTATCAATGCGTTCTTTACATTCAGGACTACTCGCTATTCACTTTCATATCTATCTGCATTGTTAATATTCTGGATTCTTCTTAGGGTTGTTTTCAATGTAATTTGTATTGCTCGGCAAGACATTGGGCTTACGGTGGTTACCGATCCTTCTCTTCTATCTTACAAGATCTGCCAGCGATCTAACTGAATCCCATGATTCTCTAACCTACTAGAGATCTCTCAATCCCATGATTCCAAGGCCGCCAAATCTTCACCATCATCAGTGTCAACTTCTGCTTTCTTTGCGGTCTCAACCTCTGCTGTCTCTTCAGTCTCAACTACTTTTTGCATCTTCTCCATTCTCGCGACACTTTCTCTGATGTCTTTCAACGCCTGCTTCAACTTTTCGGCGGTTCTATCTGTATTACTTCTCTTGATCTCACACGACTTGCACACCTCGGTGATTTTGACAGTATGCATTGGGTGAGAATACATTGTGTCGCAATCAATGGATGTGGTTGGCGATGTGTCAAAGGCAAGTTTTTGGTTACAGGCTTTTACTTCACTGCCCCAGCGGGTGTGGCCGCACTGAATGAAGATCATACGCTTGTGAATACACATCTTGCTGGTTGATTGGATCTATCCTATTATGAAGAATGATGCTAAAGATGATGCTGAAGCTTTGGTAGGCGTTGCTGGAAGATTTGATGTTGTAGTGTTGATGAGTTTGAACCGAAGTGGATAGAGAGACATATGTTAGATAATAAGACTGCATTTATAGGAATCCCCATTGAGTTGTTCTGGCAATACTCCTACATTTGATGAACATTTTGGACTGTTCTGTATGTTCCTTTACATTCTTTATTCGCTTTTTTGTCCCACAAGAGACAATGCATTGTTCAGTGCTTCTCTTCACTTCCTTTGTGGTGAGAACAAGATTCACTTACGGACAAAGAAATGAACATTGACTCTGGAATGGAAAAGTATGGTCTACCGACCTAGTCTAGATGCTCTAAATTTTGCGCACTCATAGCAATATCTACGGTTGTTGGGGAAATATGTCGGAGGTATTCGTTTATCATGCAAATACACAAGGCATACTTCCAACTCCCATGGCAAAATATCCACACACGAGTCTAATTTTCCTAATAAAGATCCTGAGAATTGCGCTAACAACCTGGCGAGGATGGCGATAAGTGCTCTTGTGCTTTTGTGGAAGCGATTCGAAACAGTAATTTCAGAACTTTCGAAGTTTGTTGAAGACGCTATTCATATCACGCTTGATAATGTGTGATGAAAAGCTGTAACCGAAGTGGTTCTCCTTTAACTATACAATGCTAAGACACGAATTTGAATTTAGGTATTAATGCTTCCGTGAATAGGCTGCGCAATGGGCATCTGCAGAGCAGGCAATGAGTCTTGTGGATACCTCTGGGGCAACACTCTCGATCGGTTATTTGTATAGTAAATTATTTGTAGATTGCCTTAGTTATATACGATAATTGTACACTTTCTGAGAAAACCGCTGGAAATCCATGGAGCACGTTACCAAACAGCAAAATATTAGAGCGCAGAAAGAACCTTTGAGACGGAAGGGAGAACTGCATACGAGTTGGGTGTTAGAAACATTTTGAGCTTGGCGGACGCAGATGAAGTAGACGTGGCTTACTAGTATGCTTATGCAGGTCAGGATGCTAAATAGGATTACCACTAAGTCGGTATTGTGTTAGAATCAGTATTTTCTGAAGGAAAATCATGGAGGCGGATGAGGAATTCAATTTTCTCACGGATTATGAAATATAGAAATATCTGAAAAACGCTGATGTGAAGGGATGTGGATGCAATGGTATGAAGAGCAGGACATAGTCCAAGTGCATATACCGGTACCCCGCGGGCACAAAGGAGCTTTGTGAATGCCACAGATCTTCTATATAAGGGGCAAAAGTTGCGGGGTTCCTCAATATCGCCAGCCTTTAGGGTCATGATGCTCTCTACCTCCAACAGCAAGTCATGCAAATAAGCCCGATCATGCTTTTCGTGAACTGCCACGTGATTATAAAGTACACAGACTTGGGTTCATCAAACCCCTCCTGCACCCTGCACCCCGCATTGTACCGCATATGCATCCCTGCCACCGTATGGTTATTTCTCAGGTATCCATTGGACAATGACAACTCCGGTTTGTAGTAGTAGTAGTACTATTTATTAACGTCCAGCGAGTCAGCATAAGGCCGACCCTGGGAACCTCCCGAGGGCTATGGACCTAATTGATGCCGCAGGAAGCAATTCATATGTACAAGAGTCAAAAAGCCCTTTTGAGTGACTCCTCCCCCGCCAGTTGAGGTGGGGCCAACAATGTTCAGAGACTCCGAAGAGCCAGACGTGGTTCCAAGGAACGGACGAATCTGTGGCATAAGGGCGAGTATTTACAAGAGTGGCCGAGGCCGGGTGTATGTGCACAAAGAGAAAGGTTCCCACTGCATTCCTAGCCGTCGTTTCAATGAACTCCGATTTGTACGTCTTATGAATGGCATATTAAAAACAAGTTCAAGATTCGAATTTTACTTATTCTCACGGGTGGGTAGGTGCCTAGAACAATATCTCATAGTGAATTAGCAGTAAGTAGTAAATGAATCATTAACATGCTTTCAAAGAATTTCAAAGATTCATACGGGTGAATGGTTAGAATCCAATCTGGCTTGTAATTCTCCGTACGGCAACAATTATCAAAGCTGGGAGTTTGACGGAAACATAAATACGAACAAAACTATTCGCGTCCATCTTTGACTGTCCATCCTATTCGAAAATGCATCGTTTCCGCAATTTCGTCTCTCAGTAAAAATTGTCAAAATGGAGTATCCAGAATCCTCACCAACCATCCCGTCTAGGAGCTTCTCTTTCGACTACGAAGTTCTTTACTACTATTAATGTGGATAGTAAGATACCAACCAAGGTACATCTCACTCTAATCTCTGTCATTTTTGGCACATTGCCATTCACAATCGTTTGTTGAATTCTATTACATACTGACCCCATACTAATAACTATTTCAGAACAATTCGAAGCGAACTTTACCCCTTAAGTATCGAGAACAGATACTCCTTCCAGCCGAAGAATGGGATAAACATATTGACAAACACTCTGGTGAACCAATCTTTACCAACATTTGAAAGCCCTACGATTGTCAAAATAAAATGTTGCCCGACCTAGACGAAGAGGAATATGCAAAAACGAGAACAATGCATAAGACATTCGTACAGAATTCTGAGAAAGTGATGGCAATGGCTGAGGAATGGATACAGGACTCTGAGAAAATGTGGACAACATGGGATGAGGAAAGACAGGAATTAAATATGGGAGAGTTTCTCAAGGCCGAACAATTTCTTTCCAGACTATCGCAAAAGGAAAGGAAGGATTTTGGGATGAAGTTGTGGCCGTGGATCGCAGAGTCTCGAAATAGGAATGCCCACAGACTTGATCTGCCAATATCAATCAAGCAAGTCACAAAGTGTAAGGACTTGAACTTTGTTCTGATTTTCGAAGCTCTATTTGGCATTTCTCAGGACGAAGTTCAAGTTTTGTTGAAAATGGACGAACGATGTGGTGGGATATTCCGAGTGAAGAGTATCGTGGAATACCATGGAACGCTTTATGCTAGGCAAATGCTCCAAAGATTTCTCCCACTATTCAAACAATGGCTGGAAGGAATTCGAAAAGTTCTAAATCAAATTGATGATAGGACAGAATTAACCACCTGTCGAGGACACGCTACACTGAAAGCATCGGCGTTGACTTCAACAATTGATGATAAACTTCTTCAAGCAGTCAAAAGAGTCGGTCAGAGTTGCGAAGAAAGCTACATAGAAGATAACTTTCAACCAGCCGAAAGTAACCACAGCGAAACAATCGCAGAAGATTGGAGAGAAAGAGCAATTTTGTCAAGGTTTGGAGCGATACAGGCCAAGGCAAAACAGGACAGTGCGGATGCGGAGACATATTCGAAGTAGGAGAAACTAGTTCCAAGGAGTTTATATTTTCGAAATATAGTTGATGGAATAGAGAGTAGGAAAGGAACAAGAGTGGTGAAGTTAAAGCATCTACAGGCATCGTTCCTTAGGGTCTGAGTGGTGCGATTTCATAGATCCAGAGAGCGATATGAAATAATTCTCTGGATCATGAGGAGATGCAGTATATGCCAACTAAAGGGCCTTTTCCACACACAAACCCAACTCTTTTAATAGATCATTATGACAGAAGCAATTATTGAATTCAGTATCTACAGTGATAGAACATACCTAAGTACTTGTGACAGAGAGTGTGGCTTGTGTCTCATGAATAGATTGCAGTAGAGTCAGTGGATACGACGAGCTTAGTGAATAGGAAGAGAAGAGGAATAGATTGGCCCAATTTGATTATAGACTACATACAATTTCCTATTTATCTGCCTATGATATTTGCTCATAAAGACAAAACGGGAAGTAGGAAAGTGATACCAAGATTTGCGTGCTCACTCAGGGCGAAGGAGAAGATTAATTGGAAGAGAAATTCTTGGAGAAAGAGAGGGTGAAGATGGGAGGAAGGGGAGGGATTCACGATAGGTGAGGGAGACTGTATAAGGACACTCGGAGTTTTGTTTCAGATGGAGCGCCGGCTGCTAGCATATGGCTCTAATAGCCCTCGTTCTTAATTGAAATATCAGTCCCACTTGCGTAGAAGTTTAGGAAAGTCACAGAAGAAGAATTTCTCGATCACATGTTCCTGTGCGCTTGCTAACAAATATTTTGACAGCGGTGTTTGACAGTAGTAATTACATGTATCACAATAGAAGTGTCAGCCAAGAGGAATAAAGGTGTCATTATTTTAATTCAGGCATTCGTAATATTTTTTATTACTTATGTTGACCCCGCTTGAAGCCATCAAGCTATCATAAGCGCCTACAATGTCCCATCCCTCGTTGAAAATTTGAAAACAGAAATACAAACGCTTAATCTTCCTTCAAGACTTGAGCGTATTGAGTCTTGTTAATACGCTCTGGCTTACCGGCATCCAATCCCTTGGTACCGATCTTCTCCTTGGAGTATCCGGCAGCGTATGGGTTCAATCTCAAGAGAACTTGCTTGTTGAGCAATGGGTTCTTCTTTTGAACACCAGCACGCTTGGTGAGAGCGGATCCTCTAGCAGCACGGATAACGGATTGCAATTCGGAGGAGTTGATGAGACGTCCAATATCGGCTTGGGAGACAACGTTGGATGGGAGGAGGAAGTCCTTCTTGAGGGCAGATGGGGCGGTGGTGGTACCGTAGATGTTGTCAAGAGCCTTGAAGGCAGATGAAGACCAGATGATGAAACGTCCGAGATGTCCACCTGGTGCCAATTGCAACAAGTTCAAGGAGAAAACATCACAGGTCTCTACACCTGGGAGGTTGCGGAAAGCACGGACAAGTTCCTTTCCGTCAGCATTTCCGTCATAGACAACGAGAGGTCCACGTCTTTGTCTGTGACGGCGGCCTCTGAGTTTACCCTTACCGGCACGGAGCTTTCGGGATCCCTTGACCTTCTCAACATCGGCCAAAGCACCGACAGTCTTGAGGAGACCAGCAGCGGCGGAAGTGCGTGCGATCTTAGCACCCTCGAAGACCTCGGAGTTGATAACGAGAGGAACTTCAGCGACTTCGGAGATTTGGTGACCACGGGCGAAGAGGAGAGCTGGGACACCGGAGGCAGCGAGGGCAGAAACGGTTGCGAATCGCCTGTAGAAAATTAGTCAAAGCCTGGGAAATTTTTGAAAAGCAAATTCTCACTTTTGTCCAAGGTTGATCTTTTGGTGCCACTTTCTCCAGACCTTTGTAGGAGCGAACATGCGTCCAGATCTGCACATGTTACCGAAAGCAGCTTGACCAGCACGGTGGGTTCCGCCACCAGAGACACGAGGAATACGGGCAACAGCACGACCTGAGTAGATACGACAGTTAGCTTGAACCCTTCTTACCAATGTAAAAAAAATTGCCCTTCAAATTTTCGCGCGCATTCCTCCCAACTCTATCCATTGCCCAAATCGTCCATAATTTAACAAAAGTTTGCACTAACCGGTACCCCAGGACTCAGCAGAGGTTTGGTGACCAGCCTTCTCGCTCACAGCGTATGGTTGACGCTTGTTCTTGGCCATTCCAGTGTGGACGGTCTGAACGATATCAGGTCTGATTGGGGAGGTGAAGACCTATTTTTCAATTGCCGTCAGTTTCAATCCCCCAAACGTTCCATATTTAATAGTCAAATTCCACCAAATTGATGTTGAATATTTCGCATCGAGGTATTCGTACCTTTGGGAGGGGGATAGTGGTGCCGGTGGCCTTGCCATCGGCAGACAAAACGGAAACGGTAGGTCTGGAAGCCATCTCGACGAATTGATGACCTGTGTCGTGGTTGTCGTTGGTTGTCGGAAAGGTGTTGATGTTCTTCGAACTTAATTTTGTTCGAAAAAAACTTGTGGGAGAAATTCGTTTAGCGAATTTCGTTGATAAGGCCTGAGGCCACGATAAGCTCTCGCAGTCGAGCTGTACGAGCCAATCCGAATACGCGCTAGCGTCATATTGTTCTCTCAAATGTAATGGCGGGGACCTTTTTGATCAGCAAGTTTGTTTACTTCCACCACCTAACAATCACTTATCGTCAGTATATTAATGTCGAGATATTACATATGATTCTTGAAGGACGATCATCAGGATTGTCATTGTCATAACAAGTTTTGCTATTCATGTTTCTACTTTGACTTCCTAGTATAAATTCCAAATCACGATTTGATACACTCAATTATATTACCATCGACATGTACTGAAGACTGCATCTCTTGACCGTGATGATGATCTCAAGGAACCAAATTCTGGATATGGATGAGACTATAATCAAGTCTCGTGCGGCTTCCTCCTGTTGACCCTCTCGCAATACAACTTTGAGTTCAAAGACTTGATGTTTGGCCTACAATATGTACATCTACACTCAGAGAATGCGGCCACTGTCCTGGAACTCGCCATCTTTTGAACCCAGGAGTCAATGCAACCCATCGCTTCCCGGCATTTTTGTTTGTGGCCATGTCGATGTCTCTCGAGAAGTGCATATTGTATATTATCTTCAATATCTTGGAGCCAGCACTGTTAATGCTGAACATCTGTTTGAGCTGCACTCAATGATCCGGGTCCCTGTTACGTATTGTGACCACTTAGGGCAAGCTGTTTTTGGCCAGATTGTTATTACCTTTTACCATCAGCACTGCAATTCCAGGTTAGCCGCTCTAGAACTACTTGTAGGTTCATTCTTCTTTACATCTTATTTAATCTCTTCGGCGATAATAACCAACATCTCTCTGAGCCTTGGCAGATTATCGTGGCGGGGTTTGAACGCACTAGTCATGGTCTTTTCTCACATCTGCCCCACATTCAGTGGAACATATATTCAAAAAAACTGTCTCTCCTCAACAATAACAACATCTTTGATGGTCTAACGGTCATGATTTCCGCTTGTCATCATCTGACAAAGCGCGGGAGACCGGGGTTCGACTCCCCGTCAGAGAGTTCTGATCTCATGCGAGTACTTTTGTACTTTTGGCACTTTTGATATTTTTTTCTCGAAGTTTTGGGGGCGAATCACGTGCAAATACGGAAAAGGGGGGGTGGGGGTAGTGTCATGTAGTGGATATCCTATTCGTCCCAGGCTTTCATAGACCTCGAGGTGAAGCTTATTCCAACCGTCTGTCTGGAGTTACAAGAGCTATCAAATATACTACTAAACATATTTGCCCAAGGGATGGATTCAAGGTCTACTTGGATGATCAAACCAGACTTACCTTCATTGACCCTTTTCACGCACATTGTGCAGACAATGCAGTGAGCTGGGGCAAATATGGCTATTGTAATTCACTTCGTGAAAGATACATGAAGACTAGCTAGTATTCGTCAACAAACATAACTCGAGGAATTAAGAAACCCTATGGTATCGAATCGTTTCATGCTCAGAGTATTCATGCAGATTGGATAGTAAGACCAACTGTTTGTATCAATAGAATTGACATCAATTTACAACTGCAGGATGGGAATCGTCTTTGTAGCCTCAGCAGCAACCTCAAAGGGGGGTAATAATACCCCATTGCTTACCGAGGATGATCACATGCGTCAAATCTTGAGCTTCCCAAGGTCTAGCTGAGATATGCTTTATACACTTTCACGAGCCCTCTGTTTCTTCTTCAGCTAGTAATTCGTCGTGTCTTATCATAAATTCTGAATTATGATTACCCTACAGAATCAAATTGCATTATTATCGGTGGCAGTCTTGCAGGCTGTGTGCTTACCAGTCGCCTCGCAGAGAGTTCAGGTCCGTCGCCCTCCATCCTTGTGTTCGAAGCTGAGTGGATTCTACATCAAATGCAACCTTGAAGAGTTTGCTTAAGAGAGGGATGGTTCTTCATGGATCTGAAATTAGTTAGGGTTATAAGACAGCATCTGATCCTGCACTTGATAACCGCGTTGTTACACTTCTTGCAGGAAAAACATTGGGTGGCTGAAGCGTGCTCCTCCATGATGGTGGGTGGGTTCGCGGTGGCGGAAGGGATTACAACAATTGGACTCTTGCTATATGGGATGATCGGTGGTGTTACGAAGGTTTTCTACTACATTTCTTTCGGATGAGCGAATTAGTCCATGATGCAATATTAAATTCGAATCAGCATGGTTCAGATTGTCCCGTGAAGGTAATTGGCATTAGTGCATGTAAGGCATATTCCAATAAAAACTGGCGAACTTGCTGATTTACCAAAGTTCATGGAAAACTCCAACGGCAGTGTTCGTCAGTCGTTCCACCTGGTATTTGACCTTTCTGATGTTTGTATTACGACCGAAACTATTGTATACCGTATATTATTCGAGAAAACCCCTACCCAGAAGTTACGTGCTACTAGTGTCGTGGTGCGGATGATCGTCGAGTTGAGGCTCGTAAAGAGATTATGATCTCTGCTGGTGCTAGAGGCTCGCTATTATTGCTTTAACTTTTTGGAGTAGGATCAGCTTCAATGCTTTTTCGCTAGTTCATTACAGTTGTTCTGGATTTACCAGCAGTTGGCCAAAATCTCCTTAACACTTTGCATTTTTCCAAGTGTCTACGCTGCGTAATTCAAAGCGTGGGCTTTCTCTTGGGCATTTGAACTTTCGGGTGTTGCAGTTTTGAAGACTAACCTTATGTGTATCGATTGGTTTTTCAACACAGCTTTGCCTATCAAGACCCTCGAGAAAGCTCTTCCTGAAGATAGAGAACTTCTAGACGTCATGAGATTGGGTGAAGCTTGTAGGATATACATTCAAATTATGATATTACACAACTCACTTGCACCTAGCGTACCCGTTGATGGTAGCTTCGTTGGAACCTCAGTCATGCTTATACTTCCGACACCTTGAGGTTCTCTTGAACCGTCATCTGCATCACTCAATCTTCTTCCAACACATACCAAGAATTACCTTTTTATAGCAACCGACCGCGCAATTTTAGCACATGGAACTCGTTGACTACTGCAATGCCCCACTTGGACTACAATTCAAGACATTGTAGAAACCGAGGTTAGTTCTTCTTCAGGACTAGAAACTTTGATCGTGGAAGGTAGTGATAAAAAGATCGAAGATCAGATTTGTATTATTCGAAATCCCTATTTTCATATGGCTTGAATTTGTGTAATAAGGAGAGTGCTCGAAATCAATACATATGCGAAAGAGTGTTCGAAGATGAAAAGTCATAAACGTGAGCATATTTTCAGCTCTATTAGGAGGACACCCTGATACTTCATTATATGCAATTGCGGATCTGGCAACAGAGTTCATGGCCGAGGGTAAGTAGTCTGGAGCGCAACTTAGTATCTCAATCAGGTTCCGTATTCTCATATCATAAACGAATAGAGGAATCTGTCCATATAATGTTCCGAGTTCACTTCTTAATAGTGAGCAAAGAAACCACATTTTGTCAATACAAAGGGGTAAATAGGCGTGAATAGATCTTTGCGTTATATCATATGTGACATTGGCTACTGATCAGTGAATAGCATCATGTTATCTGAGAGGTCAGGTAGACCCATCTCGAGCAAATTTACTCTCATTGCTAAACTGCCAGAGGCACTGCCATTGCTTCATGAAAACTGGACCGAAACCCAAGCTTGATATTGAGCACATCGATGACCTCCTCCCGAGCTGAAGATGAGGCCCGGAAAATATTTTAGCATGCCATGAGAATAAACTACTATTCGAGCAGGTTGTTGAGCAAGCACGAGCTTTTCTTTATATTGTGTGTGGCACTTAAGTCTAGAGTATGTCGCTTGACTTCCTCACCTCTACAGCGGATCGCCAAATAGAGGGAAGACTACTCTCTATAGCACATGTAGCATTCCATATGCTTTCTCCTCTCATATATAAGAATGAATAGATTTACTACAGACTTGAACATCCCTCGGCGATATGTGTGGATGTCGTCCGCCTTCCGCAGCATAATGGGGCCATGTCAACATTTCCGACCGGCCGGACCGCGGTTTCCGGGTGAAAAGGTCCAAATTCGGATTCCCGCGTGTGGTGTTGGAAGGCTGTAGAATCTGAGGAATTGCCTCACGGAGGTAATGAGGCCTTGACTAACACTTCACGAAACCCCTCTTGCAATGAACCAACTGAGGGACATATGGTAAGTGCGGCAACGTCAAATCTCCAACGCAACCGTGCTACATAGCTCGGCATATCTCACACCCCTGATTCCAACGCCTCACAGCCATGAACCGAAATTCCATCTCAGACAGATCTCAGATCCACGGCTTCCCAATTTCGCCATCGACGACTGTTTCAGAAAAATTAGACATCATCTTTTCGTACGAGCATAATACCTGCATAGACATGACGCATGCTCTTTAAGTTTAACTTTAAGATGGGTGGCTCTGTGGTTCAGAGTCCGATCTGTTATTTCATATCGCACTCCGATCCACCCAGCATCGCAAGGATGAATGTCCAGCATACGATAAACCAACCCATCACATCACCCGCATACCATACGATCACCCACATGTACCGTTGAACAGTGGGACACGATGCTGGGCCTGGGAGAAACCCTTCTGGAAAAAGCACCCAAATCTCCTGACTGTCAGACGTCTAATTTCGTCGCCACCCCTGAATCCTGGGGTACATCACGCTTCAGGTATATTACGTTCCGTCGGTGAAGAAAAGGTCCCCATAACCCTAAATCTGACAACTAGACTTGAAGCGGTAAACTTTTGCGATATCCTGACGCATAGATGCACATCACATTATAGATCGGACGAAAATTTTAAATAAGGGAGGAGAGGCTTCCCATTTTATTCTCCGAGTGAGGCGCCTATTTCTATCTAAGAGACTTGAGATTTGAGATATCGATTTCGAGCGCTCCACTTAAAGGGAGGTTTATTTCTCCATAGAGAGAGATACCTTGATAGATGTGAGCTTACATACAGAGATGTAAGCAAACCATACTCGTTCACTCGTGAATAATAGCTGCTCCCCACATTATTACCAGGGGATTTTCATCTATATACATGAAACTAGCGAATATTCCGTTCACGAAAACGAGAGACGTCTGTGATTGGCGGAATAGGATGTGGAGATATGTTTTTTCGTCCTCGTTCATTTTACCATAGGTGTCCAGTTATATTCGTTTGTTTGCCATTTACATAACTTTGCTTGTACAGAGTAGGTAGTATATACCTTGCTAACAACCTGACTAGGGGGATCTCGTTTTAGTGTCAGAGAGAAAAAGAGAACGTGCGCGAGTAGTTTAAGAACAATACCGTGTTTGGTCTGTGTGGTAATATCGAGGAAATTATGAATGTAGGGTTTGGGGGTTAAGAATGAGGCATTGGAAGGGTTGGCATTTGTGTTTTTGAATGCAATGGATAATGGGGGGTGGCGATTCGGGAGGATGAGATTTTTTCCCTCTCTGCAAAGGAGATGGATGGAATTGAGGGTTTGATATACTTGCATGGGTATGCTAGGATGGTGTGTAACCCCGAGTCGCGAGAATGGATGGAGAGATAGAAGATGGAAGCTGGGAGACAAGTTGAGATTAGAAGGAGATGAAAGGATATGACACGAGATCAAGCACCAAAATTCCGAATGGTTGGCTGGGTAAGATGGAGGCGTGGTTTTGAAGTACCTACATAGTACACATATACACACACACAGCATGCACAGCATGCACAGCATGCATAGAAGTATGTATCACTCCATTCTGAGACACATGATGCAAAAGCGTTGGAAGGGGGGTCGCACTATCTACGTACCTACATGATTTCGAGAAGGAAGAAAAAAAAAACTATGAAAAAACTCGTGTTGTGCCAAATCATATATATATATGTATATGTATATTCATGTAATCAGGAATGCATAGAGGAATGAATATCTTCACCGTAAAAGAGGATTACATGACATGACATGACATGACATGACGTGATGCTGTACCGGTACATATATGCTGTACTAAGTACAGAAATCCACAGATACAAAGAAACACAACACGAAAACCAAATTCTCCGAAGATTTCGAGGAAAATCGGGTTGGATATGCAGTTGCTGTTGTAGTTGCAGAATGCCTTGAGAGCGTGGGGTTGTGTTCGCATTGGTGTGACTTTTGTTCGATGTTCCTCGAGCTGACCACCGACCGGATGTCCGAAGTTGCGGTCCGTATCTCCTTGGGCGTTGACGGCGTCGTGATGTTTAAAGCATGGATTTCTATATATCTGTACCATGTGGACCGGAAGATTTCGTGGAATTTTCTCAATTATAGATGGAATAGGTCAAAGAAACGGTGATCATGGGTAAATAGAACTTGCTCGATTCGATGATTGAATGGCAGTTGTAAATTGTCATACTACTCCTTTGCTATGCTATGCTAATTCCATTTCATCCCATCTCAACTCATGCATCTCTCTCTTTCCTCTTTCCTCTTTCCTTCTTCCTTTCCAAAGTCTCTTGGACTTTTTCCTATCCGAGTAAAAATTACACATTTCCATCTAGGATTTTGCCTCCCCAACACCAGAATCCATCCAAAAAAGATCAATCGATCAACTGTAATAAAATAAACAGTAACGAGATATTGTAAACATATGCAATGCGCGCTGGCAGAGATAGTAAAGTAGTAAGAAGCAAAGGTATTTCCTCCCAAAATCTCAACCCTAAACGCCTTGCAGAAAACAAATAAAAAGCAAATAGCAAGATAGTTAGATAGCCTCCGTAGCGGTCATTGTGTTGTACCGGTAATCCCATCCCAAAACCTCCTGTTACCCAAAAAAGAGAGAACGTCCAATTTGATGTTACGGACGAACGAGAGTACGAATCTGATGATCGTATCGTAGAGTAGAGCGTATCATGGTGTCGAAAGGACAAATAAAATAATAACAAAAAAAAAGTAGTAGATGTGAGAAATCAGGTGTCTATTTCTTGACACTCTTCCTTCTGTTTCCCATCCCCATGCCCATCCAGCCTTTTAAGCCCGGACTACTTGTACTCTGCGAAGTAATTGGAGTCCTGGGCGGGGCCTCGCGGATGACATTCTTCATGATATCTTCATATCTGACAGGTGCCCTCTCATCGATTGCCGATTGTGTTTCCTGTGCCTTCTTTGTCTTTTCCCTTTCTTCGTGCACATATAAAGGTGCTGTGGAAGATCTTTTCATGCTTCCGAATTTGCTATCTATGGGTATTCGCTCTTCAACTGTGAGCAAGCTAGTTTTAGACGCATTGCTGTGGGTCAAGGATGATTTTGAGGTATTGCTGTGAGTGGATGCCACGGAACTAGTAGTGTATGCCAAATTTAGTTTTGGCATACTGGGACGCTTCTTAGTGAAGGAGCGAGTGAGCCCTTGGAGCCCTTCCATGAGACTATTGGGTGTTTTGGGTCGTTCGTGATGCATTGATTTGGGGCGACGAGATTGGAAGCTTTGTTCTGGTTCGGGGAGGACTGGAAGATTTTCGGTTTGTGGAGATGGTGTGGGCGAAGGGAATGGATCTGAAGAGAGAAAAGCGTGCTGTGGGGAGGAATTTGAGGCGGCAGAGGTGGGCTGCAGGAAGGTCGTGCTGGAATTGAGTTTAGAAGGCTGTTGCGAAAGGGTTACGCTGGAGGCATTGGGATGATTTGTGTTGAGTTTGGAGAGGGAACCAAGAGAGGAGATGGAGAGGCGGCGGGCGGAGTTTCGCAGTGGTGAGTTCTGCCTAGAGCTTCGGCGGGGTGGGTGTGGTGAAGGGAGTGGTGCTAATGATGCGATATCTGCGACTGAATGACGAATTTGATAGTCTGCCACAGGGGAAACGTTACGAGACGTGGGGTTCGAGTGGAAGCTGTTAGGACGGGGGATCTCTATAACTCGTGGTCTTGACACAAGAGTAAAGGAGACAACTCTCGCA